ATTTTGTACACATATACCCTATGGGGGTAGAAGTTCTGCTCGAAAGCCGATTTTCAAAATGGCCACTCATTTAAAAATGGCGCCCATTTTAGTGCCGATTTTACAGTAAATTAGGTGCAATATGTAAAACTATAATAGCAATATGTTTTAAATGTAAAAAAATTATTTAGGATATATTGATAAAGCTAGAAATGTAGATATTAAAGGCCCCATATAAAGTTTAAACCACTTTGGCTTAATATTGTAGTCTTACCCAATGTTATCAATTCAAAGTGTGATGTGTGGAACTTTTTTTTTAAATTTCAAAAAGTGGTTTTTGATAGACCTTTTGTTCCAAAATTTGTGAATTTATTTAAAACCAACTTTTAGAGGTCATTCATATCTTCTAATTAGCCACAATTCATACCAATGCATAGCATTCATCCTCCCATGTTTTTCATGGTTTCACAGTTCATAAATAAGCGAGAAATGAACTTATCAGTGCATGAAAATGGTTCTGAGAAAAATGCATTTCAAAATTTTAGTTCTCATAGAAACCAATGGTATAATGATATCTAAAACCTAATTTATTCTTCCTTTTAACCTGGTTAGACAATCAACATTGGTTTTTTTATCGTACCTAACAAAAGGTACGATATTGTAGTCAGCTTGACGGGCGGGCGGCGGGCGGGCGGGCGGGCGGGCGGCGGGTGGCGTCTCACTTTTCAGCTTTTCTACAGGTTTCACGCCAAACCATTTGAGGGATTCATCTGAAATTTTCAGGGATGTTTCTACATATCAACGTCAAGAACTGATTAGTTTTTGGGCATTCTGGGTAAATCTTAAGGTGGCCATTTTGGATTTTCCGTCCTAAAATCTTCACTTTCAAGACTTGTCTACAGGTTTCCAGACAAACCGTTCAAATTTTTACATATGTTACATAGTGATAAGTTCTAGAGTTGATTAACTTTTCTGCGGCCATCTTGCTTTCTTGGTCAACAAGACCACACTGCTGTGTTTTAGGTACGATATTGTTCACGTCTGTGCCTTGTTATGAAAGTCTAGCATATTTAGAAAATTTTTTTTTCAAAAAGTCTTTGCTACCTTAGTGACATCACTAATGTTTCAAAATATTTTTGATATGCTAAAACATTAAAGTGGCCCATTAAATATGGCATTTTATTATTGAAATAGTGTGTCCTTTGTTCAATCTTTGCAGTGGTATTAAAAAGATAATCTTTTTTGAAATGCATTTAGAAATATTTGATGATTAAGAAATTTCAACTTTTTTTGAAAAATGGCGGTAAATTTGAATATTTGAGAAATGAAATGCTCACAACTTTTTTTGAAAAAATTTTTTTTTGTTTAAAAATCTCTAAATCACTTTTTAAGTCCTGACAAATAGTTAATGAATGATAGAAAAATATTTTTAAACTTTTGACGGGGACTTTAAAGAAGCACATGGCAGCCATCTTGAAAAATGGCGGCCTTATTTTACTCGTTATTTTACGATTTTTGCTGTAATTCAAGAAGTAGGAGAGTAATTTTGTTCATATTTGGTATGTGAATAATATAAGCATGGCACACTGTCTAATGACACTTTTGGTAGGAGGCGGCCATTTTAAAAAATGGCCACCATTTTAACGTATTTTACTATAACTCGAAAAGTGGTGGAGCGATTTTGTTAATATTTGGTATGTGAATACTATAAGCATGGTACACTGTCTAATGACACTTTCGGTAGAAGGTGGCCATTTTGAAAAATGGCCACCGTTTAAACGTTTTTTACTCGGCCTTTACTCGTTATTTTACGATTTTTGCTGTAACTTGAAAAGTAGAGGAGCGATTTTGTTCATATTTGGTATGTGAATACTATAAGCATGGCACACTGTCTAATGACACTTTTGGAAGAAGGCGGCCATTTTGAAAAATGGCCACCATTTTAAAGTATTTTACTATAACTCGAAAAGTAGTGGAGCGATTTTCTTCATATTTGGTGTGTGAATACTATAAAAAAAAAGCATATTACTTCTTCTGATGACAACTTGGCTAGTGTGCAACCATTTGAAAATGGTGGCCTTTCTTATGTGTGTCATTTTATGATATTTGCTAAATATTTCGTTTGTAAAAATGCCAGCCATTTCTGTTCGATGGGATTCGCTACGCTTTGGCGTTGCCGTTGTTCTTGTTTGTTACTCGACAGAAGGCATTATATTTAAGAATTAAATACCTTTGGTCAAAAGTAAGTTTAATAATGCCCAAATATTTCTCTGATAATATATATTATACACACTACTTGTTGCTATTAGGTTTCGTTTCAACCCACTTCAATGCAACTACTCTGGTTAATTAAAGCCATTTCTAGAATCTGTGTATTAGACTGCCTTCAAGAAATGTGCAATATAATGTTGATGCTTCTGGTTAATTAAAGCCATTTCTTGAGTCTGTGTACTAGACTGTCTTCAAGAAAACTGTAATATATTTCAATGCTTCTGGTTAATTAAAGCCATTTCTCGAGGCTGTGTATAAGATTGCATTACCTCCTTGATAAAAGCCCTTGGAGTAAAATGAATGATAACAGCAAAAGTCTGCATCATGCATCAATCAAGATAACTATATATTATGAGAACAAAACATATGAAATTGCTTTGTGAATAAGTACCTTGATTAAAAGCCTACAGTAATAGCATAGCAATTGTATGAGGAGGATAGTTTTAGATAGTTGTATGCTATTAGGAGTGATCAACAAGTAAGTGGATGCTTTTTTACACAGATGTTGCCTATTGACAAATCCTATTTGATCAGTCATGTATCATTCAATTTTCTATTCGTCCTTAAAACTTGGAATTGACAAAATAAGCGTTAATAATTACTTATTGATCACCCCTTGTATTAATAACAATGATGTTATGCTATGTAGGAGGCCATTGGCGATTTAAGAATAGTGATAAGTGACTAGTGGAGATGATATACTGGCTGAGTAGCATATTGCCTATAGGATAATTAAATATAGCCCAGAATAATAATGTTATTGTGACATGTACAACAGGAGTAAAAGGCTTGTAAGACACAAGGATTATGTGAAGGGGATAGACAACATAGGGATTATAAACAAGACATATAACAGGAAGATTATATAAAAGAGGAAAGACAACATAGGGATTATAAACAAGACATATATAACAGGAAGATTATATAAAAGAGGATAGACAACATAGGGATTATAAACAGGATATATATGACAGGAGGATTATATAAAGAGGATAGACAACATAAGATTATACATAGGATATATATGACTGGAGGATTATATAAAGAGGATAGACAACATAGGGATTATAAATAGGACACATATGACAGGAGGATTATGTGAAAGGTATGTTCAACATAAGGATTATAAACAGAACATGTGACAGAAGGATTATATGAAAGGTATATTTTACATAAGGATTATAAGTAAGATATATATGACAGAAAGATTATGTTAAGGGTAAGTTCAACGTAAGAATTATATGCAGGACATATGACAGGAGGATATAGTAAAGAGTATGTTCAATGTAAGGATTATGAACAGGAAATGTTTAACAGGCACATACAAATAAGTCTCTTCTTGAAAGGACCTCAAAAAGTGACCTGTTTTAGAAAGGACCGATAAATCAGGCCTGTTCTGGAAAGACCCATTTAAAAAAACCTCAGAAGAGCTCAAAAAGTGCTATTCTAGAAAGTGCTTATAAAAGAGATCTCATAGGGGATAATGTGGCCAAATCAGTGGTATAACCAAGGAAGTCGAGCTGAAGACCTCCCCAATCCTTATGTTACATCTTGTAAGTTATTACTAGATGTCCTCCTGTACAACTGTACATGGTATACCCTGTAACACTGGTGATCCACTCGATTACGCTGGAACCGTTTCGGTAACAAAATGTTGGAACGTCGAAGGCATGTTTTTTCTTTTTTCCTTATTTCACACATTGTAGGCAGAATTCCCACAACATTTTTATCACAAACGTGGATCAGTATCATATGATTAAGAAAATGTACACATTTGCGAACAAATAGTTCAGAAGACAACGGAATCGTCGATTTAATCCCACACTTAAGTTACAGAAACAGTATTTCGAAAAACAATTAAGATTTACACTTTTAATCCTTACCGTTTATGTAACTTAAGTGAGGAATTAAATCGACGATTCTATTGTCTTCTGAGCTATTTTTTCGCAAACATGTACCTTTTATAAAACATATGATACTGATATACGTTTGTGAGAAAAAATGTCATGGGGATTCTGCCTACAACGAGCGAAATAAGCAAAAAAGAAAAATCGTACCTTCGACGTTCCGACATTTTGTTACTGAAACGGCTCGTTTTGGTAACCAGCGTAATCGAGCGGATCACCAGTGTGTAAGCTGTATCATATAATACCCTGACACTTAATGTTCTGTAGATTTTATACCCTAACTTTGCACGTCATATGTTCCCCACAGCACATACTTAAGTCCTAAAGATATTTTTCATTTTGCGTTACACCCAGTAAATGTTCCTTTTTATACCCTGTAATTTGCACAACCTCCATAATATTCGATTGTGCAGTGCTCTGTATGATTAGTCTATTATACAGAAAACATCAATTATACTTAATTTAGTTAACAATCCATATTTCAGTGTATTATATTAGATTATTATATGATACGTGACATCACAATAGCTAGAACAATTGATTTACTGGTCTATATTGGAGTATGTATGACCACTAAAATTCATAAATACAAATTATTGATGAATAAACAACTATGCAAACTGTAAATAGTTGTGTTTCTTGTCTGTTTTTCATACTAGAATCGTAACAACCTCGATTATATGATTTATGTCAAATATATGACCTCAAATTTTATTCTGGGCATTGCCAAAGACTTCAATCGCTACGTAATTTTGGTCTTTTAACAATAAACAGAATAAAATTTTCGGTCATATCATAAAATCTTGGTCTGTATTCCTTAATTATCATATTTTCTCATTGAAGATTCTAAAAAAGAGAAGCAGCAACAGCAACAGATGGCTCCAAATATGCTAGGGGGTCCTCAGGGTATGCAAGACCCCTTGAATGCTTTACAGAACCCACTGAATGCGCTCCAGAGTATGAGTAAGGCAGGGATGCCCCCTGGACTACAGGGCCAACAGCTACAGGGACCTCCTCAAGGTATGATTAATCTTCAAACAATGATGTTATCCTAGACATGTAATATAATAAAGTTAAATAAATAAAACATTCCAGAATTGTGTAGCATGGGTATTTTGTGAGTGTATGCCACAAGTAGGCTAAGCGAACAAGCATTGAGGAGGGTTTGGAATGAAAAAGTGAAAATGAGATTGTATTTGAAGCGTTCTGGGGGCGTTTTGAAATACCAAATTCCGACTTTTAAGGACTAATAAAATGTAAATTGTTGGCCATTTTTATCTAATATTTATTTACGTGAACCTGTTTTTAAATGATGGCATGGAAATAAAACTCATTTGCATTCATCATTTTGTTGTTTATAATTGCTAAAAATACATATCATGTCAGAATATCTAGTGTGGGGCAATTCAATATAAAAAATCAACTTTTCTCTAAATTTTGAGAGTAGGCCATGTCGTTTTATGCATATATGACGTTACGTCATTGATACTTTTTAGAATTCTCACAAAATTAGCAACTTTTATTCAGATATTGAAGCATTAAACCTCAGCTTGTAAATTGATATTTTCAGAACTTATCAAAATGCCAATGAGAATTTAATGGCCATGCTTTTATGTGTAAAAAATTACCAACTTGGATCATATGTAACTCCTTTACAGGTTATTATCCCACATCCCCATTCAAGAGAAAATTTTTATTGTGACCACTTACTTGAATCGGCTGCCATTTTTTGTCAAAAATCTGAAGTTTTACTTTATCTGTTCTGTTTTGTTTATATACTAAATTGTGTATAAAACAACAATCTTAATTGTATTTGGAATTGACACACAAAATTATCTATAAAAACAACACACTAAATTGTATATTTGTATTCTGTAAAATCATCAGAAAACTGACCGTTTAGTTGAATAAATGAGAAGACATTATCTGAATACAGACTAAAGTGACATTCAACTTGTGGCGTTTTGATGAATTGTAACCACCTACATATTATAGCCTGAATGTCAGGATGGTCTCTGAGATGTCTTGTCTTATAGCATTAAAGAGAAATATAAACAAGATGTATGAGTAGGTGTCTGCATCATCATTGGTGATGACGTATAATTATCATGCAGGAAAATGTCAATTTGGATTGATGAATTTATTTAACAATTTGGATTATTGCATTGGCAACTAAATTGACCTTTCAGTGAAACATATTGGAGTATGGGAGATTTTGTATTTTTAATTGCATATGCAATTTTGTATCTTGGCACTTTTGTCCAAACACTTTGAAGTTCTTCCATACATTGTTTCTGTGTTGTATAGCTGGGTAGAATGAATTTAGTATGTGGATACTTATTGAAAAACCAGTGTTGTTGCCTTTATTTCCAACACTGACACAATTTTGAATGAATTCCCAAATGCACTTCTCTTCTGTAAAATAAAACAAGCTCCATGATTGGTTTATTATATGCAACATTTTCACTTATATTTTCTTAATGATTGCTTTGACCTTACATGACATCACATATTTGACCATGACCTTTTACTGTAGTCTTGCCTGGTTTCACTTATTTGTACAACAACATACATGTAGTACATAATAGAGTAAAATTAAGATAGCGTAATGTATAATGTAGAAAATGCTGAATGTAATATAATACCTGCATTACTCATTTTTTATTTCCATTTTCTTTTTATATTGTATTAAATGTATGTAATATTATTGCTGAAGAAAAAAAATCAAAGATTAGCCTTAATGATACATGTACCTTTAATAACTTTGACAAACTAAATTAGGGATGTGGAATTTAAAGGAATCTTAAAGAGTCCTATTTTAAAACAAATGGGGTTCGCATGTTCACATCATGGGGGGGGGATGTAATTTCAGAATGAAAAAATGAGGTGAATGCAATTTAATAGCAGGTTGTTCTCTATGTTGAATCTTTTCTGGAGAAATCCAAATAGATCTCTATTACAGCATTAACAAGATGACTTATAATTTAATCACTATGACAACAAAAGAAAATCAATGTGTTACCATATTAGTAAAATGCCATGACAACCATGCTAAATTATGAAACAGAGAAAAACTAAGTGGAATTTAAGGAATGAAATCAAATGTGTTGTGAGCATCTCCTTTTCATGAAAATGAAAAATTTCATTGATATTTTGAAGAGAAATAATACAAATATGAAATAAGCAGTTATATTTAAACCGCAAGAAGAGATAATTTGATAAACTAATATCAATTACAGAGATAATGAATGTAGGAAGTAAAATTGAGATTGATTTATATAAGAGTGGGTGGCCTTTTGATATGTGTATTAAGAGATACTTCAGCATAACATTGAAAAAAAGGCAAATCATTGATGAGCATAAGATATTCTCTGAAATTAAAATTATGTCTTCCTGAACCTTTGATGAAGTAAAAAGAAAAGTATGTCATAAGCAACTTCCTTGGTCATATAACAGACACTTGAGTATAGCATTCAAATAGGTTAGCACCCCCCCCAAAAATAAACTGTTTATGCCGACTTAAAATGATGAAAATATGAAAAATTGCCCATTTTGAGAACTATTTTTATTTCTTGAAAATAAGCAATTTTCAGATACATGTATGTATAATGTACTTGATAAAACAGCCAAGGGGAGTTCTCTGTGCTGTGAAGAATTTAAATGATGTAATATTTCAGGCATGATGGGAGGTATGCCCGCTGGTAATCAAATGGTGCGTCCTGGAATGGTGGGGATGAACCAACAAATGAGACAGCCCCAACCACAGCAACAAATGGTAACCTTTTCTATTGCAAAACACACCAGTTGCTCAATTCATTTCCATCTGAGTCAACTCTTTCAGCATGACAGTATGTATAGTAAGATAATATATTAACATGGCAACGATGTTCTATAGATTCAATTTCAGTCAGTTAATTAGTTTGAAAGAATTATCCTTCATTTTTTATTATTGTTTCGACTTCAAGTATTATAATAAGAGTTCCAAATTATTGAAACTTCTTATGAAACTTTCCAAAAGTGTGGTTTTTATTATGTCATCACCAAAAAGTAACAGCGATTGGCAGTCGGTGGATGGCGGTCTTAAATTCTTGCAACTTCCAATAACTTAACAAATATTGTTTAGACTGACTTGAATTTTTTTTATCATCTGCAAGTTCAAGTCTGACTTTAGATTTCAGACTTGACCTTCAATGACCTTCTCCAAGTCAAAAAAGGTCAAAAGGGTATTTTTTCAACTTGCAAGTTCTCAGAACTTTATATTTGAGATTCAACCTTCAATGACCTTCTCAATGAAAAGGTAAAAAGTCTTTTTTCAACTTGCTTCAAATTAACCAATTTTTTTAAAAATCATCTACAAGTTCCCTGAAGCTCAGATTTGACTTAAGATATTAGATGTGACCTTCAGTGACCTCAAGGTAAAAAAAGTCTTTAACTTGCTTCAAATTGACCAATTTTTTGGGAATGTTATAAAAACCCTTCGACCTTCACCTTCGACTTACAGGGTGTCCAAAAAGAAAATATTATAGAAGCTATTTTTGCCGATCTCAGACCATGCAAGAGTCATTTGATTTGTGGTTCACAGTTGAGATCATTAAGATCTTAAATTGTAGCAACGTTTGCAGTACTCTAGGTTTAGTTACAGGGGTGAAATAGCATTTTCATGTTATCAAATTAAGATTCTGTTGATGTTGATCGGGTAGTCAATCGGGTAGTTTTAATGGAAGTTTCCCTTTTTAGAACTTACTTCCTGGTTTTGATTCGATTGAATCGAAGTAAAATTAGAGTAAGTAGCGATCAATTACTGTTCTATTTATTGAGTTCCAATTATAGTCTTGTTGTGTGATCAATATTAAAACGGGATATGGCGTCAATAACTTGTTATTTAACTTTGAAATCTTGTCCGAAAAGTGATGACGTCACCAGGCCTATAAAGTATTTCGCCGATGTAAACTCAAGAGATGACAGCTAGCTTTCGACGAGGACAGAGCTCCGTTCAATTTCATAATCTATGTGAAGTTGGACTTAGTCGTTTTTCAAAGAAATATTTTTGGACTTTGACAATTTTCATAAGAAAAGTCAAAGGTGCAGGTCGAAGGGTTTTTATAACTTTCTTTTTGGCCCGCTTTTTCAAAATCATCGACAAGTTCTCCGAATCTGACTTTAGATTTCAGATTTGAGAAACTAGGTGATGACATTTTGTCATGTTAATGCCTTGTTAACAGTGTGCGTTTTTGATTCTGTTAAGATGGCTCAAAATATGGGAGGTCAACCCATGGGTGTTCAGAATATAGGAGGCCAAAGTATGGGAGGGATGCAGGCTATGCAGAGAGGCCAGCCAGCTCTTAGCCCATATGGACAGGTATGTTGATAAGATAACTTTGTTAAAGGATTGGTATCGATATGGTGAACTGAATTCAACATTGTTTTTCTCTTAAACCAATTATTGAAAACATTCTGTAAAAAAACACGGTCCTTTACGTAATGGTCACTGATTGACAAAAATTTAATGTGAAAATCATTTATAGACACAACTTCAACAATTTTTTTCTCTACTATTTGAAACAATCTTGCCAGAAAAATTCCAATCTCTCAAAAACAGCCAAGGTATTATTTAGAAAAAAACTTTAATAGATCATCTTTTTATCAGATGTCTCAAAATGATGAAATGAACAAAATCTTACAAGAACTTGAGGACAAAAGTCCTGGCCAAGATCAGATTAAATCACTTGCAACAAAAACAGCAAAAGATAATTTAATTATACCTCTGACATACATTTGCAACCTCTCTCTTTCTATAGAAATATTTCCAGACTTACTAAAAAACCAAAGGTCAAATCTTATATGAAATTTTATATGTGAATACTTGGAAGCATATTACACTGAGTAATACATCTATGGTTGCCATTCGAGACATGATTTCTTGCAGTGTTGAGTGACACTCATAAGATGTTGAAGGGGATTTGTGACACCTTGGTGTCGCTGTTATAAGTTATATTATTGTAATTTATTTTGTTTTCAGACTAGCCAGGCCACACCCTCCAGTTTATCATCAGTTCTGTCCCCTCCTCAAGTGGGAATGGTTCCCTCTCCCTCCCCTGGGAATGCCATGCCTATCCCCAGCCCAGGCTCCCGTCAGAGTAATACTGCTCCATCCCCAGGGGGTGGACTGAACACTCCAGGGAATCCAAACTCCATGGGTGCAAGCGCAAGCCCTGCTGCAAGAACGGCAGAAGATATTGCTTATGCAGAGAAACATAAACAGTTGTCACGGTATATTGAGCCACTAAGACGTATGATTAGCCGTATCGACAAAGATGAAAGTGAGTGTAGTTCAGCTTAATTCTTTTTATCTTCAATCACAATTAATATCATTTAGCGGGGTCAGATGTCCTTTTTTTGTTCGGCTTTTTCAGGAAAGCAACAAACTTGGCAAAGTTGTAGAATCATATGATCTGAGTAAAAAATGATTTCAGGGCAAGTGATTTGGGGTGGTCTTCATGGATTTTTTAGCCTCCGACCCCCCGCCCCTACCAGACTGGGAGGGGTATATTGTTAAAATTAAATAAAAATGGTTTTAAAGTATTTTTCTTTAAATGACTTCATTTGGTGATTGCTTTGAGCCTTGAAATTGTGTAAAACCCAATTGAGAAGTAGTCTGTAGCAAGAAAAACTCATTTTAACCCAATTATCTAAGAATAATTCGTTGTTTAAAGGGCCAAATACGGAACATCCAGTACTGTATTTCAAGAATGTGATGTCTGATAGTCCTGAAAAAATTCATAGTAGTAGAGGTTTAAGTGTTTATCACAGATAGAAAATATACCACGGGTGGCTCATGTATTTTTTGAGAAAAAAATTCTCGAAATTTCAATTTTTAAGTGCATGCAGCTCAGGGGTAACCTTATTTTACCTTAATGATTTTTAAAATATACAATGTATGCATCTCATATGAGGTCAAAATGATGCATAGAGTATTGTTTTGTCATATTATTCCTAATAAGATGTAAAAAAATTATTGGAAATTTTTCAAAAATCCATATTTTCATTTTCGCTTCTAAAAGGCCAGGGGTAACCATATTTTACCTTAATAATTTTCAAGATATGTAATATATGCATCTCAAATTAGCTCAAAATGGTGCATATAGCTTTGTTTTATCAGATTGCCCTTGATTAGATGTAGAAAAATGATTTTACAGTTCTTAAAAATCTAAATTTTCATTTTAGCTTATTGTGGCCTATGGGTAGCCATATTTTACCTGAATAATTTTCAAAGTACAAGACGTATGCATCTCAAATGATATATACATATTTCTATTCCTATACTATTTCTAGGGAATGTAAAAAATGTTTGGAAACTTGAAAAATGATATTTTCATATTAGGCCATAAGAATTAGATTCTCTGTTTTGCGTCCTGGCAAAATCCAAATCATGCAAGGGTACAAGGAAAACAAACACAAACTCAAAAAAACACAAACTTGTTTGCTGAGAAATGTATACATTTTATGGGCATTAAAAGGAATGACATACCAATTTGCAGTGATACAAACACAGATCTATACATTTATACAATATATTTAAATATAGGTATTATTCAAGGGTAAAAATACAAAAAAATACACAATGTATGCCCAAGTAATCAATAACACTGTCAATTTTGACGCACATCAATTTATCCGCCATTTCGTCTGATTCTGATTGAATGAAATGCGATGTTACTTTCAGACCCTTGTGGTTGCTATTTGGATGTGTTTGCTTTTTTCTGATTTACTCAAAATCATGCAAGCAAGGGGACGCAAAACAAAGAAACTAATTCTTACAGCCTTAGCGTTTGATGCCATTTTACCGTAATAATTTAAATAAAGATATGTCACACTTGTTACTCAAACGAGCTCAAAATGTTGATTATAGTCAAGTTTTGCCATTTATTCCTTCTGAAATAAGAAATAATGATTAAAAAAATTATAAAAATCTCAACATCCATTTATTTATTTATATAAAGAATCACAACATCCATTTATTCCTTTTTAGTACCAGTAGCTCAATACTGTACTATAGTTTTATCGAGCTCTTTTCTAAGATTTGAAAATGTTTGACAGTCCAGTTTATACTGAGTAGTAGCATTGTTAAGATTCTGTGTATAATCATTTGAAAATATAATCCAAATCCATAAAACATAATCAAAACAGGTCAGGATTTATAGATTCTTACAGTCTCCCCTACGGCTACATAGCCCAGAGCAAATGAGATGATTTCAAACATTTGCATATGTTCCCTCAACACTCCTTAAACATCAAACAAGTTTTTTGCATGCCTCGGATGCAACATCTTTTGTTATTATACAGATATCAGCCTCATAGGACCTACATTTTCATATGTTGTGGCCTCAGTATCAGCAGTGGGAGTAGTCCAACCACATTCATGTGGTGATAGAAACTGTGGGTTAGAATGCATCAGAATAACAAATGACTCTACAACTGCAATGTTTTTAAAAAAAAGATTCAAAGTTTTAAAACAACTGCAATAGCTCTGGGTATACACCTTCCATTCCTTCAAATCAGATGATTTAGAGAAGTAGTAGAATGCAAAGGTGACATATCAAATCCAGTGATTGCATGAAAAATTGGAAGGGCTAAACTTTGGTCAAGTGGTCTTGTAATATAGTGGGCAGGTAGGTATTGGAAGGATTTCCCCTTACCATATGCAATCCAAAATGACATTTTCAGTTTTCAGCACAAGTTGCCACCAGGATAAACCACATCAAAATCAACTGTTAAGCAATGATTGAAGCAGTCTCTGGTATGGAGAAATATCCTTGATGGCACCTAAGACATTGCATTACTTGGTCACTATCATCTTGCCATGTTCTTGAGGGTTTCAGTGTTGATGCCTGGAAGGAGGACAGCTCCCTCTTGTTCCCACTACATCTTGGATTGCATTTGGTAAAAGAAAATCCATTCAATAACTATCTGTGCATGATATTGCAAGATCAATTGGCCATGACCAAAGTTTAGCCCTCTCTATTTTTCATTCAATCATTCTATGCGATGTCACATTTTCATTTAACTATTACTCTAAATCATCTGATTTGGAGGAATGGAAGGTGTACCCAGAGGTGATGCAAGTGTTCTTAAACCTTATATCTTTATATAATACTTCATTGATTTATCATTTTATATCTCAGTATGAATATATGAACTTATGAATATGACAAAATGCCATTTTGAGCTTATTTGAGTTGCAAATGTGACATATCTTGAAAATTATTATGGTAAAATGAGGCCACCTATAACCAGTCAAAAGCTAAATCAAAATCTGATCATTTTTTCCACCTCCTTAGAAATGTTATGACAAAACAAGATTATATACACCATTTCAAGCTCATTTGAGATGCATATATGTAACATACATTGAAAATTATTATCTTAAGTATGGTTACCCCTGGGCTGTCAAAACATCAAATATAAAATTTAGATTTTTAGATATTAGATATTTAGAAATGTTAAATTATGTTTTTATCATTAGGGGAAATATGATAACAATACTTCTGGTATATGAACCACTTTGGGCTCATTTTAGATGCATATGTAATACATTGCAAATTATTATGTTAAAAATATGGTCAAATAGAAAATTCAGATTTTTAAGAAATGTCCAGTAATTTTCTACATCTTATTTGGGGTATGATAAAACAAGACTATATGCACCATTTTGATCTCATTTGAGATGCATATATTTCATATCTTGAAAATTATTATGCTAAAATATGGTTACCCCTGGACCGTCTGAAGCTTAAATGAAAATATAGAGTTTTAAGAATTATCAATCATTTTTCTACATCTTATTAGGGTTAATATGATAAAGAAAGACTAGATGCACTATATTGAGCTCATTTGAGATGGATATATTACATATTTTAAAAATTATTAAGGTACAATATGGTTACCCCTGGCCATTCAGAAGCGAAAATGAAAATTAAATTAAAAAAAAAATTCCAATCTTTTTTTTACTTCTAATTAGCAATTTTATGACAAAACAAGACTAGATGCATCATTTTGAGCTCATTTGAGATGGATATATTACATATTTTGAAAATTATTAAGGTACAATATGGTTACCCCTGGCCATTCAGAATCGAAAATGAAAATTTGAATTTTTTTTTAATTCCAATCTTTTTTGACCATCTAATTAGCAATAATATGACAAAACAAGACTAGAAGCACCATTCTGAGCTCATATGAGATGCATACATTGACTATCTTAAAAATTATTGAGGTAAGATAAGGTTACCCCTGAGCCAAATGGACCAAAAAATTGAAATTTCGATAATTTTTTTCTCTGAGAATACATCAGCTACCAAAGCAATATTTTCTATCTGCAATAAACACTTATACTTCTATTACTGTGAATTTTTTTAAGACTATTAGTCATCACATTCTTGAAATACAGTAATGGACGTCCCATATTTGGCCCTTTAAATAATGAATTTCTCCTGGATAATTGGGTTATAAGTATTTTCCTCACTAAATACCACTTCTAAAATGAGTTTTACATCATTTCAAGGCTCAAAGCAATCACCAAATGAAGTCATTTAAACAAAAATACTTTGAAACCATTTTTATTTATTTTTTATAATTTACCCCTCCCCACCTGATAGGGGTGGGGGTCAGAGGTAAAAAAATCCATGAAGACCACCCCCAACCACTTGCCCTGAAATCATTTTCCACTCAAATCATATGTTTCTACAAATGTGCCAAGTTTGTTGCTTTCCTGAAAAAGCCGAACAAAAAAGGGGTTATATCTGGACATCTGATCCCGCTAATTTAAATATTTCCAAATGTGATAACATGGTCAATTTGGGTTCAGTGTCTTCATTGAGGTATGATATGTAAATGCTCATTTTTGGATAAATCATGGCTCCAAAGCAAAAATCAAATTCTCACTTGAATGAATGCATTAACCACAGATCACGCAAATTCTTTGTTATCACAGTTAGTGTGAACTTGGATAGCATATTTAGACCAAATAAATATGTCCTTCCGTCTAAGTCTACACTGTTGTTTATATGATGTGCACCATTCATAAATCTTAATTCTTCAATCTCTTTAACAGACAGGAAGAAAGAATTGAGTAAAATGAAGCGCCTCCTGGATGTGCTTAGTGACACAAAGACGCGCAGTGTTCCTATGTCAACGCTACTCAAATGTGAGAATGTCCTCGAGAAGCTAGAGCTTCAAGTTCAAAAATCGGTATGTGATGTTAAAACACCTGAATTGGAACTTACTAGAATCTAAAATAGCTTGGATGCTTAATTGATTATTTAAAGAATCCACATTTGAAAGAGTTAATTGATGAAGTACACATTTTCAAGGATTCTCTATGGATGTTTGAATGTTGACAACCAACTGGTCACTTTCATCCCTTACAATCATCATCACTTTGATAAACTGAGATATTATTAATCCCTCTCATATTCTCATCTTCTACTAAAAGGTACAATATTGTTAACCCTGTGTCTTGATGTTTCATAACAGTGTTATACTTTTCACTTTCAGACAGCAGCAACCACGCCTGGTACAACGACCCCAACCACAACTGCGTTAGGAGTAACAGCAGCAGCCACAACAGCTGTAACCACAGCTGCAGAGGCACCCAAGCCAGTGACTCACATCTGCCAGCCTTTGTTAGATGCTGTAGCAGCCCATGCCAGATCGCCAATGCTCAATCACACACTCTATAGGACTTTTAGTCCAGCCATACAGGCCTTACATGGGCCTCCAATAAGGTATTAAACACTAGCCTAGGCCTTATATGGGCCTCCAATTAGGTATTAAACACTAGTCTAGGCCATACATGGGCCTCCAATTAGGTATTAAACACTAGCCTAGGCCTTATATGGGCCTCCAATTAGGTATTAAACACTAGTCTAGGCCTTACATGGGCCTCCAATTAGGTATTAAACACTAGTCTAGGCCTTACATGGGCCTCCAATTAGGTATTAAACACTAGCCTAGGCCTTATATGGGCCTCCAATTAGGTATTAAACACTAGTCTAGGCCTTACATGGGCCTCCAATTAGGTATTAAACACTAGTCTAGGCCTTACATGGGCCTCCAATTAGGTATTAAACACTAGCCTTGGCCTTAAACGGTCCTCCTATAATCTATTAAATCCTAGATAGGACCTTTGTCCAGTTGAATTGCATCTGTACTGTATAACTATGAAAACATTTTTTTCGAAAATGTACATGTCTAGTTTCTCGATTCATCTCCTGGTGGGTATCACAAGAAAATAGCGATCTCCATAATTCTTGAGATTTCTAAAATGACTGCCTCATATAGGAATTCAAAATGATTTTGATATCTACTAAGTACATGTACTCTGCTATATGTGTACACAGGGCACTCCTTAAGCGTCGGACAGCCGGACTTGTCCGATTAAATAATGACAAGACCGGCTCAAAATCACAATTAGCTGGTCATTGTGACCGAGACCTTGTCCAATCTATAAGCCTTAGCGTAGATATCGTGTCCGAGGCCTAAACATTTTGAGATGACCCTTAAACTGTTGGCTGTTCATTTGTTTTTTATCTCCCCTTTCCATGAAAATCCATCTACACGTATAACGACATGATAAATTATCATCGATAGGGAGTTAAAGTTTTAAATAGAACAGCCTCATTTAGAATGCTTATTTTATTCTCGTCTCGGAGAAAAAGCTGAACATCTCCAAATATAGTAATCGGAAAGTACCGAATCACAAATAGATACTTCCGGTGATCTCCAAATAAGGAGTTCTTGACCCGAGTTCATCTAAAGATGGCGAAACCACTCCAAAAGTATGGATTCATATTCACATTTAGTTTTAAAACTGATTGTGCCAAGCGTAATTCTTAAGGTACGTAAAAAAACTAATCGATTATAGTACTTCAAGTACTACTTATGGATCAAATAGACGTAGCGATTTCGGCCATTTTCAGTGAAATATTGCACAATAGTACGACTTTTCACAGATCAATTTTTGAAAATAGCGCCTTGAAAATTTTGACCAGGAAGATTTGCTCATGAAGGCAGATTTTGGAGAGGTGTTGGTCATCTTGACCAGCAGGTTTTGTATTTGACCACTTAAAAATTGGATCTTGCCGGTCATCTTGACCAGCAAGGAAAATTAGCTTAAGGCATGCCCTGTGTGTACATCCCCAAAACATCATGTGTGTGTAACTTATACATATTATAATTTTCCCTTTCTTTTTCCAGATGCCCCTCCCCACCTCCAAAGAAGCAAAAGATTGAACAAGACAGAGAAAATAATTTTGTTCCAAATGTCCTGCAAGGTGAAATTGCGCGTCTTGACTATAGATTCCGAGTGAACCTGCATCCACTTTGCCAGGCTGGCTGTAAGGATATACAGCTAATCTGTAAACTAGGTTAGTCAGAATCAATAATTTCATTATGTCACCACCAGAAGTTGCCACATATATTTATGGTCAGCTTTTTTATGTGGACCATGTTCAGTGGTTGGTGTTCGGTGTCTGTAACAAATTTTAGGTGGTGACATTTTGCATTTTAATGACTTGTTACCTTTAACTTGTGGATGGAAAAGTATGGGATTGCATGAGTATTTTGAAATATGGCCATTCTATTATGTCAATATGGTGACGGTGAGTTATATGCTCAACCCTGAGGCAACTCAACCCTGGGTCAATTCAACCCTTGATCAACTCAGCCCTGGGTCAATTCAACCCTTGGTCAACTCAACCGTGGGTCAATTCAAACCTTGGTCAATTCAACCCTGGGTCAATTCAACCCTTGGTCAACTCAGCCCTGGGCCAATTCAACCCTTGGTCAACTCAACCATGGGTCAATTCAAACCTTGGTCAACTCAGCCCTGGGTCAATTCAACCCTTGGTCAACTCAGCCCTGGGTCAATTCAACCCTTGGTCGACTCAAATCTGGGTCAATTCAACCCTTGGTCGACTCAAATCTGGGTCAATTTAACCCTTGGTCATGTTACCTAAATAGATTTTAAATTTCATAGTTAACACTTGAAATTGATAGATGAGGAAACAACAAATAGAGTTTGTGCCAATATGTTGTGGTGGTCTGTTGTGATTGTCAATTTGGTACAGACAAATGAATTGACACTTGATTTTCATATTCTCATAAAAAGGTAACTCAATACATCATTTTAAACATGTTTTTCAGAAGACAAAGATCTCCCGAGTGTACCCCCTCTCAATGTAACAGTGCCAGCAGGTTACCCTAAAGTCAGCCCTATATGTGACACAAAACATAAAGATTATGGTAAGTATACCTCCAAAGGAGGAGGGAAATTAGCGCAACAGATTTTGGACAGTCATATTTTGGATTTTGGCGATTTTCTGAGGATTTAAACAATTGCATATGTTAGGCCAATGCATTACCTCCAGGAAAATCACTTCTAGAGATGATAAAATAATTTCTACTTTGAGACAGGGTAGATGCAAACAACCCACCCACATGTTTTTTCTGAAATGTTTTCCTAATTTTTGACCCCCTTTTCAATTTTTCTTGCATCAATATGTTGCATTTTGACACATAGTTAACCACTTTAAAGGAATAAGTGATTCCTTCAGGGATATTAAAGATACCCATTATGGGTGACCGAACTTAGCTGAAAGCAATGATTTTTATGAAAATAACATGGGAAATATTGTTTTCCACTTTATCTAAAAGGAATCATTTATTCCTTTTAAGGGATTATCTGTGTGTCAAAATGCAACATATTGATGCAAGAAAAATTAAAAAAGCAGGGATGGAAGGGGTTGAAAATCAGGAAAACGTTTCAGAAAAAACATGTGGGTGGATTGTTTGCATCTACCCTGTCTCAAAGTCGAAATTATTTTATCATCTCTAGAAGTGATTTTCCTGGAGGTAATGCATTCGCCTAACATATGCACCTGTTTAAATCCCCAGGAAATGGCCAAAATCAAACATATGACTGTCCAAAATCTGTTGCACTAACTTCCCTCCTCCTTTGCCTTGGGTAGTGTCAGAAGTTTTATCTTGTTTGCTTTCGCATTCTAAATATGACAGTAGATATTCCCCTTTTGGGTGTTTACGCAATGATTATGATGGAAATTTTATATATGATTTTTGAAATAAATACTAAAAACTTATTTTAAACATAAAAGGATGTTGCATCTTGTTTGCTTTCTCACTCCAGATATGACAGAATTCCTGAAAAATGTCATGAACAATTTAACAGCACGACTAGTTCGTTTAGCAGAGATACATTCATTATCAACATTACTAGACACGTGGGAAATGTCAGTGAGAGTTGCTTGCAACAACAAAGATTAAAGACTAGAGAAATATAAAACTTTTGTAGAAAACCTGTGTAATAAAACCAAACCTATCGGAACATTATTGTTAGGTAAAAGGTTGCTGAAAGGTCTTGATTTTACTCATTAAAGCTTCGGACCAATCAATGTTCAACTTATTTACAGTATACTTCATTAAAAAATATTCTATTATGAAACCTGGCTTAACTTGTTCAGTCAGAAAAATGTAATTTGTGCATGCTGATTTTACCAAGATCTGATAATTGTACATTCAAAATTGATCAATAATTGAAATTAAGTGGAGTTTTTCTCTCTCAAGAATTGTGATAATTTGGGTAGATAATGCAACAATTTGCTTGTCTTTGAAAGTCCAATATAGACTTCTTACAACATGCATTATTTACATATGCAATGTGTTTATACTGTGTAGCCTACATCTACATCTATTATACATTTTCAGAAATGGCTGTCTCTCCTTTTCCACATCAACAATGTGTCTCTTGCAATGGGAAATGTGCAATTATGAATTCACTATACATGTACAATATATCCATGAATTCACTATACATGTACAATATATCCATGAATTCACTGTACATGTGCAATATATTCATGAATTCACTGTATATGTGCAATATATTCATGAACTCACTGTACATGTGCAATATATTCATGAATTCACTGTACATGTACAATATATTCATGAATTCACTGTACATGTGCAATATATTCATGAATTCACTGTACATATGCAATATATTCATGAATTCACTCTGTATATGTACAATATATATTCATAAATTCACTGTACATGTGCAATAAATTCATGAACTCACTGTACATGTGCAATATATTCATGAATTCACTGTACATGTGCAATATATTCATGAATTCACTGTACATATGCAATATATTCATGAATTCACTCTGTATATGTACAATATATATTCATAAATTCACTGTACATGTGCAATATATTCATGAATTCACTGTACATGTGCAATATATTCATGAACTCACTGTACATGTGCAATATATTCATGAATTCACTATACATGTACAATATATTCATGAATTCACTGTACATATGCAATATATTCATGAATTCACTCTGTATATGTACAATATATATTCATAAATTCACTGTACATGTGCAATAAATTCATGAACTCACTGTACATGTGCAATATATTAGTGTTTATGTACTAAGAAATAATTACTGGAGATTCTAAATTCCCATTTGTGTACAATAAATACCTGCTCATGTTCAGTAAGTTGGTGTTCATGTTCAATAAATTACTTGCACGAGAAATGTTTGGGATTTAATTAAGTTTTTGGATACTAACATGGAAATTGATGATTCAAATTATTTATATATGAATGGTTTCCACTTGATAATTTCTGACAAGATCCATGATGAAGAGCTGAAGAACATTTTTATGGTAAAGCCTGTATATAGTACTATTGAACACCTATGGAGCCACAAAAAGGTGTTCACTTCAGGTAGCTGTTCACTACAGAGAGGGGATTTATACAGGTGTCAATGTAAAATGTGTCTTGAAGTGGTGTTCACTAAACATAAGTTTTTACTGAAGAGAGGTGTTCACTAAGACATTTTACTATACATTCAATATTTAGTAAATGACTCACTACATGTGCTAAACCAATCAAATCATCTGTTTTACATTCTACTGTAGAACAGGTTTTTTCATGACATATGTCAGATTAATCATTAAGTTCTGAGATTAAGCCACTTAAATTAAGAGTTGAATATCTTTTAATCTGGCCTTTCATGTCTGCTGTATTTGTCATGAAAAAATATTCAATAATGAATTGTATATACAAAATGTACATGTGTATCTGGATTATAATAAAGAATACCAAAAAACAACATTTTTGTTAGAAAATTCAATAAATTGCCCAGCCCCTTTATTGTTCTTTAAGGATTACACTTATTACATAGGACAATGAAAATGAAAAAACACCTTTTTGTGGTTTCCTGGATTCATTTTGGGCCCATCACCTCCCCAACGATCCAATTTGGTGTTGTTACATGTATATGGTGTGAACGGTCATTGTAAAATCCACAAAACAACTAATTGATGCCCATTAATTTTCAAGTCAAGTAAATGGATAATGTCCTTTTTATGAAGTGGGGAAGATAAAACATTTATAACAGAAATCATACTAGTGATTTGAAGAGCATTTAAAGTAATGTTTAAAGGCAAATTATCATGTTTTGGAAATGTACATATAAAATTCATCAATTGATGGATGGTGGAAAGAGTTAAGTCGAATGAGGTAAAATATCTATTCAAGACAACAAGACATAGGCCTGGGAACACGTATAAAAAGAGGTATTCAACTCAACCTTTTTGGCTCACACAGTGAGCCTATGGGATCGACCAGGTGTCTGGCCGTCCATTGGTCTGTCCGTTGGTCTGTCCGTTCCGTCCATCCGTCAATATTGGCTGCACAAATTAAAACTGCTATTCGGATTGAGTCATATCCACATTCATTTTATGCATATCCATAATGCCTATTTGACCTATCATCACCATTTCCCAAGTTTGCCCAGTTTCTGAGAAATTGCTGATTTTGACGTCAAAAAGTCAAATTTTCTGTAAATACTAGACACTTTGTTGAAGTAGAATTTTCAGTAGTTGCTGCATTAATGCAACTTATGTTCGCGCATTTGAAATTCCAGTTTTTGGTGTTTACTCTATAAAATGTGACAAAAAGTAGGACTGCCATTTTTAGGGAACTTTCTCATGTGTAGAATCTATAAAGTCAATCATCATTGGCTGCACAAAATACTGTGTGAGCACAGGACCGTGGGTCCTTTTTTATACATGTTCCTTGGCCAGTGCAACACGGTGTTGTCTTTAAGATCTAAATAAAAAACGTTACTTTAAAAATGCCAATATTTTCTCTCTATCTCAACAAGAAAGAGAAAAATACAGAACCAGAATCCAATTTGGTGTTGTTACATGTATATGGTGTGAACGGTCATTGTAAAATCCACAAAACAACTAATTGATGCCCATTAATTTTCAAGTCAAGTAAATGGATAATGTCCTTTTTATGAAGTGGGGAAGATAAAACATTTATAACAGAAATCATACTAGTGATTTGAAGAGCATTTAAAGTAATGTTTAAAGGCAAATTATCATGTTTTGGAAATGTACATATAAAATTCATCAATTGATGGATGGTGGAAAGAGTTAAGTCGAATGAGGTAAAATATCTATTCAAGACAACAAGACATAGGCCTGGGAACACGTATAAAAAGAGGTATTCAACTCAACCTTTTTGGCTCACACAGTGAGCCTATGGGATCGACCAGGTGTCTGGCCGTCCATTGGTCTGTCCGTTGGTCTGTCCGTTCCGTCCATCCGTCAATATTGGCTGCACAAATTAAAACTGCTATTCGGATTGAGTCATATCCACATTCATTTTATGCATATCCATAATGCCTATTTGACCTATCATCACCATTTCCCAAGTTTACCCGGTTTCTGAGAAATTGCTGATTTTGACGTCAAAAAGTCAAATTTTCTGTAAATACTAGACACTTTGTTGAAGTAGAATTTTCAGTAGTTGCTGCATTAATGCAACTTATGTTCGCGCATTTGAAATTCCAGTTTTTGGTGTTTACTCTATAAAATGTGACAAAAAGTAGGACTGCCATTTTTAGGGAACTTTCTCATGTGTAGAATCTATAAAGTCAATCATCAGACCCGTAAGACACTTTTCTCCAAGGGGGGTGCGGTTTTTTGCTTAAGAGAATATAAAATTGTCATTTTTTGCCGCGTAAATCAAATCGCGCAAGACAGAGGGGGGGGGGGGGGGTCAGTTACTCCCTGTATTGGTTTGGAATTAACAAATGCATGCAACTTCCAAACATTCCAATTGATTTGTGGGGGGTGTGAGGAGTTGTCCACTCCCCCTAGAAAATTTTATAGTTTTGAGATGCTATTTGGTGCTTTCTGGGCACTTTCAAAGTGTAAGTTTCTAAGTAGTACACCACCACGGGAATAAGAGTTGAGTGAATAAAAAACTGAGTATTCAGGGGGGTCTGGGGGTTCTCCCCCAGGAAAATTTTGAAATTTGGTTGTATTTGGAGTGAATTTGCAATCATCTGGTACGCCTGTGCGTTATGAGTCAATAAGAAAAATGTGATTTTTTTTCAAATTCTTTTGGGGGTGTCAAAGAGGATGAGAGGGTGAAGTGGGGTGGGGTGCCAGTAGAGGAGCAAGGGGTTGTCCCCCAGAAACATTGACCATATCAAGGTGCTATTTGATGATGTCTGGGCACTTAAAAAATATCTGAGACAATACATGAAATTCAGAATATTTTCTTTTGTTTTGTGGGGGATGTGAGGGGTGGCTAACTCTCCTAGAACATTTTACAATTCAAAGATGATATTTGGTGCTTCTGGGCACTTTTAAAGTGTATTAGTCAATAAAAACATTGAAAAACAATCACAATTTTTTTCAAATTTTGGGGTTGTCAAAGGGGGGAGGGGTGCCAGAGGGGGAGGTGGGGCTGGGGTACCAGAGGGGGAGCAAGTGCTTGTCCCCCATATCAAAATTTACAATATCAAGGTGCTATTCGATGAAGTTTGGGCACTTAAAAAGTGTCTGTGCCTAAAAGTGCCTATTTCCCAAGAAAATTTTACAATTTTAAAATGCTATTTGGTGCTTTCTGGGCACTTTCAAAGGGTATGAGTCAATAAAATTTTTTGAAAAATCTCTTTTTTTTTGGGAGGGGGGGGGGGGGTGGTGTTAAGGGAGGGGGCTGCCAGAGGGGGAGGTGGAGTGGGGATGCCAGAGGGCGAGTAAGTGTTAGTCTTCCAGAATCATTAACTTTATCAAGGAGCTATTTGAAGATGTCTAGGCAATTTAAAAGTGTCTGAGACAATACATAAAACAAATTCAGAACTTTTCCATTTTTTTGTTTGGGGTGTGAGGGGTGAACCACTCCCCCTAGAAAATTTTACAATTTTACGACACTATTTGGTGCTTTCTGGGCACACTTTCAAAGTGGATGTGTCAATTAAAGAATTTGAGAAAATCACAATTTTATTTTGGGGGGGGGATCAAGGGAGGGGGCGCCAGAGGGGGGAGGGTTATGCAAGTGCAAGATGCAAGAGGGGGAGTAAGTCCCCCAGAAACACTAACTATATCAAGGAGCTATTTGATGATATCTGGGCACTTTAAAAGTGTCTGAGACAAAACTCTAAAATAAATTTAGAACTTTTCCATTGTTTTATGGGGGGTGTGAGGGGTGGCCAATACCCCTAGAAAATTTTACAATTTTAAGATGCTATTTGGTGCTTTCTGGGTACTTTCAAAGTGTATGAGTCAATGAAAAAAAAAATTACAAAAAAAATATTTTTCAAAAAAAAAATTTTTAGGGGGTGACAAAGGGGGGTGCGGTCGCACCCATCGCACCCCCCCATCTGACGGCCCTGATCATCATTGGCTGCACAAAATACTGTGTGAGCACAGGACCGTGGGTCCTTTTTTATCACAGTCAGAGAGAATGTTTCTGGCGAAATTCTGGGACTTCAAATACTTTATAGTTCCAGAGCAGTTCGAAGAACTGCGTATTAGATGTCCGTGTTTTTTATACATGTTCCTTGGCCAGTGCAACACGGTGTTGTCTTTAAGATCTAAATAAAAAACGTTACTTTAAAAATGCCAATATTTTCTCTCTATCTCAACAAGAAAGAGAAAAATACAGAACCCCGGGTAATGGGGTACAGAGATCTTTGTTGCTTTGGATTTATTTATTTACATTTTTCATGACAGTAAATTGCAAAATAAATAAAATGGTACTTAACACTTATAGTATGCCTTAGATAAAGATAAACAAAAACTCAATTTACTTATATTATTATGACCCTAAAATAATTAATATAGAGAAACAATGATTATCTTTCGACAATTTAAGAATTATTGATTTATTTAGTCGTTTCCCGTCATGAAAAAGCACCTTGACCTTTGACGTCATATGTTTATATGGCGCTCGGCGACGGGATACACTTTTTTATAACTTTCTGACAAAACATTGATTTTACCAATGTTATAGAAGGAATAAATTTACATAATCGTGCATAATAGAACATTTTATAGCCACCTTTATAATAAATTTAATAATGGGTTGTGGGGGTAGTAAAACGACAGATAACAGTGACAATACGGGACCCAGAAGTCCAAAAAAATCAAATTCCCCAAGTCCAAAGAAAAACAATCCAAATGATGAACATCTCCATGGTAAAACAGAGACATGCGAGGCAAGTGAACATGAAAGTAGCAAGGATGCCGAGGAAGTGAAGTATGAAGATGAACCAGTTGAACGAATGAAGACTGAAGAGGAACCACCAAATAAACTTCCTCTGGGCGATTATGGAGACGGACGCTTGGGTGTTGCTGTAAGTTGATGTTGTCCTTAGAGGACTTTCATTACAAAAATTGATAATTGAATGTTTAATAAAATTTGCACATGTAGACCATAAACAGACACAACTTTTTCATCAAACCTTTTAGGTACTTCTGTTTTGAGTCATTTTAGATGCAGATTGTTGTCGATGAAGTACCCATCACCAAACTGTCATTTTCTACTTTTTTACAAAACTAAAAAAAAATCACAAAAATTGACAGAGTTAGGCCTAGTACTAGCCTATACATTTTACCCCCAAGTATTATATATTTTCAGACAGAAGATGTCATGATTGAAAAACTGAAAGTTTTGTCTGACGATGAATTGTACTGTGACGCAGATTTCCCAGCAGACAATGAGGCCCTTTATTATTCAGAAGGACGGGTAGATCCAGATATAGAGTGGAAGCGACCAAAGGTAACTTGTTTGGTTTTTTGGAATTTATTGTTCATGTCATCCCTTGGAAAGTGTCTCCATATATTCATAGAATTGCAGCTTGTTCTGCATATGTGTCATAAATGACTGAATTTCTTTAATTCAAAAAGTTGTTTTTGAAGGAATCTTTGGTCAAAAAAATCTCAATCTAGCAGCTGAATTTGGTTGTCACAGTACTTGTCTATTAATAAACAATAATTTACACCATGTAACACCTAAATGCATAGAAAATTCCAGAGAGTAGCATCCTAATTTATTTTATATTGTATAGAAAGTAAGAAAAATAAAATAGAATTGCTTAATGGAATATAAAATTATGTTTTTTATTTACATTGAATAGTGTTGTATTTGATGATCTAAAATTGAATCAATTACCTTTTGCTGCCAAAATGCAGAGTAATTCAAATATTTTTGTCATTTCTTTATAAGGACATACTGGAGGATGGCAAAGAACCAAGACTATTGGTGGATGGAGTCAGTAAGGAGGACATCAAACAAGGTGAACTTGGGGACTGCTGGTTTCTTTCCTCCTGTGCTGCAGTTTCACAACAAGAGAGGTTCATGAAAATGGTAAATTACACATGCCATATTTACTTCTTGATTTCTTTTACTTTTCTCATAATTTGAGAATTGATCCCACTGCTGACACCAATGTACAAAATGGATTGTCATACTTGTATTTAATTTGTTGAGTTCATCATTAATGTGAAGTATATATAGGTAGGCCTAGTAGAGTGAGAGATCTGTCTCATCATGGTCTCATTACTGACTTGGAGACTTTCTTACAGATTTGGTGCCTGAAAAAAGGGCATGGACCAAAAAGTGTTATTCTCTGCCCAGTTAAATAATATGATTCTCATTAAGTTAACTGTATCTATTCCATCTTCAAGATGCACTGTTGTCTTGCTTACATCATCAACAATACCTCAAGCTAATCTGGCAAAAGAAATATTTAGCTTTTTATAAATTTTTGGCCATTAAACTTTTATGTTAATGTAGTATTACATTTAAATGAGTTTCACTTTACATGTAGATTTTCCCATGTAACCAGCCTCTTAGTGGTCCAGGGTACAAGGGTGCTGTCAAATTTAAATTCTGGAGGTTTGGCGAATGGATTGATGTCCTGATTGATGATCTTCTTCCAACAAAAAACAACCAGCTCGTATATGCACGCTGTTCAGATGAGACTGAATTCTGGGTGGCATTACTCGAGAAAGCGTATGCAAAGTGAGTATCAGTGACGTGTTTAAATTGATTGCATCTGTTCACATGAATTCACATGTTTCCCAAATATTTATATGTTTATTAAAAACTGTCAAACTATAAACAAGCTTTAAAAATACCCTTTGCATTCCTTTAATCTTACTTCTTAAAAGAGGGCTTTGTCTTCACTCTTCAGTTTAGAATTAGTTTTGAATGACCTCGAACCTAGGTCCGTGAAACGAATATCTAATAAGGGAAATGTTCTTCAGATATGAGCCCCCTCTAAATATTGGGTGCGGAGGTACGTTTATGGAGCTCCTCCGCACCCAATATTTAGAGGGGGCTCATATCTGAAAAACATTTCCGAATTTTTATAAAATCACAAAGATACTGCCTGGCTTCCAAGATGCAAAAATAATTTGTATAGATAGTGTACCTTGAACACCATTTTTTATGAATGCTGGGGACTCAGTATTAAAAGGATAATTTCAAAATATATAGGTCTGGGAAAGGTTTAAGGAACACTGCGTCGCTATAGAATGAATTGCACTACTATTTTCACAATTGTATTGATATTTGGTGTCAAATACACATATTTTGGTATATTTGAAGTCCCAAAACGGCTTAGCTTCAGAAATATCCCAAATTTAAATTCAAAAATGACCGTTAGCTCCGCACCCTCCGCTCATTTGCTCCGCACCCAATATTTCCCACAGGCTCTGTCTGCATAGGGTGTTATAATATATTTTAGATGCTTCGAAATGATTTAATGGTTAAGTTTGGCGAGACGATGTAACGCCGTAATTAAAGTAGCCAAATCATCTATATCAAAGCCTAACAGCCAAATATCACCCAGTTGTCATTTACCTAGTCTCACTGATCTACTAGATTTGACGCCAAACCATTTTTACACATTTTCAGATTGCATGGCTCATATGAAGCTATAGAGGGAGGCCAGTCTATGGATGCCCTGGTTGATCTGACTGGAGGACTAGGGGAGATATATGACATTTACAATAACCCAGACAATAAATTGTACCAGAAATTCAGAAGAGCTCAAAAAGCAGGTTCTTTCATAGCTTGTTCTAAGAAGGTGATTTTTGATATTACATTCCTGAAAATATTTTTTGTTTCATAGTTAATCTAAATTTTATGTTTGAGCAAAGGCATAGACAGGATCTTATAATATGAAAGGCAAAGGATTGGGATCGATATGGAGAACTGAATTCAACAATGTTTTTCTCTTAAACCAATCATTGAAAACATTCTGTAAAAAGACACAGTGCATTTTCTTCGACCTTTTAATATCATAATTAAACAAAATAAAGTTTGGTTCATTTAAAAAAAAGTAATCAAAACATAAAATAAAACCCCCAAAACAGATAAAAAGTTCCTTTTATTTCATTAACAAGATTATCTTATAAATGAACCAAACTTTTCTTTGTACAATTACAATATTGAGATACCTAAAAACGTTGCGTATATGTTATTTTTTTACAATAAGGTTCGGATAGAAATTTCAATTCATTCTGAACATATGGTATTAAGAACAAAAGAAGTGTCGGATTTTTAAATTGTGACCATTCAAAAGATGACCATTAAATTGATGATTTGTAATTTTTTCAGATTTTTTAATGACTGGTTTAAGAGAAACATGTGTTCAATTTAGTTCACCATCGCTACCAAGCCTCTAAGTGGAACTATTGGTATTATTGGACTTGATTTACATAGCTTGGTTGAAATGAAAAGGCATGCTAATGTATCAATAATTTTGGTGTGGAAAAAAGAACGTATTTTCTGTAAAAGCAAACTCTTACGTGCTTACATATCCTGTAAGAGGCATTTGAATTCTCAGTTGTTAGAATCATAGAACCAAACAGTTCTTGAATTATATAGCATATTGTGTTGTCTTGTATTGTGTGTTTAGACCACCACCCTGCTGACTACACTATGTCACAGTTTATGATACTGTTATAGCATGAATCAAAATTGAGTCTTTAATTGAATGTTCTTCTTCAATTATAGGGTGACTGGAGATCATCAGACCATGCTGATAAAAATGGTTTAGTGTCAGGGCATGCCTACACTATCACCGGAGTTGCAAGGGTAAAGTATTATACTCACATCTATACCAAAATGCCATCTCTTTTAGAACTTTGATTGTTATATTGGGTAGATTATTTTTAATGATAATGCCATATGCTGTAGATTTTTTCCTGATCATGGCAAATTCTCTTCAATTTAGAATCTTAACTTTGCCTAAGCTACCACACTGCAATATTTATTTTTATACTGCTAATTTACTTCTATACTGTATACTGCTAGTTTATTTCTATACTGGTTATTCATTTCTATACTGGTTATTCATTTCTATACTACTTATTTATTTCTATACTACTTATTTATTTCTATACTGCTAGTTTATTCTATACTGCTACTGCTTTAAACAACTATACATTTTTCTCATGCTTTATATTTGTTTGTAGATTAAACAGGAAGGAGCTGGTTTCGAAAAGTTGATCAGAGTTAGAAATCCATGGGGTGATTCAACAGAATGGAATGGGCCATGGAGTGATGGGTAAAATATTTTACACTTCCTTTTCTTTTATAATGTAATACATATGGTTAAAATTACTTTTGTAAAAGGATTGGTATCGATATGGTAAACTGAATTCTCTTAAACCAATTATTGAAAACGGTCCTTTATGTAATTGTGACTGATTGACAACAATTTAATGGGAAAATTATTTCTATATATTTTATATACCGTATTTGCCGTAGTAGGCGCCCAGGCGCTTAAAGTAAGTCAAAACAGTTCAAAAAGTTGTCCTTATTAGCGCCCATATGAGTCCCGCCTGATAAAAATTAAGATAAGCCTTTTATTTCATTAACAAGATACTTTTTTTTAAAACAACCAACTTTCCTTTGTACAATTGTAATAGTGAGACACCTAAACACGTTTTGTTTATGTCATTTTGTTCAAATGATTCGGATAGATGTTTCATTTCATTCCAAACATGCATGATACCAAGAACAAAATAAGTATCTGGTGTGCTTTCTGAAACAACTTTGAGAAAAGCATATATATTTACTTCAAATTATATTGTTACCATTCAAAAGATGACCATTAAATTGACGATGTGTAAAACTTTCAGAATTTTTTGATGACTGGTTTAAAGTGTCTCACATATTCGATCAAAAATTGCCATGCAAACATGTTAGTCTACTTTACTGGCCCCCCTTGCTGTAACAAGGAACACAAAACACATTAAAACGTAAACATAAACCAATTAGTCACTTCACTATGCAAGTGAGGGGTGTTACGCTGTGTGCATGGACTAACACAATATCAGTGGTCATACTGTGTCAACTTAGTAACCCTTGCATATCGTGCTCACTCAAGTATTGAATAATTTTTTTATGATCTAAATGTTTGTGGTTTATAAAAAAAAGTGGTATATTTTAGTTAGAAATACATTAATTAATATATTCAATCAAACAGCACTAGAATGCGGGAAGAAAGAGCAATGGTGACAAAATGCAGACAGAATTTTCCATAAGGGTTTCAAACATTTCTGGACACAATAATACATGTACTTCATGTGTACTGTTATTTTTAGTGCTGTATTTATCGATACAATTTCACGTATTAAAATCATATTTTCCAGCAATGACTTCAAGTTCGGAACCACACCCATATCAAATTTTCTTCAATAACTCCAAACATGTGTAAACATTGACCATGTGCATATAAATTTAGATTTCACGAGCTCTTTCCTATTCGAGTACCTCATACACCCCTGCATGGATTTGAGTTGGATTCGCCTTTTATACGTGAGCCGGTACACATCGCAAACGCTGATTGGATAAAGATTGCGAGAATCTTTAAGAGCAACCTCCAATCACAGGGCTTCAAAATCCAGAATATATTCTTTCTTTTTACCCCCTGCGATAAGCAGTTAGCATTTCCCCGATTAAGAACTCGCAATCTGATTGGCTGTCGCAACACTGCTACAGTAATCATGTATAAGTCATTGCGCATAATAAGATCACGTGATTCAGTTTAATCAGGCCAGAGCTGTCAAGTGTCCCGCGAATGGCGGGATTATCCCGCGAATTTGATCAAAATTTGGCTAATTCGCGTGTCCCGCAATGTCCCGCGAAGTCCCGCAAATGTCGGCTTTGACCTCCGCGAATTTTCAAAATTGTAACAATCCCCGAAGCTAAAGGGTACACCCCAGTTGTCCGAAACCCAATACTCCGAAAAATATAGTCATGATTTACCAGAGAAAGGGGGACCGTACCAAGTTAAGCTTACGCCAGTTTCATGCCATATATTTGGCCAAATTAATTGGATGGACGCATTCTGATGTTTATAGATCTCTCTCACTCTTTCTCACTTAGAATTGCACCCATTACATGGTGCTACTAGAATGGCAGGAACGGGGGATTTATTTTACATTGTGATCTTAAAGCGGTTATTAAAACACAATATATATTACGGAACAGTTTATCTTCAATCTCTTTTTATAGCCAAATTAAAATGAAACATTTTGAAACAGATAAAATAAGTTAACGCATAGAACTTTAAACATAAAAGAGTTTACAATATTACGTTGTCAAAATATTTCGTCGCATTTAATTTCTTAGTCTCTGTCTCTTATCAAATCGTAAAAGAACAAAGCATTCTAAACCTAACCACTTGGAATTTGTTTTTCGGCCTTCGTTTCCGGCATTTTTTTTTTATTTTCTTCTCCTAAACTGTATTTGCTTGACAATAATCAGAGAAAGTGCGTATAAGTATTTTTGCGTGGCATATTCTGTCACGCAAACAAACGGGTGTGATTTCAATTTCTTGTCTGTCTGAGGAAGTATTGGGAACGAGGTAGAATTAAAGAATTTTATGAACGAGTCATGCAAGATACTAGAGCTAGTAAAGTAATTTATTGGATAAGTTAATTTCTGAAGGATCTAGATAAAATATGTTTCAAAACTTTGTGAACACTACATAACTACATTAGGCAGATATAGTATCTTGATATATTTGGCTATCATGTGTTTAAAATACGTTCCTAAAATTATGAAAACGTTAGGTGAGAAATATTGCTATTGTACGTTCGAAAAGTATTTGGTTGTATTTTCTAGTTCTCGAGTTACCCATGAACTTTCGTAGGCTAAACATTAAACAATTAACGTATTGACTTAGCCTAATTTTGCAATGATGTTAACGTGACTCCAATGTTATGTTGTCGTGACTCGCAGAGGTTGTGACAAGATTCGCTTAAAGAAATTGTATTTTTAAGATAAGATCCCCTTATTTTCGAACAACTGGGTTTCGGACAACTGTCTGGGTTTCGGAAAACTGCTCGGATTCGGAGAATTGGGTTTCGGACAACTGGGTTGACCCCTATCGGACCCCTATATGAAAAGGTACATTTTAATATATAACACAATGAGGGGTAAATGTTTCATAGTTGGTCACGAACGCCATAAGTGCAAAGTATTGTTCAGAATTTTTGAATTTCGTGTTGGATTACGGTACTCACAAGTGTGGTTTTTCTTAATAATATTTCTATGCGTATTGTGTGGAATTGTGTTGACATTTACTTAAGTTAAGTGCATTATATGTGATAAATCAGTATCTGAAATTTTAATTTGAGTACTTTTACATTATGCCCCAATCACGCAAATCCCTTGAATGTCCTGCGATATCCCGCAAATTTAGGTGGATGTTTCGCCAATCCTGCAATTTTAGGGCACTTTGTCTAAAGAAATTGCCCCTCTATGAAGTCTTAGGGTGGTTACCCTGTTAACTGTCCCGCAATTAACTTGTTTGTCCCTCGAATGGTCCTGCGAAATCCCGCGAATTTTAATCGAAATTCGACCTATTAGCGCAATCACGCAAATTCCTTAAATGTCCCGCGAAATCCCGCGAATTTAGGCGGATGTCCCGCAAAATCCCGCGAATTTTTGGCACTGGGTCTAAAAAATCTGTCCCGCGAGAAAATCTTTGGGGGTTGACAGTACTGTCAGGCGCTCTAGTATTTCCCCGATTAAAAACTCGCAATCTGATTGACTGTCGTAACACTGCGACAGAAATCATGTATAAGTCATTGCGCATAATAAGATGGTTAAATTTGTTATAGCAGGGGGGAAGAAGGAGGTACAGATTCTGAACACCTGCTTAGGAGGATGGTTTTAAACGAAACCTGTGTTCAAAAAGTTCACCATATCGATACCCATCCTTTGAAGGCAATTAATATTTCAAATTGTTGAAAATGATGAATATTGCATGCACATCCACTTCTGGAATAATTTAGCAAAACAGAATAGAATGAAATAAAATAACATTATTCTCAATCACTTCAGGCATTCAAACTGGGACAACGTGGATGATAGTGTTAAGAAAGCCGTAGGATTTACTGAGAAAGGAGATGGTGAATTCTGGATGAGCTTTGATGATTTCTGTGCCCAATTCAACCAAGTGACCATCTGTACCACAGGACCAGATTTTGATGGTGACGGAGATGCCGACCAAGGTACACATGTATTTAATTTGTCAGTCAGGATCCAAAAATTGGTAAAGCAAACCTTAGCAAGCATGGCAGAATACCAAAAGGATGATGTTTATGTTTCTTTATTTCCACCTTCAAGATGAGTACAGTGTACATATATTATTTTAGATTTTAAAAGTTACAACACATATAGAACCATGGAATGTTATTTTCACAGTTTCAATCGTAAAATAAATCATCAATTGATTAAGTATGAAGGTACACCGTACTAGAATGTAAATATTGCTAAAATGTATGATAAAAATGCTAAGACCCGCTTATCCTCAATTTATCTGCTTATCGTCAACTCTTTAACTCCCCTTACATTTCCCTTCCTGTTAATTTCCTAGGAGGGTGCATCATGTATGAACATGGTGAGTGGAAAGAGGATACAGCAGGGGGATGTAGGAATGACCTTGACAGTTTCGCAACCAATCCACAATTTGACCTTCACATCACTGATGTTGGTAAGTGAGCTTATTAGCATTTATCATTATCCCATCGAACGAAGTTCGGAGGGATATAGGGAACGCCTCCGTCCGTCCGTCCGTCCGTCCGTCCGTCCGTCCGTCCGTCCGTCCGTCTGTCTGTCCGTCCGTCCGTCCGGGCGATAACTCAAATACCGTTGGCCCGATTTTGTTCATATTTTGTACACATATACCCTATGGGGGTAGAAGTTCTGCTCGAAAGCCGATTTTCAAAATGGCCGCTCAATTCAGAATGGCGGCCATTTTAGTGCCGATTTTACAGTAATTTAGGTGCAATATGTATAACTGTAATAGCAATATGTTTTAAATGTAAAAAAATTATGAAGGACATTAATAAAGCTATAAATGTAGACATTAAAGAAGCACATGGCAGCCATCTTGAAAAATGGCGGCCTTTACTCGTTATTTTACGATTTTTGCTATAACTCGAAAAGTAGTGGAGCGATTTTGTTCATATTTGGTATGTGAATACTATAAGCATTGCACACTGCCTAAAGACACTTTTGGTAGAAGGCGGCCATTTTGAAAAATGGCCGCCATTTTAACGTATTTTACTATAACTCGAAAAGTAGTGAAGCGATTTTGTTCATATTTGGTATGTTTCATATTTCATATGTGAATACTATAAGCATGGCACACTGTCTAATGACACTTTGGGTAGTAGGTGGCCATTTTTACTATAACTTGAAAAGTAGTGAAGCGATTTGGTCATATTTGGTATGTGAATACTCATGAGCCTTGCACACTGTCTCATGACACTTCAGATAGTAGGCAGCCATTTTATAAAAATGGCTGTCATTTTTACATTTTTTACTATAACTCGAAAAGTAGTGGAGCAATTTTGTTCATATTTGATATGTGAATACTTTAAGCATGGCACATTGTCTAATAAAACTTTGGGGAGTAGTCAGCCATTTTGAAAAATGGCCACCATTTTTATGTGTGTTATTTTACAAGTACATGTATGCGATTTTTTAAAGATTTTATAGGTGGCTACTTAAAAGCATATTATTTCTTCTGATGACAACTTGGCTAGTGAGCAACCATTTTGAAAATGGTGGCCTTTCTTGTGTGTTGTTTTATGATGTTTGCTATATATTTTGTTTGTAAAAATGCCAGCCATTTCTGTTCGATGGGATTCGCTACGCTTTGGCGTTGCCGTTGTTCTGGTTTCAATATAAGTACGGTATACGTAGCACTGAGGAGTCACGACACGGAGGGTTTCTCTTTGCAGCAGAGTGATTTTATAGGTGTGGTGAAGCATGGCCTTATTTGAAAGTTACTTTAGATCCATATTGTAGTTCTGGTGTAAATGTACATGTAACATGTTCAAAAGACTCATAAATGCTACATTTGAGATGGTTAAGATCAAACCAACAATCAACCCTGTAAAATTATTTGTAAAAGTCAAAGGGAAGTTTCGCTGGCCATTGCAGATCACTCACTATCACACCACAATTATGTATTACCACCAATATTTAGAGAATGAGTATTGCTTTCTGTTACTACCACTGTTATTAAGGGTATTACCACCAGTGGCAGCCATGCAGGGGTGATTAATGGACATTATTATTTTTTAATTTTGGGCTTAATTTTCAAGAATTTGGGTCCAAAATTTCCAAAATTTGGGCCCAAACCCTTCTGATTTCCAGGACCGCCCCTGACCACTGCTATTTAGGGTGTTATCACTATTATTCACTTATAATTTGTAGATGATGATGATGATGAAGATGAGGATGAGACAAAAGGCAAAGCGTGTGTTGTGATTGCTCTAATGCAAGAACATAGGAGGTCAAAGAGGCACATGGGGGTTAAGGAGCTACAGATAGGATTTGTCCTTTATAAGGTTAGTAGACATGCAAGAGTTAAGTTAGGGTAAGTAGAAAGAAGCATGAGAGTTACAAAGCTTATTAGGTATTAGCATAGATGCACCCAAGGGTAGAACATTATAAGGTTTTAAAATAGATGCACCCAAGGGTTAAGAACATTATAAGGTTTTAAAATAGATGCACCCAAGGGTTAAGAACATTATAAGGTTTTAAAATAGATGCACCCACACAAGGGCTAAGAACATTATAAGGTTTTAAAATAGATGCACCCAAGGGTTAAGAACATTATAAGGTTTTAAAATAGATGCACCCAAGGGTTAAGAACATCATAAGGTTTTAAAATAGATGCACCCAAGGGTTAAGAACATTATAAGGTTTTAAAATAGATGCACCCAAGGGTTAAGAACATTATAAGGTTTTAAAATAGATGCACCCAAGGGTTAAGAACATTATAAAGTTTTAAAATAGATGCACCCAAGGGTTAAGAACATCATAAGGTTTTAAAATAGATGCACCCAAGGGTTAAGAACATTATAAGGTTTTAAAATAGATGCACCCAAGGGTTAAGAACATTATAAGGTTTTAAAATAGATGCACCCAAGGGTTAAGAACATTATAAGGTTTTAAAATAGATGCACCCAAGGGTTAAGAACATTATAAGGTTTTAAAATAGATGCACCCAAGGCTTAAGAACATCATAAGGTTTTATAATAGATGCACCCTAGGGTTAAGAACATTATAAGGTTTTAAAATAGATGCACTCAAGGGTTAAGAACATTATAAGGTTTTGAAATAGATGCACCCACACAAGGGTTAAGAACATTATAAGGTTTTAAAATAGATGCACCCACACAAGGGTTAAGAACATTATCAGATTTGTAGACATGCAAGGTTATATATAGTAGAGACTTATTAGGGTTAAGAACCTTATAAGGTTACATTTATATTGTAGATACCCTCGGCTTAATGACCTTATAATGTAAATAGTCACACAGAGGTTAAAAACTTAATAAGATTGACACAAGGGTAAAGATTAAGAACTTTGTAAGGTTGGATTGTAATGACACACAATTAGGCTTAGTACCTTATTATGTTACATATTAGAGATACATGTATGTGAGGGTTAAGAACCTTATAAGGCCAGACAGCAAAAAACTAACCTCAAAAGAAATATTGGAGTAAGGAGCTGCATAGATATTCTTCTCTTAATTTATTCAGACATTCGAACGTGGTCAATTTACTATTCTTCTGCCTACCCTTACGGAAATTTACTGGCTCCCGCAGCCTGCTGCCGCAGCGCTCCCGCAGCCTGCTGCCGCAGCGCTGCCGCAGCCTGCTGCCGCAGCGCTCCCGCAGCCTGCTGCCGCAGCGCTCCCGCAGCATGCTGCCGCAGCGCTGCCGCAGCGCATTGGAATTTATCATGCAAATTAGGCTGCCGCAGCGCTGCCGCAGCCTGCTGCCGCAGCGCTCCCGCAGCATGCAAATTAGGCTGCCGCAGCGCTCCCGCAGCATGCAAATTAGGCTGCCGCAGCATGCTGCGAGAAGGCTGCAGTTAACCGCAGCACTGTCGGAGCCATTTCACTCTGGGACTTGAGCTGCGGTTAACCGCAGCAATTGCAGAGAAGGCTACCATTGGCCTGAGGTATTTTAGGGGGAGGGAGATTGAAAACATCTCACCCAATATGATGGATGCCTATCTCTTCCATTATAGTTGCATGGCTGTGATTTTGTTGGGTTAAAATCTCCAATAAAAGTACCACTTTTTGCAGAATTTACCACAAAAACTATTGCTTTTATTAGAAAAAAATTTGAGATAATCTGCTTTTTTTAAGAAAGTACTGTTTTATTTCAAATCTACCGTAAAAACTTCAGTTGTTTTAAAATTTACCTCAAAAACTCCCGATTTTTAAAATCTACGGCGAAAACTACCAATTTTTTTAAAAACTACCAGATTTTGGAAAAATCTCCCATAAAAGTACCACAATTTTTGGAAATCTCACGCAAATTGTTCATTTTAGGTTGGCCCGGGACGTAAGATGATATAAGCAATTATTATGGGATTTTACCCATTCAGAATTGTCCTGAAGGCCAGAAGGCTCCAGTTATTGAAGAACCCTCTATGCCTCCAGCAGTATTTATCTTCATAATCTTTATAAAATACCTTATATTTTTACTGCATGGTACAATCCTCATACACAACACATTTATGCTTGACCACTTAATTTGACTGTATGAATAGAATTAAAATTTAGCCTTTATAAATTCACAAAGAAAATGAGATTTGCCCATCTAAACTGGAATAACACAGCAATACTTACATTTTATCTCTCACAAAATAGACATGCAGAATGTTCAAGTATGTCAGTAACTTCTGAATCTATATTTGATTGGTCATTTTCATACTATTATTATAAAATCATAAAATTACCCAAATCTCTTACAGTTGAACATTCTTTGTCAGCCATCTTTCTTTTGGTATAAAAAGAGCGGGAAAATACTGCCCTGTCGGAGCCAGCTCCGAGAAGGCTGCAATTAACTGCAGCGCTGTCGGAGCCAATTCGCTGCTGCAGCCCTGTCGGAGCCAGCTCCGAGAAGGCTGCAATTAACTGCAGCGCTGTCGGAGCCAATTCGCTGCAAATATGATGCTGTCGCAGCATCATGCTGCCGCAGCGATTGGCTGCAATTACCTGCATCCAACATTTGGAGCCAATTTGCTGCGGCAGCGCTGCAGCAGCAAAGTATTTCCGTAAGGGTAGTTTCGTAATATGTTTCCACATATTTTCTGAAATAGAGGGTCTCTTCCAAAATGTATTTTTTACTCTCTGTAGAAAGGTATATGAAGAAAATAGACTGAATCATGACTGCCTGTTCATGAATTTTTATTTTTCAGTGTGAAGATGGATCGCAGAAACTTCCAAAGAAACATTTTATGTACAACTATGACGCTGGAAAATCAGGAACATATATCAACCTACGGGAAGTTAGTGCAAGATTTGACCTTGAGCCTGGCCACTATATGGTGATACCATCAACGTTCAACAAGGGAGACACTGGGAAGTTTATGATGCGTGTGTTTGCTGAGAAAAAGATTGGCTTTAAGGGGTATGCATTTTCATCTTAAATAATTATTCGGTTGAACTTGTATTTGAAAGAAGCTATACCACATATTCTTATCTCTCATTTTGGATCATTTATACATATTTTTAAATTGTTGACTTTTAATTCCTCATAATTGATGAGGATTAGGATTTTGTAAACATTTTTGGAGTTCCTATCATGTTGAATTCATTGCATTGAACTTGTTCCCTTAAAAAACCACTGACAGAATGCTTTCTTTAGTTTTATTTAAAAATTGACTAAATTTGTTTTTTCAGACCAGTAACAGAGTAAAATAATTCAAGAGAAAACCAGAACAACGGCAACGCCAAAGCGTAGCGAATCCCATCGAACAGAAATGGCTGGCATTTTTACAAACGAAATATACAGCAAATATCATAAAATAACACACATAAGAAAGGCCACCATTTTCAAAATGGTTGCTCATTAGCCAAGTTGTCATCAGAAGAAGTAATATGCTTTTTCTTTATAGTATTCACATACCAAATATGAACAAAATCGCTCCACTACTTTTCGAGTTATAGTAAAATACTTTAAATGGCCGCCTTCTACCAAAAGGGTCATTAGACAGTGTGCCATGCTTATAGTATTCACATACCAAATATGAACAAAATCGCTCCACTACTTTTCGAGTTACAGCAAAAATCGTAAAATAATGAGTAAAGGCAGAGTAAAATACATTTAAATAGTGGCCATTTTTCAAAATGGCCACCTTCTACCAAAAGTGTCATTAGACAGTGTGCCATGCTTAGGTCATTCACATACCAAATATGAACAAAATCGTTCCACTACTTTTCGAATTATAGTAAAATACGTTAAAATGGCGGCCATTTTGAAAAATGGCCGCCTTCTACCAAAAGTGTCATTAGACAGTGTGCCATGCTTATAGTATTCACAAACCAAATGTGAACAAAATCGCTCCACTACTTTTTGAGTTTTAGTAAAATATGTTAAAATGGCGGCCATTTTTCAAAATGGCTGCCATTTTTCAAAAATGGCCGCCTCCTACCAAAAGTGACATTAGACAGTGAGCCATGCTTATAGTATTCACATACCAAATATGAACAAAATCGCTCCACTACTTCTTGAGTAAAATAACGAGTAAAGGCCGCCATTTTTCAAAATGGCTGCCATGTGCTTCTTTAATATCTATATTTCCAGCTTTATCAATGTCCTATATAATTTTTTTACATTTAAAACATATTGCTATAACAGTTTTACATATTGCACCTAAATTACTGTAAAATCGGCACTAAAATGGCCGCCATTTTTAAATGAGCGGCCATTTTGAAAATTCGCTTTCGAGCAGAACTTCTACCCCCATAGTGTATATGTGTACAAAATATGAACAAAATCGGGCCAACGGTATTCGAGTTATTGCCCGGACGGACGGACAGACGGACGGACAGACGGACGTACGTACGGACGTACGGACGGACGGACGGACGGACGGAGGCGTTCCCTATATCCCTCCGAACTTTGTTCGATGGGATAACAATGAATCTCAATCCCAAAGGAATACTGAAGTGCAAATTATAGATATAGATATTAGCTAACTGTGATACAAACTGACCTCTTCAAAAAGAATATTTTCTTGTACACATGGAGAGGAATCAGCATTAAATGATGCATTTGTGCATGATACACATCTTACTATATATGACTATATACAGAGTTTATTTATACACAATGTCACAGGGTGGTTAGATCAGTAGAAGATATCAGTAAGGGTCAAGTAATACTAATGAAACAAAAGGTATCTGAGCTCTAAATGTTTAGTTACATTTTCAGGGTAGGGGGAGAGGGGTCAATCCAAATGTTATTAATCATTGGGACAATTTTGAAATTTTGACCTGGTCCCTCACAACCGAGGAGTGTTATAGAAGTATAAATATAACTTGAAGTCAATGTACAATTAACCAAGTCTTAGCCAAAAATGAAATAACTGTGTGCCATTCTACTCAATGCTTTGAAAACTGACTTTGAACTGACTTAACATGTTTAAATTGTGTTCATAATCATACAAATGTATATGGTTGATGTGATGTCATAATATTGGAATGTATACTGTTGATGTGATGTCATAATATTGGGATGTATACTGTTGATGCGATGTCATAATATTGAAATGTATATTTTTAATGTTATGTCATAACACACAAATGTGTAACTTTGATGTAATGTCATAATATCGGAATGTATATTGTTGATGTAACGTCATAACACACAAATGTGTAACTTTGATGTAATGTCATAATATCGGAATGTATATTGTTGATGTAACGTCACAACACACAAATGTATAACTTTGATGTAATGTCATAATATTGGAATGTATACTGTTGATGTGATCTCATAATATTGGAATGTATACTGTTGATGTGATCTCATAATATTGGAATGTATACCGTTGATGCGATGTCATAATATTGGAATGTATATTGTTGATGTAATGTCATAACACACAAATGTGTAACTTTGATGTGATCTCATAATATTGGAATGTATACTGTTGATGTGATATCATAAGTATAGTACTTTGACATGTCATAACATTGGAATGTAAGTGTGCACATTAATTTAATATTTAAGAGATAGACATGATTTGACTTTTAATGATCTCAATACTGTGGTGGATCTCTAAGGTTCATCCAATATATATCCGTCTATAACAACTATGTAGGATATCTTTGATGCAATCATTTGCCATGAGGTCTTCCTGACCCTTTTTTAGAATATGAACTTTTGCAAAATTGTTTTTTGTACATATATTTGTATATGCTATTTTTTGTGAAATCTAGCTCTTATTAACCAAATGTACATTAGTTTCTATACAGAAAGGGACCATGATATCAGTTATTACTATTTTGAAAATCTTGTATACACTGAGTATATATTTATTTAAAAATAATATCTTTCTGTATTTATACAAATCAAATCCTCCACTAATAGTCTTAGGACTTATATACTGTACAATGAGTGTAAATGTATTGTATTTTATGTTCAATATTTATTTATTTATGTTATGAACAATAAGTGTGTATGTACTGTTTTTTACTTACATTAAGTTACAGATAGTGTATTTTATGTACATCTTATGTACTGTAACTGATGTGCAGAATACTCAGGAATGTTTTGCCAGCTTTACTTTTAGTTTTCCATTTATTTTTATACACTTTAGTGCTATAGTATTATAAATACTGAATTCATATATTCATTTAAGAATCATTATGCTCATCCTTTATCATGTTTCAAGGTTTTCTACTTCAGTGTATTTTATGATTTTCCCTTGTTCCCTTGTATTTAGATTTATTTAAGATGTATTTAGGGTCTCAAATTCAAATTCCTCCTCTTTATCAATCAGGTTATAAGCTGAAATAGTCTTGTTCATTATTTAGACTCTTAATTGAGTTTGATACATGTATTCAGTTATAACTGATCAAAAATAGTTTAAGGGCTAAGCCCTGGACTCAGTGCAATGTGGAATGACCAATCCTGGAAGGTGATGCTTTCCAAAATTTGCACAAGTGTTAATTTTAGGGAAAAAAGTCTGAAAGGAATGGTCATTACACAATGCATCGAGTCTTGGGCTCTTAAACTCTTTTCACACATTGCAAAATATTGTCTACAAAATCATCGAAAAGATACAAAATCATCAAAATAACATCTTTTCAATGAAACTTTTGTCAAACAAACTTTTTGACAAAATCTTTATGCTAAAATGTGGATGCCTGTTGCCTAGGTCTATTATACTGGTATATGTGAAATTAGAGACTTCTATTCGTATTATATAAAACAAGTTCATGTAATAAATTAAGTTTGCATATATTTCATTGATTTTTATAAGTTTAGTTATATTTGACCTATACTGGCGATTACTAGAGTGCTGCTAACTCGATAAAAGGCTGGCGCTGGCTACAATTGTCTATGGTTCTAGCCAGGATAAAGATACCAGTTCTTCAACTCGACAATGGGAAAAACTGCTCTACCTAAGTGACTAATATGTCATGATATGACATCTAAAGAGTCGATAAAAGATATATATATAACTTATAACTAAACTTATAAGTGAGGCTATCTCAATTGTGAATTATTGTTTTATAACAAACTGCTATATATAATATATGCTTTTTACATATAAACAATAAAATTAAATAAAAAATTCCAACACTGTATATTAGTTCAATTATTTATTTATATATTATCTATAGAGTAAATGTATTGCACATAATGACAACTTCTTGGTATCTTAACTTTTATAATTTAAAAATGTCATAGTTTTTTATTTATCCTTGTCCACACCATATAGCAAAGGACCATTCTCGGTTTGGAGAACAGTCTCCTGGGCTAATAATTTTTTTCATGAAAAATATAGAAATATTACCCAAATTAAACTATGAATATTCAAAAGAGGACATTTAAATCTACAAGATTTTTAAAAATAACAAATTGGTCTGAAGCAGGGGTAACGCTCAATTAGAACGATTCAATAAAATACAAGTCTCGATTTGGGGAAAGAAGTTCATTAGTGTACTGCGCTAATATTTTTTTGCGAAAAATCTAGAAATATTACCCAAATTAAATTATGACTATTCAAAAGAAGACATTCAAATCTATATTATGTAAAAAAATCTTTGTCCAAAGCAGGGATAATGCTCATTTAGATTAACAACCTTCGATCTCCAAACCGAGAATCGTCCTTTCCAATTCATTGTGAATTCATTATTTAATGCACTTTGAAAAAGTGCTAGTTTTATTGACGGCAAGGATGACATCATAATGCCTGCTATTGTAACATTACAAAACTAACAATGTCCTCTTGCATTATCCTCCAACAACATATACATAAAAATTCTCAATTTACATATAAATAAAAAACAGAGGTTTCAAAATTTCAACAGATATACCTTCCCTAGAGTTTAGTAGTCTAGTGGAATTTGACATAAGCTATAATGTACAATACAATACGATACAATACATGTTATATCATGTATGTCGACAGCAAATTCTAGTTTTATGTACACAACTACTTTACAAGTGCTTTTAAACCTTTAAGCTAAGTTCACACCAACGGCGCTTTGATGGCGCTTTAAAGCGGCTTGCAAAGCGGCACCAAAGCGTACCAAAGCTTGATCAAAGCGTCAGGATCATAATAGAACATGGAAAAGCTCGGAGTAAGGCGGGACATTCGGCAAGAGCACCAAAAATTTTAAACTGTTTAAAATGTTAGGTGTTCTGTCACAAATTGATTAAAGCGCTAAGAGCATATCAAAGCTTAATGAAGCATAACAAAGCTCAGCAAAACTTGACTCAAGGCGTAGGAAAGCTTAACAGAGCTTGGTTCAAAACAGGGACCGCATTCTTCACAGTCTGTCACCACTTGACACGCTTCGTTAGGATGTCTCATGATTTGCTGTTATCTGGCATGAAGATCTGACACGAGGTCAGATGCTTTCATCAAGATCTGACATGCTTTGTTTATGCTTTCATGAAGAACTCTCCCGGTTTCCCACGAATTGAGATGCTTTGATAAAGGATTGACACACTTTGTTAGGCTCTGTTACGATTGGCAAGCTTCCTCACGCGCTCTTTCACGCATGCCGATAACATCATGTCTTCTTCAGATTAATCTTGTTGCTCTGCCATCGTGTTCTGGAGTCAAAGATGCAATGATTTTAAGGATCTGCTGCATCTTTATATAGGCTCTGGATCAAAAGCGGCATAAAATCGGCAATCTCGACATTTTCGTTGATAATCGTATCAGAGCCTGATTTTAAGCCTCCTAATCGCATCAAAGCGTATTGAAGCGAAATGAAGCTCATCAAAGCATGATTTTAAGCATAACAAAGCCTGATCAAAGCGAGATCAAAGCGTGAGGAACCGTAACAAGTCAGGAAATCAGAGCTTATCAGAGCTTATCAAAGCATAATATTACTTAGGAGATTGTGATATTTTTTGAAAAGTGAACAAAAATGATGCCGCTTTGCTCGCCGATTTAAAGCGTGGCATTCGCCATTGGTGTGAACTAGGTGTTAGAGGCACACACTCTTCATGGAAAATTTGAGACAACTTTAATAAATACAATGCATATTGAAAAATAAAAATCGGCAATTGCAAGGACTAGCGAATCCCAACGAACATGATATTCATGAATCTACTATCAAAATGTTGTAAATGCCATCTACTTTTCCCTCGCTTGTTATATAATAATTTATAAAGTAACAGGATCCTCTTTTTTCTCGAGTTTTCTCAAAAATCCTGTTTTAACAATCCCAGAATAAGTCAAATTATGCTAATTCTTTTTTTATCACCGCTAATTGAGACCGTGGCAAAACACTGAAATTCATACACAGCAAGCAAAGAAAGTTTTAAATTTCATATTTTGGTATTAATATATAATATGCTTTAAAATTGCATGTCTCACAAGCAATGTCAAAGGCAAACTGTACTGTTGTATCAATCAGATGAAAATTGGAAAATAGCATGTACCTCTTTAACACCATACTCTATAAAATACATGTATACATTATAAGCTTTGTACAAATCGCAATCTTTTTTTTACAATTAATAAATAGTAAATACATGTACAACTACATCCAGAGTGAATTTTATTTTACTACATTTAACTTATAAATAAATTAATGTTTGTTCACTGGAAGCATTAAATAATCTATGGAAACAGAAAATGGTAAGTACAACATTAGAAACAATATATGAGAACATTATTGAGTGGACACCTCACTACAAAAACATTATCACAAAAGTCATTTTAGAGCAGAAAGCTCATTAACATTAATTTAATATTAAACATTTTCAAAAATTTATTGAGACTCAAATATCCTCTAAAATATCATTTTTCCATTAGGCAACATCAAATTATTTTGTAGATTCATGATCTTGACTAAAAAATGAATTCCTTGATTTCTTTTTCTTATGTCCATTAACAGATTCCAATTTATTCTTTGATTTTTTCACTTTGGTACTCTCAGATTCACGTTCTCTTGTGAGATTCATTTGTTCCCTTGTCGCAATTGTTGTAGCATGCTCCTGCTCTATTGTTTCATTATTACACACTTTATCAATAAATCCATATTGTTTAAATTTACTCTGCAATTTTGGATTAGCCTTTGTGTCATTTTTATGGTTTATATTTTTACTATGGGCCCATTTAGGCGATGTTGTTTTGTCCATGTTTTTTACTTTGGAAAGATTATTTTGAATCACATTATTGTCGCCATCTTTGTAGTTATTTCGAGTAATATCTTTCCGTTTGGTTTTAATTTTGTTCGATTGTTTTGGCCTTGCACCATGGTGTGCAAAATCGTTCTGTTTGGCACTGTTTGAATTATTAACATTGTCATGGTAACTAGAGTTTCTATTTATAGATGGTGACAGTGTATTATTATCTCCCTCAAGGCTTGAGGGGTAACTAACGGGACGAGATTTGCCATCCAATTCTAAATTCCACCTTTTCACACTAGCAGGTATCATAATAAGTGGTTCTTTGGAAACTCTCCCATCTATTTTATTCGTTGTATTGTTCTCGTTGTTCTGCATATATTTATGAGTTTCAGGATATAAAGAATCATTACTTAATGTTTCATCACTGGTTTGCATATTGGAATGTTCAGGAGAAGAACATGCTTGGATAGCACCCCTTTCGTCGTTCACATTATCCGAGCCAACACACGATTGGTTAACTCCTCTATCATTAACATTTCCATCCGCTACATTAATGGCACCATTACAGCTATCACTCGCATGATTCTCTATATCATCATCAGTATTTTTAACATTTCCAACAACATCCTGTCCTTGATTGGTTGAATTGCGAGTTTGACCATTCTGACGATTCTTTGGTTTTTTCCTCTCACCAGTCTCTGAGCAAACAGAGAATAGAGAGGCTTGGGATATAAGAGAGTTGGACCGGGCATGCAAGGGGCGCATCTCCGGGGAAATGGGGGTTCTAGCCAGAGAGCATTCCCCAGGGCTCATGGCTTTATCGACATCCACCCCAGGGCCATCTTTCCATATTGTTAAAGGTTTAAACTTCCGAACTGGTTGATTAGAGTTTGTGCTTGCACTATCGCATACACTGTTATCATTTACAATATCACCACACGCTCCTTGTAAGTCATCATCAACTATTACATCATGTTCTTTTACTTGATCATCTGATTTCGTTTTTGGATCTTGATTGTAATTTTCTGTCGAGGCTGTATCTGGATTAGATATAGTATGCATATTTGACTGCATGTCTGGTGATGTTATTTGGGGTTCTGTTAGTGGTACACTAGATATGGATGCAATAGGGGGTGTTTCTGATACAGAGGCTAAGACAGGGGGTATGCCTGGCAGAGAAGGAGTCGCAGGGGTGCCACTAGCACTATGAAATTCTTCATCTGTGTCTGGGCCTTGATCAGAAAATTCAGGAAAGGTGTCATTATTATTACTTATTTCTGCCTTATCACCTGGTACATTGTTTGCATCACTCTGTATTGAACTTTTATTTGGCTTACTTGTATTTTCCTGTAGCTCAGGGGTTTGTTTCCTTACTATAGGAGGAGGAACTTTGATGTTATCATCATCCTCTATTTCATTTTGTTCAAATTTTGGTGCAATATCATTGTTTTGGTATCCAATAGCTTGTTGTGTTATAGTGTTGGTATGGGGTCCTAAATCAATAGAATAGTCAAGGGGTCCTACGGGGACAGAGTCCAGGGCTTTAGAGATTCTAAATCCGGAGCATGAATTCTGCTTTTTCTCCAAAAGGGGGCTCTCGCATAGCACAAGTGCCCCATTATTGTCATGATCATGTACGAGACGTGAATTTCGTGAGTTTTCTAATACGGAAGTTTTATCACGATTATTTCTAGGACTTGACCCTAAGCCTGTCAAACATGTTGAGTTTCGTTTAGACTTTGGACTCCTGTTTTTGTGTTTTGCATTTTTACTGTCCGATTCTTTAAGGTTTTTGTTACGGGGGTGATGAACTGCATTTGAGTGTGATTTTGGCAAAGTTTGAGATTGTGGTGTTAAATCATGAATAGATACCTGCTCTCCGAGTTGAAAATCGGTATCATCATCGAGATAAAATGAATTTCTTGGGCTATGACTGGATCTTTTAATCTCAATACTATCAGATCTTTTTATTACCACAGCTCTAGGGCTACCACTTAACCTTTCATGAGTGTCCATACCCTCACTGGGTATATTTGTTTTAATATGTCTATGTTTGGAATGGTCTCTTATGATTGTTGATTGTGGGCTGTTGTTTCGCATGGAGACAAGAATCTGTGAGGGCTCGGGAAGTTGTTGGCTACCTGTGATGGGAGCACCTGGTACTTGGGGCAGCTGGGTAGAGTTCACCCCTTGTGACTGGGCGTTAGAACCAACGCTGTCACCTTGTAAGGTATCACTTATCATTGTTGCATCATGATTCTCTTCTTCTGGAGCCAATCTGCATGTGGCCTCATTTTCATTTACTGAACGCTGCCCCTCGATAATTTCAGTGATTGGTCCATTTGATAAACCATCATTCACTGGAGTACTTGTTTCAGCACTTGCATTCTGGGTAAGGGATGCCACATTCCCATGATTCCTATTTAAAGTGTTACGATTATTATTCCCACTATTGCCACCATTTTCTGTTCCAGGGTTCTCTTCGGAGTAAGGGGGTGGAGCTTCACCATGGGTGTCATCAGGGGGCTTGGGAGGGGAGTAAGGGGGAGGAGGCTCCTCATATGGTGGGAACTCTATCCCAATTTGCACGTCATCATACCCAGACACATAGGCAACTGCATCATCTTCGCTCCTTGTCTCAGCATTCAACCCTGAAATTAAAATATGAATGAATATAGAGAATATGAGAGTAACATGGCATTAACATGCAATATTCTTGATATTGTGATATTTATAGTCTTGAATGAACCAGTACCCAGAGCATCCATGATAGTATCATAACTAAGTTACAGCATGAAATAAACATATATAACTCACGTCTCATCATAACGAGCATCCGACGCTGACGCAGGCGATGAACCATAAACAGCAACAGGGCCAGGACAAGGAATGATGTCACAGTACTAGCAACCAATCGGAGCCCTAGGTCTGTTGTATTTACTGCGTCTACTGGAAGCACACGTGTATGTAAATTAACATGACCCATTTCAAGCACAATTGCAAGAATACCATGAAAAGTATAATAGAGAAAAATGTCACATGCGCCCTATTATTCTGGGGTAACTATCCCACAATTTATGTATTTGTCACACATTTGCTGGAAAATTTGAAGTCAGACCAGTTTTTTTTTGCGTGACAGATAAGGTCACGCAAATACGCATTTTACCTGATTATTGTCAAGCAAAAATATTTCTGTAGAAAAACTTAATTACCAAAAATTAGTTATATGCAATAAAATTTGAACCAAGGTGTTCAAACTGTGGGCCAAGGTGTTCAGATGTTGACCAAGGTGTCCAAAATTTGAAGAAAGGTGTTCAACATTTGTAAGTCACTCATGCTAGGTGTTCCCAAGTTGACAGGCCTGTATACATAAAGTAGTATAACCTGTGAACTTTTGAGAGGGAGAAAGTGTTCATTGCTCCCATGTACATATTTACTACACTGACTACAGAGAAGTTTTGCAGAAGAGGGGTCCCAATAGAGTAAAGTTTGATGGTGTTTACAGCATAAGTTATGTAAACATGTATATGTGTCCTAAAGTGTTCTAAATTAGAACAATAGGTATGTCATTTCTGGCACATTAATAGTGCTTGTTCTTTATATGAAAAATTATTAAATACTTGATCCTATCCCATGTAATGTAAAAAATTTACAACCTCTTGACTTGAAAAGCAATAATTGTATATGATAATTATATTAGGGCCATCAGGATGATCTGAAGAGAAACATGAACTCCAATATTATATCAACATCTTTTGATTTTAAACATTTAGGCTGGTGTCAAATTGGATTCTTTTTATTGCATTAAGGGGTATATCATTTTCTGAGCTGCAAATCTTTGGTAATTTAATCAAGGTATTGATTGATTTCTAGTAACCTTAACATTTTCCCTTCAATAGGGTGCTAATTACCATTATTGGTGTATTAAATTTCATGGAAAAAGGTAATTGCTAAACTATGTAGGTTAAATGGTGTAGCTTCCAGTAAAAAGTGACTCATAAAACATGTCTGGTTTCTGAATTCTGCAGTTGATGTTATTGCTTTAAATTGTCAATTTTGACATCTAATTACCGGTTTGTGTCAGAACTGGTCATTGTCATACTGTAAATACACAGTAAAATTTGCTTCACTCAAACAGAAATGCATTATCCAGGCCTGTCAACAGTCCCGCAATTTGAGTTTTTGTCACACATTTGCAGAAGAAATGAAGTCACGCCAGTTTTTTGCAAATATAATTTTTTTCCGATTATTGTCTTGAGCAAATTATTTCTGGAGAAGAACATTAAAAGAGCGAATGCCGAAATATTGAAAAAACGAATGTTTGAAATTTTCATACGAATTGCGAATGCCACATAGTTGCTTCAAATTTTTTGTCTCTCCCCCTCCACTTGCGTGAAAAGTTTGAGGTGTCCAAAATTTGAATGTATGCAATAAAATTTGAACTAAGGTGATTAAAATTTTGACCAAGGTGTTTAGATTAGGACCAAGAGGGTCATAATTTGAAGGAAGGTCAGAGGCGTGGCCAGGGGGGGGGGGGTGCGATGGGTACAATCGATCCAAGACAAATCTTATTTTTTGGCTTGCTCATGCCACAATCACACCCCCCTGACTGAAAGCTGGCTACGTCCCTGAAGGTGATCAACATTTTTAAGTCACTCATTTTAGGTGTTCCCAAGTTGACAGGCCTGCATTATCTGAATTTTATGTTTCACGTCAAATTGGCTTATTTTATACTGAAAAGATCTATGTCCATATGTACACAATGAATAAACATGTAAGTGTTCATATCCCACAGCTATCACTGAATTACATTCAATATAGTGTGCCAACAATTCGCTGGCAATGATAGAATTGAATAATTTGTTCAAGGATTATGAAACAAATAAGAATAGGGGATTTTCCAAATTCCAGCAACCAATGACATAAGCATCAATTACTATATACTAATCCTATAACTACATTACAGTATATTCAAACATTTTGAGCATCTCTTTATTAAAGTCCAAAACTGATATAATCAACTGACAATTCCTTATGAATACAATGTTCAATGAATATAAAAAATCATAAACATTAATTATTTTTTGCCCTATTGATTCGAATGAACACATACTGGATATTGTTCTATAACATACAGGGTGGTCAAAAAATGGAAACCCTGTCTCCATTTTCCTCATATCTTTGTCATTTTAAGAAATTACTCCCTGATATTCCGCACATTTGTACATCATTCAATTTCCTACCGGCCTACCATATTTCATGACCATCAAATTGATCGTCACAATGTATGCTCCAGTGGCCAATATTGCACTTTCAGCAAACCTGCACCTATCATCCAAAATGTCCCTACCTTACTTCAACCTGTGGTGATACATGAAAAAAGAGTGTACGAGAATAACCCCAGGACAACTGCAGACCTCAAAAAGCAGATCATCCATGTCATTCAGGCCATACCTGCTGAAAAATGTAGTCAGATCATTGACAACCTGTTCAGATTTGCCAAGAGCGCGATGGTGGCCACACTGGGGCATCTTGTTCAAAGTGCTGTACCATTGTGACTACCAATCTGATGGTCATGAAATATGGTTAGCTGGTAGGAAATTGAATGTTGTACATATGTGTCAAATTTCAGGGAATAAATACCCAAAATGACAAAGATATGAGGAAAGTGCAGGGTTTCTATTTTTTTGACCACCCTGTATAAGAGAGAATTTCAATTTATGTACCTATGTCTGAATCAAATGTATTTGCTAAGAGTCACAGACCTTAATAGAATTAGTAGAGTGAAGATTCACATATGAAACTTTGATAACATTGGGTAAGACTACAATATAAGCCAAAGTATTTTAAACTACATATGGGGACTTTAACTACATTTGCACATGTACCAGGTTCATGTAATAAATGTTACATGGTGACAGCTGGTCACATAAAACTTGCTCATAAAAATCTTCAAGAGATTCAATATTCCTATCAATTTACTTAAATTACATGTTAAGTTTTAGTGGAGATTTTATAGTTTTTAATCAATCTAATTTGCAATACATGCACTATAATTTTTAAAACATGCACAATAATTTTGATAACATATGTGTTGTAATTTTGAAAACAAATCTTGAGGTGTCATAATTTTGAAAGGAAAATTAATTCTCACATCAGACAATTCTTACATCAAACAATAGTTAAACAAAGTCTGTTGTTTAATTATGGGCTTCCCTTAATAAGCTTAATAATTGTTTAGCCATAACATGTTTAATCAAAATCGAAGAGGATCAAAAGCCAAGTGTGGTTTTTGAGGTCTGCAGTTGTCCTGGGGTTATTCTTGTACACTCTTTTTTCATGTATCACCACAGGTTGAAGTAAGGTAGGGACATTTTGGATGATAGGTACAGGGTGGTCAAAAAAATGGAAACCCTGTCTCCATTTTCCTCATATCTTTGTCATTTTAAGAAATTACTCCCTGATATTCCGCACATTTGTACATCATTCAATTTCCTACCGGCCTACCATATTTCATGACCATCAAATTGATAGTCACAATGTATGCTCCAGTGGCCAATATTGCACTTTCAGCAAACCTGCACCTATCATCCAAAATGTCCCTACCTTACTTCAACCTGTGGTGATACATGAAAAAAGAGTGTACGAGAATAACCCCAGGACAACTGCAGACCTCAAAAAGCAGATCATCCATGTCATTCAGGCCATACCTGCTGAAAAATGTAGTCAGATCACTGACAACCTGTTCAGATTTGCCAAGAGCGCGATGGTGGCCACACTGGGGCATCTTGTTCAAAGTGCTGTACCATTGTGACTACCAATCTGATGGTCATGAAATATGGTTAGCTGGTAGGAAATTGAATGTTGTACATATGTGTCAAATTTCAGGGAATAAATACCCAAAATGACAAAGATATGAGGAAAGTGCAGGGTTTCTATTTTTTTGACCACCCTGTATAAGAGAGAATTTCAATTTATGTACCTATGTCTGAATCAAATGTATTTGCTAAGAGTCACAGACCTTAATAGAATTAGTAGAGTGAAGATTCACATATGAAACTTTGATAACATTGGGTAAGACTACAATATAAGCCAAAGTAGTTTAAACTACATATGGGGACTTTAACTACATTTGCACATGTACCAGGTTCATGTAATAAATGTTACATGGTGACAGCTGGTCACATAAAATTTGCTCATAAAAATCTTCAAGAGATTCAATATTCCTATCAATTTACTTAAATTACATGTTAAGTTTTAGTGGAGATTTTATAGTTTTTAATCAATCTAATTTGCAATACATGCACTATAATTTTTAAAACATGCACAATAATTTTGATAACATATGTGTTGTAATTTTGAAAACAAATCTTGAGGTGTCATAATTTTGAAAGGAAAATTAATTCTCACATCAGACAATTCTTACATCAAACAATAGTTAAACAAAGTCTGTTGTTTAATTATGGGCTTCCCTTAATAAGCTTAATAATTGTTTAGCCATAACATGTTTAATCAAAATCGAAGAGGATCAAAAGCCAAGTGTTATTTTAAGCCAAGATAGTATGAAATGTGTGAAGTGTTATATCCTGCCTAAGTGTCTACAAATGTCATTTTCCTGTCACTTTAAGTGTCTGGGTCTAAAATCAGATGAAACTCTAATCTGTATTTTAACCAGAAGAATATAAGAAAGGGGGGGGGGGGTGAGAACAGACCTGGATCATTTCAAGATATCACTACACAAAGTTAATTTGATGCCATCAATTTTACCAAGTCAACTAATTCACATGAAAATTGGTTACTGACCTTTAAACAGGTCTCACTCCATACAAAATTGACTGCATGGCTAGCAAGACACACTAATTCACATATAACACAGTCTTCACATATGATTTTATGTATCAAATAAAAACTCATTCAAAAACTGTTGGAGCAAGGGTCAACATAAGCAGTCTTGTTTAGCAGACCCCTCTTATCTGTAGTTTCCTAGACTTTGGAAAGATCAAGACAAAAGGAGTGACAGAGTGTGGTTAACGCTATGTAAATCCAGTGATATAAACTATTTCAGACTATATTAAGAGTGATTTGTATATATATAGTCTCACCATTTGTTTCCGGGTGAACATCGCCTCCATATCCTGTTCCATTCTCCTTGACGTCATTTGGATGACGTGGAGGGGCAATACAAATGAACTTGCAGCATTCGCCCTCTACAGGTTGTAGCATTGTTGCACAGTCTGGCGGGGAACAACTGACTGATTTACACATGGTTGGATGCCCTTGATTGCACAGACACGACATGCAAAGATCATTCTTTTTAGGTATGTAATATTCCCCTTCTTTTATCCAGTCTCCTTTCCAATCTTGGCAGTTGTTTAGACCCGTCAAAGCTGAAATATATAATACCAACTATAGCATACTGCATACAGGAAACAGGCCCGTAGCCAGGATTTGCCAAGGGGGGTTCACTTTTTGGAAAATTCCAGGGGGGGTTCACTTTTGACAATTTGGGTCCAAAAAGGGCCAAAATCACTTAAAAAGTGCTCAGAATGGTGAAAATCTGCATGATTTTGAAAGAATTTTTGGCCAGGGGGGGGGGGTTCGCCCGAACCATGCAACCCCCCCCCCCTGGCTACAGGCCTGGGAAACATATAAAAGGTAACTGAATACTACATCAATTCGATGATTCAATAATGAAAGAGAGGATTATGAATTAAATCTCCCTTATAATTGTGAGAGAATGCCTTTAACTTCATCATGATTATACCTGAATAGAGGACATGGAACCAGTTGTCGAGGTGAAATAAAAAATGATCACCACTAAGTGACACTACTGTACGTCCGGCGATGACATTTCCTCCCCGATTAGACTATAGATATAAAACTATGCATATAATAGTTAAAGTCAGAGAGTTGAAATTACTTTACCCCCCAAGACGACTTACAGAGTTTTCACCACATTTTTTTGCAATACAGATCTAATATATATCTATTATTGACAAGACAAATCCCAAACCTGCAAAAACTGGGTGTATAAAACAGCTCCAACCATAGATGATTAGTGTTCGATCCCTTATCCACATTTTGAACAATTCATCAGGTCCAACGTTTCCACGATGTATGAAAATTCATTTGTGTATTACCCCATCGCTGTTCGAATTTGATCTAGATGATAAATCCGTGTTTATTTCTCATTTTCTAAAATAAATTAAATAAAATTGAAGTCTCGTAGGTTAATCTAGGTCTCGAGATTTCTCGAGATTAAAGATGGCAGCCTCCATGGAATGAAATTTAGAACTTGAAATTCTACAGTATTGCGCCAATAACTAATAAACTAGTCACGTAAAAACAATGAGTCTCAGCAAAAATAAAGGAGAGTCATTCCCAGAGAGATGGTTGAAGGAGTATGTCCGTCTTTTACGCGAGAGACCAGTGATAACCAAAGCAATTACAAGGTAAACAATTGAAAAAGTGGGCGGGGCAGTTCAAAGTTTACAGTCACTTTCTGGGCTCAAGATAATACACTCATTATATTTCTGTAAGTGTCTGAAAATCTTACAATGGTCCCTCCCCAGGTGTCCCTTCTTCCCAGCACATGACCATAGAATATTCTCATTAGTGTGAAAGAATTTCTAATTGGTATGGGGTAGTCCCAGGATGTGGTCCAACAACATTTATTATACCTAGCCTGGGCCTCGTTTCTTATCTGACATGTCTTATGGCCCCGGCCAATAACGGGCAAGAAAATTCCTAATATTAAAGAACGCCGTTATTGGGTTTAACGATGTTGAACTAACATATATGATGTAGAATATTGATATTTGCAGAGCTGTGAAGTGTCCTGCGAATGGCGGGATTATCCCGCGAATTTGATATATATTCGGCTAATTCGCGTGTCCCGCAATGTCCTGCAAATGTCGGCTTTGACCTCCACGAATTTCCAAAATTGTTACAATATTGAGGCTAATATAAATAAGTGTGATGATCTTGTGATATAAGAAGCTAAGTTTTGTGCGCTTTTGAGGAGTAAACCCCCAATGCATCAGATCATCGAAAACTGCTTTTGGAAAGAGCATATAGTCCATTTAAAAACTGTGATTTTGATCCAAATAACACCATAGTTGGCCTCTCAAGTACCTAGTATGCCAATGTTGGCCTCTTTACTATGTGTGTGGCCTTCATCTCAGAACTGAGCAAATGTTAGCAAATGCGAGTTACAATAAATGAACACTGAAACTTGACTCCCTATAATTTGATGTAGATTAATCGAACCCCTATTTGAATAGGTACATTTTATTTTTAATATATAATACTATGGTGGAGGGGGGGGGGGTAAGCGTTTCATAGTTGGTAACAAACGCCATAAGTGCAAAGTATTGTTCAGAATTTTTGAATTTCATGTTGGATTACGGTACTCACACCTAAAGCATGGTTTTTGTTTTTGATAGTTTAATAATATTTCTATGCATATTGTGTGAAATTGTGTTGACGTTAAGTGCATTATATTTGATAAATCAGTATCTGAAAATCAATCCCAATGAAATCCCTTGATTGTCCTGCGACATCCCGCAAATTTAGGTGGATGTCCTGCGAAATGCTGCAAATTTAGGGCACTTTGTCTAAAAAGATCTGTCCCTCGAATGGTCTCGCGAAATCCTACGAATTTGATCCTATTTGGCCTATTAGAGCAATCACACAAATCCCTTGAATGTCCAGTAAAAACCTGCAAATTTAGGTGGATGTCCCGCAAAATCCTTTGTATTTTGGGGATTGGGTTTAAAAAATCTGTCGGGCGGTAAAATCTTTTGGGGTTGACAGTACTGTATTTGGTCCTAAGATAGCACAACTACAACTCACCAAATGACAAGAGGTTTGTTTGTTGACCCCAAGACTAGACCAAACATCCTTTGTGGAGGGGTTTCTCATGTAAGGTATTAAAATAGTAGATTTGCCCCCCCCCCATCATACATGTAAAATGACATCCATATCTATTAATAAAAATGTACATTATCATATATATGTACTTAGATGTATTCAGGATAAACACACAAATTATATCTAACATGAGTTTGAACCTAAATTAACGAAATAGAGGGTTACATGGATATGTGCAATAGGAAACAGCAGTGTAAGTCTATATAATGTCACATCTACTTGTGATACATGATTGGAGCTAGCTAACTGGATGAGAGGTACAGTTGTCATAAATTTCTTATCTTATTTTTATGAGAACTGTATGATCATTTATCACCCCTCATATTTATATATTTCAGTGGGTTTATAACTGGCCTAGGACAGTTTCTCTCACAGATTATTACCAGAGAACCACAAAGAACTGGCCATTTTAACTGGAGAGCTTTAGCATCATTCACAACTTTTGGGTGAGTTTGGCTTGGTTTTTTCCTCCCTATATGTAATTAATGATTTGTCTTTTTACATAACATCATCTCATCTTTATTATGATAAATCAAAAGTATTCTGAATCAAGAGAATGGTGATGCTCATTTTATGCAGTGGGCCCGAAATAAAAAATTCTCATGGAAATCATAAATGTTCATTAAAAGGCTGTTAAGAAACATTTATATTAAATCCAAAGTAGAATAATAATTATAAAGTTTATGAGCAATAACTTTGGAAAACACACTTCCAGATTCATTACAGATTTCAGTGATGATTTTAGCAATAAGAAAATATGTATTTTACTGCCTGTTATATGTTTATTGTATAATAAAAAATAGGGGGCTCATAGCTACATGCATGTCAAGGTCTGTCAGATTTCAGCCAGAGAGTTCATATGTTCTTTCAGATTCGCCTTCAGTGGTCCTTTGATCCACTATTTCTACACATTCCTAGACCAATGGGTTCCTCCAGGTACAAAGTATGCTACCATCAAGAAAGTCCTAATTGACAGATTCATCCTTGCTCCTCCATTCCTGCTCATGTTCTTCTATGTTACTGCTATATTGGATGTAAGTAAAAAATAAAATATGGGAGCAATTATGATATAAGAAAATGGACATGTTTTATGGACAATAACTCCATATGTGGACTATGTTGTCCAGAATGTTTTGGGAAAATCATTACACAAAGTACTCATTTCTGCTCATGTTCCTTAGGGTCAAGGTCATACAGTTGCAGCTAAGAAGATCCAAGAGACATTCTTGCCAGCACTACTGATGAACTGGAGGGTATGGACTGTGTTGCAGTACATCAACATCAAATATGTACCAAGAGAGGTAACTGTTTTTTTGAGCAATTGGTGATTTTGATATAAAAATACATATTTTGCTTATGTAAAATACTATGCTATGTAGAACTGTAAAATAATATTTGTTAGTTGCTGCAGTTAAAACATTGCTATATATAGTTGAATAGTTGAACACATTCATTTACATTTATCCATAACACATATTTGTTATAAAATTGCAATTTCTCAAGCTTCTATGTCACCACCACAAGTGATGACATATTGTTATTTTCTCCAACTTTTTGTGGATTGTGTTCTGTGTTTGGTGTTTGGCACTGGGTATATGTAACATATGGCAGGTGGTAACATTTTACATGTCAATGCCTTGTTCCATTTTTCAGTCATACATGTATTTTTCTCAAGATGACAAAAATATAATGTACAGAATTACCACATGATATTTTCAAGTTGCATTAAGAGCATGAAATATCCCAAATTCTGAGATGTAGTTATACTTTATCATTGCTTTTTCAGTACCGTGTATTGTTTGGAAGTGCAGTTGCCTTATGCTGGAATATATACCTTGCCATTCAACGACGATAGGATAGCCATAGATAGACATTAACACCATATATGAGCTTGAACTCCATATTTGGCCATTGATTCCATATATGGGCATCAACTCTATGTGGGCTTAAACTCCATATATGGGCATCAACACCATATAAGGGTTTTAACTCCATTTTTGGAATCAACTCTACATATGGGCAATGAATCAAGGGTGCCAGTGATAGGTACTAATGCATAAAAATTAAATATGTATGCATAAATAAGCAATCAATTTTACAATGAAGATAACCCTGTGAAATGAGCATAAATAAGGGACTTATGTGGCATTTAAACCTTGGTAAATAAGGGTTATGTACTGGGAGGTTTTGGATATGGGGTTTATCCAGAGGGAGATATGCATATCTACTGAGGGACCGAAGGTAGATGTGCATATCTCACGAGGGATGAACCCAATATCCAAACCGACAGTACATAACTGCTTTATCCTATACCAAGTAGAGTTTTCAGGGGCATATGGCCATTTCAATAGTACAAGGTGTAAAAATAAACAAATCATTCATATGCAAAGTCATTTTATTGCATTTCCACTACTTACCGGAAGCGGGAAGATATGCACCGAAGCGGGAAGACATGCACCGAAGTGGGAGATATGGCGGGAGATATGGAGGTTCTGGATATGGAAACCTCAAAATCAGGATACGGGATATATCTTACCAACTTATCTCCCTAAACTCTACTTGGCATAGGATAAATAGAGATTATCCTATATGAGGTTCAGGATATTGGGATTATCCAGAGGCCAATATAATATATTTGCCCGAGGGCCGCAGGTCCCGAGGGAAAATATATTATATTGGCCAAGGGATAATCCCAATATCCTGAAACGACTATAGGATAATATGTTTATCCCATACCAATCTTGGTCATTTGGTTAACATTGTTCAATCGTGGAAATATTCTGGAATATTCATGTCCAGTTTTGTTTTCTTGGCCGTGGACGGATTTTCCTGTTCTCTCAAATATTCCCGCATTTATTTTCTCAAATTTCTCATTGATTAAGTGGATGCTCCTTCTCTTTTTTAAACCATCAAACAGATCCCGATTGTCCGTGTATTCTCCATTGTCGTTTACAGTCATTACGCGAACGTTACAAATTATGAACAAATATGTGAGCGGCGATTATGACGTAGCGGGCAGATATACTATATCTGCCCGCTCGGAGCGGGACGTAAAGCTATATCTGCCCGCTGATGAAAATATAAGTTTTTACAAACCGGCTTTATGTACCTATAACACGTCCAAGTATGGGATAAAAAGGCATATCCAATGTTTGCCGAAAGCCAGATATGCCTTGACATCACTATGTATCATTTTTAGGTACATAAGGATATTGCAGTTTTAATACAATAATTATAGTTTCCTTAAAAGACAGGTAAAAAGATTATTTGTATTTCTATTCAATTAATGATATGGACTGTATAGAGAGATTGTTTGACTGATAGAGATGTCCTGCTATATACATTTTTACAAGAAATAATGATAATGGACATAATTTTATACTGTAGTTATAGTATGATCTCAAATAATGGATGATGTAAATTTGACTGGTTTTCATGTACTAAATGCAATGTTATTTTAATAGTTATTTTGAAGGTCTCATGTAAAGTGAAATATGAATTTATGAAACAATATTTTCAAACTTTGCCTGTGGCCTTTAAGAGATAAATGGCATTACATATTGGAGATTTGAGATTATTGGGTGGAGGTTAACTAAATGCATTTCATAGTATGATTGTACGTTCTTACTCTTATTAAATACAGTACAACTGTTCTTCTTGTGGTGAAGGAAATGTATTAGGGTGTGTGATTGAAACAGGGTTTAGGTTTTCATATACATCAAATTTTGGTACAACTTCATTTTTATATCACATTGATTTAGGTTTTAAGATATATGTTATTGTTCTATACATTTGATGTACATCATTTCTATTCTTTATTCTCCTTAAGTCCACTTGCACTCAATACGTGATATCATTCATAAATAACATTAAAATCTTGGCTCTTTTCATATTGTTATGTCTTTTCTATCAGGAGAGTTCCAATTCCCATAAAGGTGGATTTTTTAGTTCAGGATATTCTAGTGTATTACATAATCTACTTGGCTTTCTATTGGTTCAAATGTTGGTTCCTCATGGGAATCAACATTTGCCTCCATTTAAAGGAGGTTTAGAAGGTCCAGTAGATTTAATATGACATTAACTTTAATTTGTTCATTATTGGTTTATTTATTTGGTAATTATGGGAAATTATTATTCGCCTCCTTTTTCATGTAGTGTCATGCCATGTCATGCTGTCTCACATGCTTAAAATCAAACTCTAGAATCTAACTGAAGTGGTATCCAATAAAACCTGTATAAAAGGCGATGTCTCGAGTCCTCATAAGATTGATTTAATAAAAACTCCAAACTCACTCTGTTTGATTTATTGGAGTAATACCTTATCTCCAATTTGAGCACATTCAAACTTTTTTGTATAAGCAAAAGCCTTTTACCTACCCAGACATTTAACAATACAACACAAACTATTGATGCACCCATAAGCAATGCAATTGCATTGCAATGGTTATAGTATTGTATTTGTAGGCTTAGTAGGTAAAACGTACGACTATCCGATATTTCATTTGCCATTGTGTTCACATACTATCTATGATTTGCTGTATATTGTTTTATGTGTCACAAACCCGATAATTTTAAAAACTGAAATAATTTCATCCAAAGTTAAAACCATGACAATTTTAGTCTTATTTTCATAAATCTGTAACTTTTTAGATATTTATATTAATTATTTTCCCAAAATTTGTAAATAAAATTGTATAATTTGTAAATTAAGTTAATAAAAATTATATTAATTACATAATGTTCCTCGTACTATGTAGACTGAATTATCCAGCTTTTAACTCCTGTTATTTGTAATTGTCCAATACCATCTTTATTTTGAGAAAATATTCTATAAATATCAGTTTGAAAAGGGGATGGGTCAATATTTCAATGTTAAACCCCCCCCCCCTTTACCTTCTAACAAAAGTCAATATGTTGATTCGCATGCAGTGAAAACGATTTAAAATGTTGATTTGCAAGTACAATCCCAGCATACAATATATGCTAGGATGACAACACATCAAATTCTCTTATACATTTGTCAAGTTTATTTCATGATCATACCATAGAAAAGTGATTGCAAAAAGTTAATGCAGTTGATGAAACCCTGGTGGAAAAGTAAAAATCAATGTCCATCACCTAATGAAATAGTGTTTTACCGCCACTCCCCTAATATAATTAATTACGTTTTTTGACTGACATTGAAAAATTGACCCAGGCCCTAGGCCACATTCAAGCAGAAATGTTACATTAGTATCCAGCTATTCTCAATTGTGATACTGAACAAATATTTCACTCTATTGAGGTGAATACCTGTACATCTTTCACAAGTGATATTCCACGAAGCCCGAAGGGCAAGTGGAATATCACCTTGTGAAAGTGCTACAGGTATTCACCGAAAATAGAGTGAAATATTTGTTTTATTATATCACTGTCTAGCTAAACATCCCTAATATTATTAAGTCATTAAGTCTTCAGATATTTTTACGAATCTACTCGGTTCGTCTGCCATTTTGACTTAAACTGTACTAAATTATTTACACTGAATGAAAACAAATTCTTTGAAAATTCCTGGGAGCGTGGGATATCGCTAGATATCTCACGGTTGTCTTATCTGATTAGCATTGCCATTGAATATCAGATATCCCACGACATGTGACCCGGTTTTGACTAATCATACTGTCGCTAGCTAGATAGTGATATAATAATATAATATATTTGAGATATTTAAAAATATTGAATCCCCCGAGTGCAGAGTTAAGTTTTAAATTAAAGTTTAGCAGTCCCGCCCCAGCCCATCAGCCTGGGTCATAAATCAATTCAATCCCTCCCCACTGACATCTTAACCAATCAGCAAACAAAAAGAAGTTTTAATATTGAGGAAATATCAGAGAAATTAGTAAAAATGCAATGCAAACGTAGGCAATGTTTAAAGATTGTCATCTATATACTAGCAGTCTTCTCAATGTCTTGATGAATGCAGAAAATGATTATATTATTGGAACAATAATTTTGTACAACATACTGTATGTCTGCATTTTTCCTTTCAAATTTCACTTTTTATGAATTCAATACAGTAGTTAGATAGGAAAACCTCGGCCATTTTTTGTGATATTTAAGTCATTGGTTTCTTTAATGTCTAAGCTCCAAGATCTCACAGTTTTGCAAAATAACATAATATGTTTATATGCTTCTTATTTGTATTTATTCTCATCCAACAGTATAAAACCTTCACAATTTCCACTAATAAACATATCATCGTCAATATGTAGGACACAGTTCATGCATTCAATACCTCATTTATTCTACAGTGAAAATGTACAAAGTATTTTTAATAAAAATGAAATGAACATTTTATAATTCTTAGAGTGAGCTGAGCCAAAAGGAGATGAGTGTATTAATTCAAAATGTAAAATACAGTAAAACCTGTGTAAGTGAAACACCTTTAGAACCTCAAAATGTAAATCTGTTATCAAGTTAGTGGGCACCAGGACTTTTGTCAGAGTTGCACTTACAGAGGCATTGCACTTAAAGAAGTGTTCCATTTAAAGGTTTTACTTAGTGTCAGGATACTTTAAAACATTTTCTGAGACCACATCTGAATATTCAAAAATTTATTAAAGAAAATCCAGAGTAAAGTTTCATCAAAGTTAAGTTTTTATTGACCTAATAAGGAGTTCAAAATGTTGACATTTAAATTTAAGATATCCTCTATTTCTTTTGGTTTAGCTCACATTATTATTGGTATACATGTACATGGTACATGTTGTTATCATAGATCGATCAAGTTGACATATCCACTCAAGATATTCAGTACATTCAATTGAAATAAATGTAACCATATTTTATTCAACTGAATACACTTAATTCTCAATATCTTTCTCAAAATATCACAATGGTCATGTAGTGCCATATATGGTCATACCCTGTAGAACCATATATGGTCATGCTGTTTAGTGCCTTATATGGTCATGCTGCAAGAAGTTCAATTTTTTCTTTTATTTCAGCTACAGAGGCCTTGAAACTTTTGGCTCTATAATGGCATTACTATATTGCCTTTAGGTACTATTATATTCCCTTCAGGTACTTGATAGCCAGCCTTTCTCTGGGTATTACAGAAATAGAGAAATCAGCCAGTTTATTAGGAACCACAATGACCATTGTAATATTTAAAGCTACTCATTCATAATTGTTACTAATCCTTCAAACATGTGCACACATTTGTCCCCATAGCCAAAAGGACATGTTGTATTTGCTACTGTATCTTATTTTATTTTATCTTGAAAATGATTTGTTGTAAAATTGTTATTTCAATTCTAAATATCAGTTGTAATCAACATGCCTGACAATAAAAGCACAGTATTAAGAAATGAAACAATGACAAAATAACTTAAATATATTAAACTTTTTGTGATATTTGTTCAATAAATACTATAAAATTCACTTTTAATGACTAGTTGGAGTTGCAGTACCCTCTATATTTACACATAAGAACTATTCTCTCTTATTGCACACTATTTCAAGGCTGGTGAAAATTAACATTTTGTTTACAGTCTTCATCTTTTCTGTGATATTCCATTCCATCAAAATGTGTCATGCATGGACATGTAAAAGGAAGATTTTCACAAAAATGATGGTAAACGAAACATTAATTTTTCTAGCCTTTAAGTCAAATCTGATTCCAATCCATGTGAGATTGGTGTAACATATAATAATCTATCAAGATGCACAGGTCTGGAATGTCATGTTAATGGAAAATAAAAATATTTTTGCACCATAATAGGGCTAAATACCTCTGTCATTTCTTCAAAACATTCTTAAAGTGTTCTTCAATATAAAGCAAGAAGTCATGTAATACAGATTTAATCCTAAATACATGATTAACAATCCCCTCTATATGTTTTAATATTAATACTTTCGTTGTTTTATTTATTAAACCTTCACATGTTTACACAGAACCTGTACATCGATCTATTGCATTAATAAATATCTAACAGTTGCAAGCCATTCATGTTCTAATCTTTCTCAAGAAATATGAAAAATTATTTATTTGAGTCTAAGGATGAAAAAACAATCTTTGTTTTGCCTTATACTATAAATGGCAATATAGCCATTATATCTTTCAACATTCTCGAGAAAGAGAAGAATTAAACAAAGGGAGGGTGAACACTAAAAAGAAGGTCCTGAAGATCTTACTGTATAATAAACCTCCTCCCTCCGCTTTATTGAGACAACATTTGGAATGCATAACTGTTTAACTGATTCAAAATTTTGGCATTTTGCTTGAATTCATATGTAACTATCATCACTGTCTTCACTACTGCAACTCCAGCTACGTCTGCGTTTGTGTTTTCTTCGCGACCTTGACCTTGACCGAGATCTGTATGAGTACAGAGAAAAGTCACTGTCGGAACTTGGGGTGGGGGGACTTGGCCGTACATATGGAATCGGCTTTTTGCGTGCACTGAAATAAAAATTGAGTGTTAGATAGTAAAATTTTAGCAAATCAAAATTCACCCTTTTTCATCTAGAAGTGCATATCTCAAATAAAGTTTGACTGAGAATTATATTTTAAAATTGAAAACTGAAGCAAGAATTCTACATTAGTAATATAAGATTAAATGTGTATATAATGGAGATTTAACAACTTATTTCTGACAATTTATGTTTGCATTTTAAGGAATAATAAAAGAAGGATGAATTTATAGTACAGAATAACAAAACTTACAGAAATACAAAAACTGAAAAATTATCCAGCATGCAAACCACCACCTAAGGTTGATATTATAGAGATAGAATGTACACACAATCAGAAGATAAGTATTTCATTATATATCCCATAGTTATTTCAATCAAATAATTAATAAAAATCAAATCGGGTTCAAAAGGAAATGAGGGGCTATCAGGATATTGTTTGAGCCCCCCCCGCTTTTATCTGAAAGTAATACTCAACATGTGAATGGCCTTAACATAAATCCTGATAGCCCTAAGCCCTCCCTTACAACTGAAAATATTCCAATGAAAAAAATAGTAAATCAAACATTTAAATTTAATTGTCAAAATCAGAAATAGCAAAATTATTAATCATTTTTGGGAAGCAAATCTGTTTAAAAACAGCCTCTATTTATTGTAGACATTCAATTCATATTAGTCTATATGTATAACTCCATTCAAATGAAAATATATGTAGAAAGTAATTGAACCCCTATTGTTATGCACAAAATATTGAAATGCCAAAAATGTTGGATCCATGTTAGTTAAACATATGAAGATACGGAAATGCAGGGTGAGGAGCAGTGTGTTAAGTTGGCAATGGGGGGGAGAAGGGGGGGGGGGGGTCCTTATACACAACATAAGCAAGAGTAGATAATAGATAACCATGCAGAGAGGATCATTGTACCAATAATATTTCTGCTTATTTGGATACATATTACAATAACCATATGTCCACACCAAGAAGGTTGCTCTGTTTTAAAATGACCAATTGTGAATGGCTGAAACACTTATGGTAAGTTAAACATAGGAGGCAGAAGACATATTTACCTGAGCTCATTAACACTAAATGTGCTTCATAAATCTACATTGCATAGATTTTGATTAATGGTAAAAATGAATTTAATAACTTAATGACATTAACACGGTGTTGTCACCAATGTTTCTTTAACATAACATGGCTGTCACCCAACCCAAAAAGTTTCTATATTAGAGAAGATCAAACATCATCCTTTAACCCTTAAATGGTTAGGGGAGGCAGATCTACCCCACCCCCTAAGGATTTTTTTCATAACTTTTTTCATAGTTTAGCTGTTGATATTAAACTTCATGTCTTTTCTTAAACTGAAATAGGCACGAAAAAATTGTCAGTAGTTTTGACTTGAAATGATAAACCCCTATGTATAATGACTCAATGTAGTTATAATAAGCTTTCCAATGATACCCAATACACCTTCCTATGATTGATAGTTTCCGAGATCATAACTGACTGACTGTTGGTGTAATTCTCTATAGCCCAACCATTTAAGGGTTAATGAGCACAACAAAGCATAAACTTATTTTAAAACAATTCCTAAATTGCAAACAGAAATAAAATTCAATTTTAAATAATTCTACTACAAGGGTCATAAACCTAATTTTGATATTGTCAACTACTGACTAAATTCTTTATACCGAACACTTTATATTGCACAGATGGTAATTTTACTGTTTAACTTTTCAAGTTCACAATATGTACACAATATCAATTTCCCCATAAAAACACAACAACGCCTGACATACAACATAGAATATATATTCTCTAAAGAAAGCTTTATAGGATATAAAGTGTGTATCCACCTTGAAATGAACATTTATGTTTGATCATTTGATCATCTGGACCTTCCTTATAGAGTAATAAGAAAGTTAACAAACCACGTATGAGAGAAGTTCAGCGAGGAAGGAAGCAAAACAAAAAGTATAATATGTTAGCATAACTTATGGGGATTATACCATGCATAATTTATGTCAGAACTAATAGAATTATGAGCCCTATGAATCGTTACAGTATTTGTTAGGTGGTGTACATTTCACAAAGGAAGATATCATCCATCCCAGGAAATATCCCTATTAAGTCATGTGACCTAGAGTTCAACCAGAGCTTTGTCTAGGGACATATTTACATGGGATGAATTTCCTCCTCTGTCATATATTAATGCAGAACTACAACAATTTTAGTCTTGGTTTATAGAGTTAATGTGAAATATAATACAACACATGAATCATTAGAATCATGTTTGAAGATTGTGTCAAATTTAGTGAGCAGATCCCATAGGTATCTTCATATAAGTTAGGTGAAAATGATAGGCATGGTTAGCACCCTATGCAGACAGAGCCTGTGGGAAATATTGGGTGCGGAGCAAATGAGCGGAGGGTGCGGAGCTAACGGTTATTTTTGAATTTAAATTTGGGTTATTTCTGAAACTAAGCCGTTTTGGGACTTCAAATATACCAAGATATGTGTATTTGACACCAAATATCAATACAATTGTGAAAATAGTAGCGCAATTCATTCTATAGCGACGCAGTGTGCCTCAAACCTTTCCCAGACCTATATATTTTGAAATTATCCTTTTAATACTGAGTCCCCAGCATTCATAAAAAATGGTGTTCAAGGTGCACTATCTATACAAATTATTTTTGCATCTTGGAAGCCAGGCAGTATCTGTGTGATTTTATAAAAATTCGGAATTTTTTTCAGATATGAGCCCCCTCTAAATATTGGGTGCGGAGCAGCTCCATAAACGTAGCTCCGCACCCAATATTTAGAGGGGCTCATATCTGAAGAACATTTCCGAATTTTTATAAAATCACACAGATACTGCCTGGCTTCCAAGATGCAAAAATAATTTGCATGGGTAGTGTATCTTGAACACCATTTTTTATGAATGCTGGGGACGCAGTATTAAAAGGACAGTCTCAAAATATATAGGTCTGGGAAATGTTTAAGGCATACTGCGTCGCTATAAAATGAATTGCACTACTATTTTCACAATTTTTTTGATATTTGGTGTCAAATGCACATATCTTGGTATATTTGAAGTCCCAAAACGGCTTAGTTTCAGAAATATCCCAATTTTAAATTCAAAAATGACCGTTAGCTCCGCACCCTCCGCTCATTTGCGCCGCACCCAATATTTCCCACAGGCTCTGTCTGCATAGGGTGGTTAGGGGAGGTTTAGTATTGTTAATCTAAACTACATATACTTACACAAATTATCCAATCAAAAGCAAGTATTTATACTGTGACCATTGCAAACTGAACATTCTCTTTTTGTAGCAAAGAGAGAAGAGTATATATATAAGGCCATTGGTTCAAAACCTAGTTGATTCTTTTAGATAAATATCTGATTCTCGGATTTTATTTTCACCACATGGTGAAAATATGGGAAAACCGATATCAATGATAACAGTATAATTTGTATTTGTTAAATCCTAAAAAAAGAATATTAACTATTAGTAGCAACTTGTTAGTATGATTTAAACACGGGGTCAGCCTTAACTAAGGTGTACCATGTTTGTCAGGATTTTATGCTTCTCTATTTCAGCGACGTCCTCTACGTGACCTCGGTGACCTACTTCTTGGTGACCTTGACCTGGAATATCTCCTTGAATATCGCTCCCGTGAGTCTGACCTTTAAATACAACAATGACACAATATACAAGTACAACAATACAACAATAATATACAACATCAATCATGCTAAAAACATTGTTTAAGGAGAAGCTGCAAAGCCACTGTTCCATATATTTACAACAGTCAGAAGTGAAAAAAGCACTTCAAATAAACAAAAGTTGAATAACGAAAATTTCAGAGCATGCAATAAACCCAGAACAAATAAAATATATAAATAGAGTAAAGTAAAAATATATTTTGTCTCACACCTTAATGTCATCTGTTTTACTGAACATAATATAATAGAAGACAATCTATGAAATGAACCTCAACAACCAGGGGGGTTTCCATATATATATCACCTCAAAGAAACTTTAAAATAATTCCTGTTCCCCAAATGACTAACATTAAATTAGCAGTTAAAAGAATTCAGTGGTAATCAATGAACCCTTTTTAAAATGCCTTAATCAAAGAGAAGGAATGCATGTTAAAACAAACTCATTACAGTTATCAGAATTTATTTCATTTCAGTACAATAAAGAGTGGTAAAATACATGTCTGGTTATGTTTATTCGTTGTTTATACCATTCTATCAAAGATCATCATGTATGTTCGTCTGAAGAACTGAAATATTACACTGTATCATGGCTTGACGTATCAATCATATTTTTTTGGCTCATATTTGAATTTGGGGAACAGGAATTTGATATTCACAAAATCTACAACAGAGTTACAAATACCAAGTAAACAAGTAAATAAATAATTAAAACAAATTATGCCATGTCAAAACTAGTGAAAGGATCAAGTTTTCAAGTTGAAAAAATACCATTTCATGAATTCCTTTACTATTAAAAAATATGTTTACACATACTAATAATGGCAATTTAAAATTTTCACAAAAATTCAACTTGAAAACCAATATAACAACACAGAGACATAAGTGGTTTTGAGAATATTTCCCATAATACCTTGTGATTCGTCTGCGATCTAAATGGCTGGGAGAATCCCTTCTGCGGCGTATTGAAGGGCTGCGTGTTGGGCTGCGATATGGACTGTGACTCCGGGATCTACTATATGAATAACGTCGTCTAGGGCTCCTTGAAAGATAAATAAGTTCATCATTAAATGTTTGGAGTTTTTTGTGAACTAGTCACAAATATTCTGTATGTTTGCCAGAAAATATACTTTGCATTAAAGTTTAACAGATTAATAAAATTCAGAAAAATTAAAATGAGTACCTCTTTGAACGTTTCTTTGACCTTGATCTAGATTTATGGGGACTGCGACTTTTCGACCTTCTGGATGACCGTTTTTTGACAGGTGTCGTGGATTTAGAATGACGTGAGCTGCGTTTACTTCTAGGTGGTGTCAGAGATCCACTTAATGACCTTCTACGATGTTTTGGTGAGTAGCTAAGAGACCTACTATGCCCCCTAGTGTAAATAAAAAATATGATTAGGATGATTTTATATCATTTACAGTGTACAAAACAATTCAGTCACTAATCAATTTGATTAAAAACTGGGAGATCAAACAAGGAGTCAGTGTTAGTTCCTAATTCTTTTGTTACTAGTTTTCCAATTGTTTGAATTTGCCTTAGAGATTTGTGTTTCCATTCCATGTTACAAGAAATAGCCTAAACACATTTTTCAGCTTACCTTCTCCCTACAGGGGATCGACTTCTTGAACTTTCAAGCGATTTATGGCGCTTTTTCCTGGATTCATCTGGGCTATAGGAACGACGTGATTTCTTCTTAGATCTCGATTTCTTCTTGGGTCGTTCTGGCGATGGACTTAGTGAGCTAAGAACAACAGAGATTATTTATTACTAAGTAAAACAATTATTACATTTTAAAGAATTTTAATTCAAATCTTAAGCTTTATGATGAATACTTTGACCTGACCTTACAGTTAAATGGTCATAAAATATAAACCATTTCAAAGTCCATCAAAGACACATTAACCGAAGCAAGATAATTATCAAAGAAAAGAAATGTAAGAATCTATTCGCCAGAACAAGGCTCAGCTGCATACATATTTAAGGACCTCATTCTGTTATTAAAAACATAGTGAATGGAATATAATGGCCCCTAAAATACAGTACCATTATCTAAAACTAAACAGTAACAGGGAAATATCAAACAACATATATTTTTTAATGTGATACAAGTTCAACGAGATTCATGACAAGAGATAAAAGAAATCATTTGGTGGCAACTTTTTGGGATCACCCTGTATTTAAGTAGTAGTTACCTATCAGATTCACTTGCACTTTCTTCACTGGAACTTCCACTTGATGGACTCCTTCTTTTACCTTTCCTACAATACAATAACATTTCATTTAATCAAAGCATTGCATGCAGAACTACTGACACATTGAAATAATTGAACAGAAAAGCAATAAGACTTATCAAGTATCATGGCAATGGTGTACATAGACATCCCACTATATGGGGCAATCATGGGACCCCTAATACATAAAGTACAACCTTATAATGTGAACAGATGAGAACTATTTTGAATTTAGATATTTCTGATAATTTCATTTACACACTTGAATTTTTAGATTGAATTTTAATAAGCTTGGAGAAGGTCTCAGTTGATTTTGGTTCTTAGTTCACAGTTAACCTAAAACAGGCAAATATAACAATTGGCCTATCATGAAGTCATCTCGACTGTTCACTTTAGCAGGTTGCAATGTATACAAAACTAAATCTTTGAATGCATGTTGACCACCCACATTTCACAAGGTAGAACACAGATACGTTTCTACATTAAATGATTTGAATCACTGAAACTTTCAGTTCTTACTGGTTTTCAATGACAATATTGATTGTTTTTAATATTCATGGCTGCTGTAACGTATTATGTATACATAATTGTGATAATTCATTTTGTCACTCATAAGAATTGTGGTTGGTCAAATGGTAACATAAAAAGAAAGAATATGAAAAGCTACCTTTTTGCCTGATTTGCAAATCATAATTAAATCCATAGTTAAACTAGAAAGAAAAATCATAACGAGGGAGGGGTGCAACTTTTAGAAAGTATACAGACCCTCAAAAATGTTTAACCATGGATTATACAAACATAAAATAGTATGCCAATATGAATTTCATTCAAAACACTGTATGCCAATAGGATTTGTAATAAACGATGCCAACATGAATGTATGCCAAATGATGTGCACAGCTCACCTTTGTCTCTCATATGAAGTCATTATTACTCCAGATAATGAAGTCATTATTACACCAGATAATGATTTTCAATATTAATGACCCCTAATCAACACTGTGACCATGTATTTCTTTTCGATTAATCCATTACTTGGAGACTTTACGAAAAGAGTACAGAATTTGTATTGACATTTTTTAAAAATCAATCTACGGTTATAAGCAGCTTTACAGACAAATAATGAAAAATATCTAGAAATGAAATACATGATCAAAGAACAATAATATGATTTGTAGGTTTCTTCCAATTTAATTATCAATTTATTAAAACAATGAGTACAAATAAAATATAGCATGCAAATATGATTACTTTCATGAAACGACTGTTGCTTAAAATATACACGGAAGTAACTTAGATTACTTTCATGAAACGAATGTTGCTTAATATTCACATGGAAGTAATTGAGATTACTTTCATGAAACAATTGTTGCTTAAAATATACATGGAAGTAACTGTCCCTTTTTACTTACTCTGTTGTAAAATCACCCGGATGTCAAAATAAAGGCAAATGGAAAATTTAAAGGGGATTAATATAATGTGACTCTTAGCATTCAGTGTAGAACTAGTACTTATAACACAGTGTACAATGTTAAGACTAGTCCATAAAACACAATCATTAAAGCAGTAAATATGAAATGTAGATGAAAAAATCTAAAACTGCAGATGAAAAAATCCATAATTTCTCGAAAGTGAAAATGTCAATTTCAAGAATTTAATTCAACTAAAGTGATAATTATATGATTCTAAAGCTCCATAAATTAATTTTTTAGTCATACCTTTTCCGTTTATCAGCATCCTTTCTCCTGGGAGAGTACGATCTGAAACAAAAATTTAAATACATGAAAAACTGTTTTTATGTAAAATAATATGAATAAACAAAGAAATGCTCCTATAATATAACTTAACTAGGTGTGAACAATCTCAAAAAATTCACCATTCCATTTTCTTCAAAATATGAAGTTGGATCTATGAGCTTTGGATTGGACTTTTCCAATAGAATTCTTTTTTTGGTGAATATATGAGACTATTCACTAGTCTTATTAACAATAACAACAGAGGCTTGTTTCACATGCAGACCAGAACAATATCAAAGGATGAGCAACTATATATCAACATATCACCGTCACCAATAGAGACTCATTTAGATCAAGGGGACATTTCTTAACTAATGAGAATCAATTCCTATTTGTATTTCATGTGCATGTTTATTTCAATTTGAAAACCATTTAATGTGAACATATTTTTGAATTTGAACAACAAAGAATTTTGAATTGAACAACAAAGCGACAAAGTAGTTTTGAGACTATAAATACATTTTGATACATTGACAAACATATTCATAATCCTTGTGTGAAACAAACCCCTTAAATTCATTTAAAACCAAAGCCAAGAAGCTGGGTTAGTAACTAAAATAGCAAATGGGTCACATGACCAAAATTGGGTCATGTGACCATAAATGTCCTTATTAATATTTGACCAGCTGATAAACATACTCACACACAATATACATCAGAAGAAGCAAGTTGATTGGTTGATTCATTGCTTGATACATTGAATGGCTGAGCCATGAATACAAATCATTAGAAAATCACAAATTGACACCATCGTCAATGCTTAAGTATGGATTATAATTAAGTAATGGCAATGGGGAAATGTGTTCTGTTTTAGCAACACACTTCAAAGAAATGTGTTCTATTTGAGCAACAAACTTCAAGTGCTTCAGCTTACCTGATTGCTAATTAAGTATGAAAGCTTGGGAAAAATGGGCAAAAAGTAATGAAATTGTAGTTTAAAGAAATACCCGTCAACATATTCATAGAAGCTATGCCTCATTTTTGTCTCAATTTACTTTTTTCTATAGTCTTATATAAATCAAATATTTGATTTTCTGCCATTTCAATATGATTAAGAGTTTTAAATAAGTTCATTACTGTTTATCTTATTACAAGTCTAATTCTTTATCATTCTATATGCATAATATAGAAACATTGCTTCTGTGAGAATTATTTACGGATATAACTCTAGATTTAGTTAAGCAAGTGTGTTAGCTATCAGCTGTTAGTTGTTAACATACTGGAACTATACTATATAAAGGTATCATTCGATCAGAGGGATTGAGTATTAACTGTAGGCTGTTTTACTATGAAACTACAATGTCCAGAAAAACCTCCAGTGATCAATGATTATGGTAAATATATTTTTCACATTGGCCCTCAGCACAGAATTTCATTCTGTGTTTGCATTAAATAAATGGATACAACAATTTCATTCTCTGAATAAAAAGCATACATGTATATATAATATGTAGTACAGTACTATGAAATATGAAGATACAGATTTTCAATGTTATTTTGAATATGAAGCATGATGAAAATCCTATATTTTGCCATTTACATAAACACCCGAAACATTTTTTTGGACAGTAGCAGTTAGTTGTTAGATAGCATTAAGTGTTTATAAATACATGGAGTCAAACAATTGTAGGTGTCACCAAAAATCACCAAGTTAGGCCAATTGTTTAAAAATGCAAACAAGAAACTCTGAATTTCAACTTTCCATTTTCCAGGGTTGAGTCAATATTCTACTGTATTAAAAGTGCAAAAATGTACATGTACAACACTAAATTGCTGATATTAAAAATTGCAGTTTCAATAAAAAAAATTTAAATCAAAATAATAGTTATTTTTTTGTCTTTTCAAGGCCCCATGCAAATTTGAAAAAATGTTTAATCATCCAACTATAATTTTGTCATGACTTAAAAAATTGTTAAAGAATTTTTTTTTTAAAAAGATGAATTTTTAAAAAAAGTTGTTGGTCGTTTACTTTTCCAATATTTGAATTTCCCCCCATATTGTAAATTGAGTAAAAGTTATTTCAACAACTCAATTTCATTTTATGTATTAGATTTTGGAGCATTTTAAAAACCTCGTGCCATACTTCTCTCCAAAATTCTCTTATAAATCTAATAAATATGCCAAACTTTCAAAATAAAGCAATGCTCTTTGCCAATCTCAGTTGAAAAGAACTATTAATCATGTGAGTTTTCTTCCTTATTTTTCTTCCATTATGGTCTAAATATTTTCCACACAAAAAAAGTTTTACAAATCACATTTTGATAACATCGCGTAATACTACAATACAAATGGTTTCAACTTTACACAGGGCCTTTAACAGTTTTTATACAATAAACTATAAGACAACCCTAGAAGACAGCATACACAACTTGTTTTTCAATCCATAAATGCACAGAACAATTTACAATCCACATCAAAAATCTCATAATTTTGAGAAGTAACAAATTCAGAAACAGAGAGAGCCCATTCTTACTGATGCTATAGCTAACTCTACATCATTTTTTTATGTTGATATGGGGTCCTCATTTTCTGAATTTAGGACTCCTTCTTAAAACAATAAAACCTCATCTTCCCTTCATTCCTTCATAAATGCAAAAATGCCTCAGCGGCAATGATATAAATAAGCCTATATTAGCTTAACTGCTAGTTGTATTGGAAATTATATATAATGAATATATTTTAAAACATGATATGTAGTTCTGCTATATACGTAGATTACACATTATATGATATACACATACCTGTTTGTTACATGTGCTAAATGTTGGAACATAACATAAGCTGAGATTTAATACTTAAGTCTCATATAATACAAAAACTGGTGTAAACAATGAAAACAGAAGAACAAATTAGGATTTTTGATTCAGAATTATCAACTTTTTTTGTAAAACAAATCATTTTTTTAACAAATAATTATGTACACACACATATCATTGTTTACTAAATGGATTCACCTGTTTTGAAAAATCAGAAATTTCTTCAGGATCTTCAAACGGTTGTTTGAGAAGTCAGAAAGTAAAATCCTAATTTGATTTCTTCATTTAAATACAAAGTCTACAAAGAAATGACCATTTTTATATACTATAGTGTATTGTAGATTCATTCATTCTTTAGCATGGAAATAATATAAAATAAACAATAAGAAATTGTATCACGGAACATGTATTTGAGATTAAATGTCTGTATAATACACGGAAATAATAGAAAATAATATTACACTGGACTAAAAGTATTGCTCAACAGAGTTATATTGGGAGTCTTTATTCAAGTAACAATGTCGAAGATTTAAATTGGTGAATAATTTCATACATGAAGAAATATTATTATGAAGTCACAATATTTCACGATTGAAGGAATAGAAACACAAATCCAGGAAAATGTCACAAATTCAAAAACATCCATTATAAAATGAGGAATAATGTCAAAAGTCAATGAATAATGTCATAAGTTGAGGAACAACATTGTATATAGACACAATAAGCTGTATGTCGAATAATATTCACAAACAACAAAAACAAAAGACAACATAACTAAGTAGTGAGGTAAATACGTACATAGCTTTTTACAGGTCTACTTTAACAATAAACTTCATGATGATATGATATAAGGTTCACACAATGTCCACAATGAAGTTCTTTAAATAAATATTCATAACGCACTTCTTTGTCCATATTCTAACCTTTCTGGGACAGATGCCCATTTAAGGCCATATTCCAAATAATGTCCATACTTGAGATAATGTCCAAGTTTTTGTACAAAAGAAAAATTCTCACCTTCCACGTTTGTGTTTCTTCTTCTTTTTTCTTTCTCTTTCTGGTGATGAACTTTCAGATCTAGATGAGCAAAGCATTTGTTTTATTAATTTCATCCTTTTAATAGGCCTTAAAGGATTTACTGATAAATCATCTAAATATTATTTGTACATTATCCCTTAACTTTTTGAGCATCAACTTTTTAGATCACCAAATATGACACTTTTAACTGTAAAACACATTTAAATATTTTGTGAAGTCATTTTACGAATTTTCTCACCTTTCTCTCTGTTTCTTTTTCTTTTTTTTCTTAGGTTCTGGTGATGGTGATTTATCAGAACTTGACTCTTCTATAATCCTGTTTAAAAATAAAGCAATTTACAATGAATCAATACCATGAATAAAAATATAGCCACTGGACCTAAAACAGAAATATTATCAACAAAATACATGTATGTCCAAATTTGTGCGATCAATTATGTGTAATTAAAAAATCTTAAATAATATGTCAGCATTTTAGTTGCAGTCACCAAATCTAATTCAATGGCGTGGGACGGTAATCTTACAAATATTGCTTATTGTATCTAAGACTTATGGATTCTACAAAACACCTACAAAACAAAAGGTACATCAATAAGTTATAAAACTACATCACTGTGTAGTGACTGAATAGTGAACATACTTATATTTTGTTCTGGCCATAGCTAGTGCCTTTTCAGCATCTTCTTTTGCTTTCTTCTCTTTAGCCCTACGCTCAGGATCCATTCCGCTTCCTTCAACGTAATACTCGCTTATTCCAAATGCTGCCTTTAATTGTTGGTTCTTCTCCTGGTTGGCTTCAGCCATCTGGTGAGTGGTTCTTGCACTAATATTGAAACAAGGCATAAACATGACAAATTGTCACCACCTAGTTGCACACAATATTATTAGTTCAAAGTTAAGTCAGATTTGAATTTCTGAGAACTTGTGGATGATTTTGAAAAAATAAATTGGTCAATTTGAAGCAAGTTGAAAAAGACCTTTTTTGACCCTGAGAGGGTCATTGAAGGTGAAATCTGAATTCTAAAGTCAGATTTGAACTTCTGAGAACTTGGTCAATTGGTCAATTTGAAGTACGATGAAAAATGACCTTTTTGACCTTGAGAATGTTATTGAAGGTTAAATTTATAGTCAGATTTGAACTGTTGAGAACTTGTAGATGATTTTGAAAAAAGAAATAGGTCAATTTAAAGCAAGTTGAAAAATTACCTTTTTGACCCTGAGAAGGTCATTGAAGGTCAAATCTCAAAACCTTAAGTTAGATTTGAACTTCTGATAACTTGTAGATGATTTTGAAAAAAAATTGTTTAATTTGAAGCAATTTGAAAAAAGATCTTTTTTACCTTGAAAAGGTCATTGAAGGTCAAATCTTAAATGTAGAGTCAGATTTGAACTTCTGAAAACATGTAGGTGATTTTGAAAAAAATTGAAGCCAGTCTAAACAGTATTTGTTAAGTTATTGGAAGTTGTAAGAATTTATTACAGACCAATCGCCAACCGCCGTCAAAAAAAATGGAGATCATAACAATATGTCACCACTTTTTGGTGGTGACATAAAAGGCGAATATCCTGCTTATGATACATGATATGGGGAGAGTTTATTATGCTCTATTGATCATCCTTTCCCCCATATGACTTGACCTTTCTAAATATAGTACAAAATTTCCTAATTTGGGGATTTTGACGTACTAGCTTAAAATTACGCCATCATAAATGAGTTGTAATAAATTTTAGTATTCTGTTACACACTGACATCATGACGAAATAGATAAAAAGTTAATATGATGCCATAACTTTAACATTTCGCCTATAACCAGGATTTCATTGTTTTAATTGACAGTGATTTTTATACTGATATCTTGTTGACTTCTTGTTCAATTACCATTTAATAATTGGAAAACATATTTAATCAATTTTTTTCATCTCAAACCCTTAAATATTTTGATGCCGATATATGATGCTGACGACTAATATTTAAAAAACAAAATAACCTTTCACCCCCGCCCTAAACCCTAATGCAACTATATTTGGCAGCACCTTCAAATTATCAAGACTGTTCCACTTAACAGCTCAAATATTTTCTTCATGGAACGTAAGGCAAGTAATAACACATGGTCCATTAAAAGAAACACCATTTTCATATTTCCCTATGGAGTCAAGATCTCTTGAAAATTTAATGAAGATCACAGATAGAAAGTGAATTCAAGACGAACTTGCGTGCCTGAGTTGATGGAAAATTGTTAAGTGTTATAATAGAATCGTTATTATGTGCCAGAGTTCTTCAGAACTTTTTTATATTTGAGAATGTATACATTTGATGTTTGTATTCCTTTGGCTCTCTAATAACAGCAATGACCATTTATTTTCATAATCATGGTTACTTACATTGGGCGTCCATGTTCGTCTTTCTCGATGGACTGATCCGTCACTTTCTCTTTTTCCATTAACATCTTGCGAAACATTGACACCTTACGATCTATTTCCTCTGTGGAATACCTATGAAAGAAATATATGAAAATGTTACTTCAAGGACTACCCGGACAGAAAATCTTTTTGTCTTTACATAATTATTAAAGAAATTAACAGCATTAGTTCTAATTAATTTTGTATTTGATTTTGTAAGTACATAAATTACAAGAGACACAATATTTGCAAAAATGCACTTTACTTGATTAAGAGATTGGCATTTCAATTATTAGAGCTTACAAATAGAATTAATGTAAACTGTATTACATAATACGATTTCCTTCCTAGCTCTATTATCATATTAACCATGTAAGGGGTTGTCTCAAGTCTTACTCACTAAATTCTATGACCCATTTCATTAACTGGTAAAACACAATAATGTAGCTCACTTTTTGAAAAACTGTGTACTGTATGTTTAAAAATCAAATTCACATCTTTGGTAAACAAATGGCCTTTAACTACCCACAGAACTGATGATATATGAAATTTAGTGCAAAAGATTTGAGATGGCAACTAGGTGCCACAAAAATCTCATCAAAAAACAAAAATATGTAATTAGCTAGAATTGATCAAGGGAGACATTGATAAATTTGCATTCCATTATTGCATGGCTGATCACATTATTCCATATAAAATAATCAAGGGGTGTATTTTTCTTTTTCAGCTAGATCTCCATTCAGTCTTCTAGATACCAGCCGGGTCGAGCCCTTCTCTATTTCTGATCAATGAATCCTTAAATTTTCATAATATGATGATATTCAATCAAGATGCATGTGTTAAAAGGACAACTTTCATTAGAGATAAAAATGCCATTTTCTTAGACATTAAACGACTAATATAGTTTGCCACTAGACTTCTGTTTATCCACAGAGAATCAATTCCTTTTTACATGTACTTACCCTTGCTCTTCCATGAGTTCAGTCATCTCCATACATTTCAGTTCAACTTTTCTCTTCCGTTCATGATCCAAAATCTCCTGATTTGGTCCACGGGTTAACTCTGCATCGAGTTTCCGCAACTCCTCCTCTGATTTATAATCCACACGTTCTTTGACTTTTCGAACTTGCGACAAGTTCCGTGTTACATAGCCATTGGTACCGCTGCCACGAACAGTGTCTAGACCAATTCCGTTATACATTGTGTTGAATTATTTTATCTGGAAATACACACGAGAATGAGATGCTGATTTCTGTAGCAGAAGACTTTTTTTAAAAATATCACAAATTATACTTGATCACAGTATTGTCATCTTGAATTCAGACAGTAGTTGCAATTTATAATATTTAGAGAAACAGCTTCTTGTCAAATCAGTTTCTTACAGTTTGAATTGCTGACTGTTCCACTCAAATTCTGTTCTAAGTTGTAGATTAAAATATCTCAAATCCCAAAAATATGATTTTAGCTTTTGATTTCCTACTTGATTTTTTCACACCTTTTTACTCCATGGTTATGTAACATGAATTCCTCCAGCAAATATACAAATGACTAATAAAGAATTTGATTATTCATCTCATTTGTCCTGTAAGGCATCTATCATTTTGTCTGCTAAGGCAACCAATTCCCATCGCAATCCTTCTAAGCAATATTAAATCCAAATTTTGACAACGTTGATTCTTTTAGATTACTGGAAAAAATAGGTCTAGTCTGGAAGCTGACAAATTGACAAGTCCTGTTCCCCTCTACCCTTATCCACAGCCAGAATAATCTATCTAAACAAAGCAACTAAAGCAATTTCAACTTCTATGAATAATACAATAGACAGCCAACCCTTGAAGAAATAGTGACAGTATTATAGGTATTAAATATTGTATATGAAACTCAGAAAAACCAAGAAATTGATTTATCGAAAACATGATACTTACTATATTTAAAACATTAAAACAAGTCAATTTTGATTTAAATAGAAGAAACACCACATATTGATAACCATTAAAAATATTTTGGAAGTACATGTATTGATTTTTCCAGATAGTCATCAATCAATGGTGAATGGTAATTCCTTGTAATAGAGTTGAGGGACAACAATGTAACAGCTGGTCATAGGTTTATATATCAAATGCCATGACTTCATCATGGAATATCACACCTACACTGGTGATCCACTCGATTACGCTGGTTACCAAAACGAACCGTTTTGGTAACAAAATGTCGGAACATCCGGAAGGTACGATTTTTCTCGTTTCCTTATTTTACACTTGTAGGCAGAATTCCCACGACATTTTTTAACACAAACGTGTATCAGTATCATATGTTTAAGAAAGTGTACATATTTGCGAACAAATAGTTCAGAAGACAACAGAATCGTCGATTTACTTCCTCACTTAAGTTACATAAACGGTTTGGGTTAAAAGTGCAGATCTTAACTGTTTTTCGAAAAACCGTTTATGTAACTTAAGTGAGGAAGTAAATCGACGATTCTGTTGTCCTCTGAGCTATTTTATCTCTAACATGTACATTTTCTAAAACATATGATACTGATACACGTTTGTGTGAAAAAAACGTAGTGGGGATTCTGCCTACAACGCGTGAAATAAGGAAAAAAGAAAAATCGTGCCTTCGACGTTCCGACATTTTGTTACCAAAACTGTTCGTTTTGGTAACCAGCGTAATCGAGTGGATCACCAGTGACCTACTGAAAAGAAGTTATAGCATACCAATGGACACATCTCATAGAAGAGCACATCATTGTTTGCATGGTATAGCATAGCAAACCCTTGAAATATTGCACAAAAGAAACCATACCCATGAGAAACATACACATGATTAGGACATTTCTTCATCTAACACTTGCAATACACTGCACTTTCAACTAGTGACAACTGTTACTTTTATTATTTCTCAACTTACTTTGTACTTACTTTATTGTTGAATGTAGATCCAGAATTTGATAACCGGCAGATTTCCTGAAAATATAAATGGAACATTATTATATTGGCTTATTCAAAATTCAAATGTGGAGGTAGAAGGGAGAGGCAGGAGTTTGATGAAAGACTTTGGCAATATGGATTGTGTCAGATCTCCAAGGACATGATTTATTATGCTCTCTTATGCTTAAAGTAAGGGATTACCCTGAATAACAAATTGATCAATAACATTTCCAAACTACATTACTTTATATCAGCTGCTTAGGAATCAATAGAGTACAATATAACATTACATGATGCATTAAGGTCTGACTAGAAGTGGAAAATATGTATGTAGCCAAACCCAATATGCGAACATCACTCAATTGAGTTTTTGAAATGTGAACACTTCTTCTGTTCCATTTTTGAGTGCCAAATTGACTCTTTTAGTATCATTGTATCAGAACCTCGAAATGAAATCACCTCTAAATTTGTGGAACAAGGCAATGTTGGAAATCAAACTCTGTTTTACAATTATTATACTCTTCCAAACTGCTAATTGAAGCAGGTTATTGCCACTATCTAAATGAATATCAATATGTATATATATCAATAAACTGAATAGGACAAAATATGAAATCTTGTGAATATTATAAAATAATATAGCTTTTGAAACATTGGTGACAGCCTGCAGATGGAGAGATGAACTTTGGTTATAGTTACTATGGTGAAAGCTTTTGCAGATTGTTTCTCGAAAGCCTATGACCAGACCAATATTTTCTTATTTGTACCACACTTATTTCAACATTTCACTGTCCCTAATTGAATCATATTGTATTTTTATGTTTTATTCTATAATCTTTCTTATGTAATCCTGTAAGCATTGCGCTGTTCATTTAATTTTTAACAAACAATTTGCATTATTTGATGGTCATGGAAGACACTTGCAAGAGATTCACTATAATTATTGCATGTCTAATATTTGATTTATTCATGTGATGGCATAGGCCCTATAAACCAGACTACCAACAGCTGTTGTTTAATGCATATCCTAAATAGCTTTACAATTAATGTAAATAATTACCTTTAATGTAATACTAATTGATTGCATCAGTTTGATTGTTTTGTTTGAAGTACCATAATAGCAAACTTACAAACAATGCTAATAACATGACAATGCTATCAATGGGATTCTGGACAACATATACAATTGACAATCTACAAACTCAACTTAATGACAGCACCAACATGGCACAGGCCAGGGTAAACAGTATCTTAGTTAAAAATAAAAAATGGCCTCCTTAAAAGTTACCTAATTTGCCCATAAAACTAATTAGTGTTATATTTTCATACCAAGAGATAAACCCCCAAAATTTTGAAATCATCTGTCAAGCAATTTGCTAATGCTTAGATGTTCAATTACTAATAAATAAAAGAATTTAATTTACACATTTAAAGGCTGATCTTTCCATAAAATGGAATCTTTGGACATATCTTATTTTGACATTTTTATACAACTGACAAAATTATTAATACTTTACTATATAGTTGATGCAGCTATTTAGTTCTTTTTCTTCAACTGATCGGTATGAAATCAGGTGTACGTGATGCCGGTATTGAAATTTGATGCCACTTGGAGCACTAGTTCCATGGAACATCCAACAATTGCTTTCTAATGACATGTGCAGGTTTAAATAATTGTCTTCACATTCTTGTACTATTTACTTAAATCAATTACTTAAATCAAAAATCTATTAAACTAATTTAATGGTCGGTTTATTTGAATTATCATATTCTGGTAGAAAATCATTAAGACCCTAGCGATACAAATTTTTTTACGAAGGCCCCCACAAAGTGGGCGGTACCCTTCGTTCTATGGACTGGGCTAGGACCATTCACGTGACCCAAGTCCCGCCTTTGATAGCTTATATGGCAAATCATCAAGACAATTGCCATGTCGTCAAATGGTGTGATTGTGATTCGAGATATGACATATCACATAAACTATGACGTATGTCACATATTTACTCCATCGAGCAACTATATTAACATGTTACGTCATTAACATGTTACCTAACCAAAAACAAAACAATTATTTACTTTGTTCATTGCTGTTCTCTGTGATCTTTTCATAAGTGGATCAGTTTAGCCCCACATATGGCCTTCGTATTTTTCTAGTGAAATTCACTGGATAATCTTGTTATTAGGTTTGTAAAAAGCAAAATTTAGATTGTAGAATATTCCAAACAAAACATGACAATGAAATGCACATTTATCTACACATCGTTGAACCACAAATTATCATTTACAATCAAAATAATAGATATTTTTGAAGCAATGAAATCATACGTTTCGGCTGATGTACACATAGACTAGTATGTGTGTGTGTGTGTGTAGACGGGGGGGGGGGGGGGGTATTTTCGCAACAACTGTACAGTGGGGGACAAAAATAAAACTCAACGTTCACAAGTTGTCACAATGAGCTTATTTCCAAGTTTCGTGTCTCAAACTCTCCCAAGCGGTAGAAAAATAATTCCCGTTCACTAAAGTAGCACAATAAATGAATCCAAAGCTTCATACCTGCAAATAATGGATATATCCCTACCAAATCGAATGAATGTTTTCATGAATCACCATGTTTGTTATCCAAGGACAGTTGTCTCCCAGAATGCAACATCAGTTACCGTATTAACTCATGACAGGTTTCAAAATGGCGGAACAGCATTGTGAAAGCTGGCACGTGTCATGTTGCATTCTGGGAGCCAATCCTCCGTTCCAGAATCGGGCGACAAAATCACCTCAACATTTGAAGAGTCGGCATAACATGTGAATATCCAATTCAACTTTTGAAGTTCTTATTTGTCATTAGGGACACAAATTCCACTATATTTGGACTTACTAAGACGGAGAAAATAGAGCACTGAATACACTGAGGTAAGAATTTATTACATGTGCGACAGCATGTAATTTTCATAGCTTTTGCAATTCTTTATGATCCCCACTGTATCTGTTGTTCATTTTTACATATTTATCAAAATATGAAATAAAAATGGGAACAAATACATGTAGTTGGATATAGGGCTCGCCCAGGAGGAGTGAGTAGCTCCCATAATTCTTTCATATTCTATCGTATTCGGGGATTCCCCATTACATCATCTCTTGCATCATCTCCAATCAAATTGCAGGATTCGATCAAGTGAACAATCATGAGCACGTGCTCTCTCAGTGCTGCGCATGCGCAGAGTTAAATTTGAAATCGGTGGAATGGCGTTAACATCAGGTCAACATCATCATTTCAAATCTACGGTAATACTATTGAAGTTACTCGATCCATACTTGTAGAGAATACTCATAAAACTACAGTGAACATTTGGAGATCCATTTCAACGGCAAATTGAGGCCTGTTTATAAAATTTGTTTTCGAACGTGCTAATATGATAGGGCATCTTTGGGAAATCTCCCCCCCTGGGGCTCGCCTGAGAAAAAAGAAACATCAAACAAATTCAAAATTTCCTTAACGTTGTTGATCAATTTCATCACAAGAAAACAATTGCATCATGGGTGTAAAATAGAGTACGTACTAAATATAACATATTCAACTTACATTTGGATTACATGGTGATATTATATGCCATAGCTAATGTCTGTAATTTTGTGATCTTTGTCTCACAATTTTCGTCGTAGATTTTCCGGATTTTCGATCGATATTAATGCGCATGTGCAAACGGAAACAGTATAAGTTTAAAACGATCTTGAGTAACGGAATTAAATCAAATTGGATTTATTTCACTAGTAATTAAAGCCAAAAATGGAAAAATGATATAGGGAAAAATTTGATAGAATACTCACACTATTTTTATTTAAATGAATTTGATATTTATACGCATGACATAGATATTTTTTATTATTCCGTTTCACAGAAATTGTGCATCATTTCAGCATGGCGGAAGTAATCCAGGTATGAAAACAATTTTGTTGACATTTTGCAATATATCTCCTTACTGATGTATCAATATAATTTTGAATGGTAAACAATATTTACATAGTATATCAATTCACAGTTTTATCGAGTGCCACGATTAGTAATCTCGTATAGTAGTCTCTATTAGCCTTGAAATTCTCAATCAATGTTTTTCATTGGATTTGCAACCTGAAAGTCCACTATTAGATTTAGCTAATTATATTCACCAGGTTATGAAGCTAAAATTCCCCTTTCATACCTTCATGGTTACTGAATATGCATCTCATATGTGTCGCATGATCTAATTGGTCCAATTGCGAAATAAGGCACTCCAGCTCAATGACAGCTACAGTGCTGGTATATATTTATTGATTAGTCGTTTTATTGCCATATTTTCTTGAATTTTAACATTTAATGTCCCAAACTCACACAAACTGCAGAAAAGTATACACCATAAATCATATATACCAAAATGAGTGTCTCCAAGGCTTCACACCAGCGTATGCATAGTTCATTTGTCACGAGTTTGAGCTGAAATTTCTCCAAAATGAAGTAGGCTCAGGGTAGTCTCTGCCAGGTTTGTTTATTGTGGTAAGCTTGTAAGTGCTCAGAAGCAAATAATTCATGTGCGCAAAATAATCAAATAATCTGATTGGTTAAAACTTTGCTGCACATGCGCACAATGTATGCCATGCTTTTTCTAGTGATTTCGTTTCGTTTCATGGAGTTTGCGTTTCAGTGTAACTTCCGCAAAAATGGCGGACCATGAACAGAATTAACAGGTAAAATCACTTCGTAATTTCAAGAGAACTTTTTACCTATAATAGCAAAACTTTTGTTTTATTTGTGCATTCTATCTATCAGATAAGAGTCTCAGGGGTATGTAGGCTAATTTATTTTGGTAGGAGCACTCTGTTTAGTTTGAAAACGCACCCTTAATTATTAGGAGGCCCTTCCAAGGGGCCTCCTATAGTTTTTGTAGTTATTCTTCTTCTTCTTCTTCTTCTTCTTATTAGGAGGCCCTTCCAAGGGGCCTCCTATAGTTTTTGTAGTTATTCTTATTATTCTTCTTCTTCTTATTATTCTTTTTAGCACTTTTTCTCCTACTTCTAGCTAGGTCTGAATTAACTCTTATATGCTCCTACTAGGTACATGAGCTGGACTTGTCGGGAAATTAGTTCATATCTAGGTCAAGGTCAAAGGTCAAAATCTAGGTCAAATCTAAGTTTTTTTTAAGTTTCTCAATGCCTGACACTAGACTTCAACATTTTTGGCTGATTTTTTGCATAGAGATAGATATTAGTATTCTATTAGTGTTAGCTTTTTGCCGTCTGGACGAATTTTGCCTACATTTTGAGATATTTGACGTCAAAAAACGGTCAAAAAAGGTCATTTTTCAACTTGCTTCAATTTGACCAATTTTTTTTTTAAAAAGCATCTACAAAGTCTCAGGAGTTCAAATCTGACCTCAGATTTGACCTTTGACCTTTAGTTGACCTTCTGTGGCCTTCGAAAGGTCAAAAAAGTTGATTTTTCAAATTGATTTTTTGGATTCAAATTTAGGTCAGCTTAATCACAAAGGACATACTGAGCTCTGAAAAAGTAAAATTTTCAAGGTCAAAGGTCAAGGTCATCAAATTAGATAACAAACTGTGCTATCTAAGTTTCTCAAAATTCGAGACTACAGATCAATATTTTTGGTTGAAAGTCAGGATATATATTCCTCTAGAGGTACTACACATATTAGCAATTGACTATCTATTAAAATTTTGCACCAGTTTTGAGATATAAGAGCTCAAGAACTGAAAAAAGGTCAAATTTTGAAAATTTTGAAGGTCAAATTTCAACTTGCTTCAAATTGACCAATTTTTTTTTTAAAAAGCATCTACAAAGTCTCAGGAGTTTAAATTTGACCTCAGATTTGACCTTTGACCTTTACTTGACCTTCTGTGACCTTCGAAAGGTCAAAAATGTTGATTTTTCAAATTGATTTTTTGGATTCAAATTTAGGTCAGCTTAATCACAAAGGACATACTGAGCTCTGAAAAAGTGAAATTTTTAAGGTCAAAGGTCAAGGTCATCAAATTAGGTCACAAACTGTGCTATCTAAGTTTCTCAGAATTCAAGACTACAAATCAATATTTTTGGTTGAAAGTCAGGATATATATTCCTCTAGAGGTACTACACATATTAGCAATTGACTATCTATTAAAATTTTGCACCAGTTTTGAGATATTTGACGTCAAAAACGGTCAAAAAAGGTCATTTTTCAACTTGCTTCAATTTGACCAATTTTTTTTTTAAAAAGCATCTACAAAGTCTCAGGAGTTCAAATCTGACCTCAGATTTGACCTTTGACCTTTAGTTGACCTTCTGTGACCTTCGAAAGGTCAAAAAAGTTGATTTTTCAAATTGATTTTTTGGATTCAAATTTAGGTCAGCTTAATCACAAAGGACATACTGAGCTCTGAAAAAGTAAAATTTTCAAGGTCAAAGGTCAAGGTCATCAAATTAGATAACAAACTGTGCTATCTAAGTTTCTCAAAATTCGAGACTACAAATCAATATTTTTGGTTGAAAGTCAGGATATATATTCCTCTAGAGGTACTACACATATTAGCAATTGACTATCTATTAAAATTTTGCACCAGTTTTGAGATATAAGAGCTCAAGAACTGAAAAAAGGTCAAATTTCGAAAATTTTGAAGGTCAAATTTCAACTTGCTTCAAATTGACCAATTTTTTTTTTAAAAAGCATCTACAAAGTCTCAGGAGTTCAAATTTGACCTCAGATTTGACCTTTGACCTTTACTTGACCTTCTGTGACCTTCGAAAGGTCAAAAATGTTGATTTTTCAAATTGATTTTTTGGATTCAAATTTAGGTCAGCTTAATCACAAAGGACATACTGAGCTCTGAAAAAGTGAAATTTTTAAGGTCAATGGTCAAGGTCATCAAATTAGGTCACAAACTGTGCTATCTAAGTTTCTCAGAATTCAAGACTACAAATCAATATTTTTGGTTGAAAGTCAGGATATATATTCCTCTAGAGGTACTACACATATTAGCAATTGACTATCTATTAAAATTTTGCACCAGTTTTGAGATATAAGAGCTCAAGGACTGAAAAAGGTCAGATTTCGAAAATTTTCAAGGTCAAATTTCAACTTGCTTCAAATTGACCAAATTTTTTTTTAAAAAGCGTCTACAAAGTCTCAGGAGTTCAAATCTGAACTCAAATCTGGCCTTTGACCTTTAGTTGACCTTCTGAGACCTTCGAAAGGTAAAAAAAGTTGATTTTTCAAATTGACGTTTTGGATTCAAATTTAAGTCAGCTTAATCACAAAAGACATACTGAGCTCTGAAAAAGTAAAATTTTCAAGGTCAAAGGTCAAGGTCATCAAATTAGGTGACAAACTGTGGTATCTACGGGGCCTCCGTAAGATTGCTTGCAATCTTAGATCGTTAGATCTCTAGTTATTATTCTTTTTAGCATTTTTTCTCCTACTTCTAGCTAGGTCTGAATTAACTCTTATATGCTCCTACTAGGGACATGAGCTGGACTTGTCGGGAAATTAGTTCATATCTAGGTCAAGGTCAAAGGTCAAAATCTAGGTCAAATCTAAGTTTTTTTTAAGTTTCTCAGATTTCGTCCTCATACTTCATTATTTCTTGCGATGAATTAAAATGTAACTAGATATAAGCATTCTCTACAAATTGCCCACTATATGTGCGCGTTAATTTTTTACCGTTTTTGAGATATTTGACGTCAAAAAACGGTCAAAAAAGGTCATTTTTCAACTTGCTTCAATTTGACCAAATTTTTTTTTAAAAAGCATCTACAAAGTCTCAGGAGTTCAAATCTGACCTCAGATTTGACCTTTGACCTTTAGTTGACCTTCTGTGACCTTCGAAAGGTCAAAAAAGTTGATTTTTCAAATTGATTTTTTGGATTCAAATTTAGGTCAGCTTAATCACAAAGGACATACTGAGCTCTGAAAAAGTAAAATTTTCAAGGTCAAAGGTCAAGGTCATCAAATAAGATAACAAACTGTGCTATCTAAGTTTCTCAAAATTCGAGACTACAAATCAATATTTTTGGTTGAAAGTCAGAATATATATTCCTCTAGAGGTACTACACATATTAGCAATTGACTATCTATTAAAATTTTACACCAGTTTTGAGATATAAGAGCTCAAGAACTGAAAAAGGTCAAATTTCGAAAATTTTGAAGGTCAAATTTCAACTTGCTTCAAATTGACCAAATGTTTTTTTAAAAAGCATCTACAAAGTCTCAGGAGTTCAAATTTGACCTCAGATTTGACCTTAGACCTTTACTTGACCTTCTGTGACCTTCGAAAGGTCAAAAATGTTGATTTTTCAAATTGATTTTTTGGATTCAAATTTAGGTCAGCTTAATCACAAAGAACATACTGAGCTCTGAAAAAGTACAATTTTTAAGGTCAAAGGTCAAGGTCATCAAATTAGGTCACAAACTGTGCTATCTAAGTTTCTCAGAATTCAAGACTACAAATCAATATTTTTGGTTGAAAGTCAGAATATATATTCCTCTAGAGGTACTTCACATATTAGGAATTGACTATCCATTAAAATTTTGCACCACTTTTGAGATATAAGAGCTCAAGGACTGAAAAAAGGTCAAATTTCGAAAATTTTCAAGGTCAAATTTCAACTTGCTTCAAATTGACCAAATGTTTTTTAAAAAAGCATCTACAAAGTCTCAGGAGTTCAAATCTTACCTCAAATTTGGCCTTTGACCTTTAGTTGACCTTCTGTGACCTTCGAAAGGTAAAAAAAGTTGATTTTTCAAATTGACTTTTTGGATTCAAATTTAAGTCAGCTTAATCACAAAAGACATACTGAGCTCTGAAAAAGTAAACTTTTCAAGGTCAAAGGTCAAGGTCATCAAATTAGGTGACAAACTGGTATCTATGGGGCCTCCGTAAGATTGCTTGCAATCTTAGATCGTTAGATCTCTAGTTATATATCAGCACTGTAGCTGTCTGCGACTCGATAAAGAAGAATTATCAAAGCTCATCAAGAATGGACGATCTTGCACAGGTACTCATACAAGAACCTCTATTTCTCATATGACTAACAAAGATACAGCCATCTTTACCCCATGCAAGATATTGCCATCTTTCATCTTAAAAAGTCACAGGTGCAAGATGAGATTTACTTGGACATCACTTGTTTATAAACATCATCAACATGACAACGGATACCCGATACACCATTGCTATGAGTATCAATGCTCATCCTACAAAAATAAGTTGTGACATCATAACAATAGGGCTTTATTGACACGCATAGCCATGTATATTCTGCAACATTGTTTTGACGTCATAACAATTGAAAGATGTAGTTCCATTGATTTGAAGATATTGTAACGACCCCCGGTTTTGGTGTTTGGATGAGGGGTCGCAGTTTCGTGGGGGCGTTTGAATATTAGCGGGAGATAATTAATTTTGGATCAAATAATCAAGAATGGTTCAGGTAAACAAAACTCTAACACAACATGAATTAAGAATTAAGATCAATATACATAATAATTGTAGTCTTTATTAAATGGCAATTTAATTGTCAAAGTCAACATATACCTCTTAAAGCACTACCAGTAATCATAGTCATGCAGAATTTGGTTCAACAGTGATATAATATACGAATTATTATATGTAATATAATGAGCTCCCTTTTAAGATACACTAATTATCCCATCGAACGAAGTTCGGAGGGATATAGGGAACGCCTCCGTCCGTCCGTCCGTACGTACGTACGTACGTACGTCTGTCCGTTCGTACGTACATCCGTCCGTCCGTCCGTCCGGGCAATAACTCAAATACCGTTGGCCCAATTTTGTTCATATTTTGTACACATATACCCTATGGGGGTAGAAGTTCTGCTCGAAAGCCGATTTTCAAAATGGCCACTTATTTCAAAATGGCGGCCATTTTAGTGCCGATTTTACAGTAATTTAGGTGTAATATGTAAAACTGTAATAGCAATATGTTTTAAATGTAAAAAAATTATAAAGGACATTAATAATGCTACAAATGTAGATATTAAAGAAGCACATGGCAGCCATCTTGAAAAATGGCGGCCTTTACTCGTCATTTTACGATTTTTGCTATAACTCAAAAAATAGTGGAGCGATTTTGTTCATATTTGGTATGTGAATACTATAAGCATTGCACACTGTCTAAAAACACTTTTGGTAGAAGGCGGCCATTTTGAAAAATGGCCGCCATTTTAACGTATTTTACTATAACTCGAAAAGTAGTGGAGCGATTTTGTTTATATTTGGTATGTGAATACTATAAGCATGGCACACTGTCCTATGACACTTTTGGTAGAAGGCGGCCATTTTGAAAAAAAATTGAAAAATGGCCGCCATTTTAACGTATTTTACTATAACTCGAAAAGTAGTGGAGCGATTTTGTTCATATTTGGTATGTGAATACTATAAGCATGGCACACTGTCCTATGACACTTTTGGTAGAAGGCGGCCATTTTGAAAAAAAAATTGAAAACGTATTTTACTATAACTCGAAAAGTAGTGGAGCGATTTTGTTCATATTTGGTATGTGAATACTATAAGTATGGCACACTGTCCTATGACACTTTTGGTAGAAGGTGGCCATTTTGAAAAAAATTTGAAAATGGCCGCCATTTTAACGTATTTTACTATAACTCGAAAAGTAGTGGAGTGATTTTGTTCATATTTGGTATGTGAATACTATAAGCATGGCACACTGTCTATTTCTAATGACACTTTTGGTAGACGGTGGCCATTTTGAAAAAAATTTGAAAATGGCCGCCATTTTAACATATTTTACTATAACTCGAAAAGTAGTGGAGCGATTTTGTTCATATTTGATATCAGTGTGGGAAATAAGCATTTTTGGTGTCTGGACAAATTTGTCCAGTCACTTTAAAACACTCTGGACAATTTTTTTTTTGACTGGTCAAAATTTTGACCAGTCAGTTTAAAAAAAACACTGGACAATTTTTTAAAAATAAATTAAATGAAATACATACACCAGGGGGCAGGGGGAGGGAATAAATCATTCATCTTGCAGTATATAAAAATACATATTAATTAATACTAAAAGTCAAATTAATAACTGTAGCACTTTATTTCATGCATTAGGCCTATATGTTGTACATGTTTTAGTGTTACATATTTTTCATTATGAGTTTAAGTTTGTCAATGACTTGTTCTTCGGACATGTCACACTCAGATTCAAATCCCTCGTCGTCTGCTTCATCATCTACTACATCATTCTCAACATTCACATTTGCACCTTCACATACTCATCCTCAGAATCAATCACACAAGCATCCTTACCTTCATCCAGTTTCACACTGTCATCTTCCCTTTCCTCTGGTACACTATCATTCACATCAGTACCTGTCCCACCCATATCCCTGTCCTTCATTTTCATCCTTGTCAGACCAAGTCTCTCCCTTCTCTTACACACATTCCTCTAATGATCAATGGAATTGTTAGGACTGAATTGATCAATGGCTGGTGTTCCGAGTTTAACTTTCATTAAAGCACACGTTTTTTTATTTGACAGTTTTGTCTAGCCTTGCCCAAGTCTGCAAGTCGGTCTCTTTTATTTATCTTGATTTCTATTATGACCGCCTTGTACTCAAGAGAAAGCCACGTGCTTTACCGACCCAATGTTTATGTCGGTATAATTTGACCAATCAACGACGGTAGCTCATTATTTTGCACGGTCAAAAACAAGTACACTTTTCACTTACCGGGACTTTTCAGGAACAAATGTTGCACGAATTCATCATGAAAATACAAATATTTTATCAGATAAATATCAATCAGAGTTTAGTGGATGCCGGAGCATCGATCAGATAACCGGAGGTGAGAAGATTTCAACAATAAACGTTGAAACGATCGCTGAACATGTAGGCTGAGATTCAATCACCGATCGACGACAACATGACCCGCTACATTGAACTAGGTCTTCGTGCATTTTCATCGCGAAATCAATTTTAAATCAACATTGAATCGCATGATTTAATTTATATTAATGACTCTTACCTTCCAATGTACATTTAATTACATAATATATTGTAAGTTGTAACTCTAACGAAACTCGATCAGATCATTGAATTTCAAGTCGTAGATGGGAAGTTTGTTTTGTTTATGAAGCTCAACCCCATAACGTTTTGATTGGTCATTCAGCCTGAAGTCACACGTCGTGTCCACGCGATATCTGTCAATCAATAAGGTTTCGCGATACCCCTGATAGCATAGGTATTTATGGAAATCTCGAAACCGTTGAATCTTTTAGCATAACAATTCAAGATCAGATAAGTAAAATACCGACTTGGACAAAGCTAAGTTTTGTCCTCCTGTTTGTTTTTGTTAACTTCATTGTAGAGAACCCTCTCTCAATTGCCTGCACTTGATGCTGGGATAGATCGTATTAAGATTTAGCGCCTTGCAAACTGTATGCAGTATTATGTCTACCGCTTCGAAAATTGAATCATTCTGCAGCATAAAACCGCGACCGGAAGCTATTATTTAGTAGCAAAACTACATGCGTTCGTTGTTTTATTGAAAGGTGTTCACAATTTTTAAGCGATCACAAATTTATCGTATTCTAGGCGGAATGAAAAATGAAAATAATTTTCGAACATCGAAGACAATTTCTCCTAAATCTCGATGATTACTTAGGTCTATTGGTAAATAATATGTCAGAGGCAAAGAGGGAAAATACGATCACGTAATATCTCTCCCGACAATTTTGACCAGAACGTTTGAAAAGGCCTCGACAAATATTTTTTCAGACTCGAAATTTGTCGATTGTCGAGTGCTTATTTCTCACACTGGATATGTGAATACTTTAAGCATGGCACATTGTCTAATAAAACTTTGGGGAGTAGTTGGCCATTTTGAAAAATGGCCACCATTTTTATGTGTGTAATTTTACAAGTACGTGTGAGATTTTTCAAAAATTTTAGAGGTGGCTACTTAAAAGCATATTATTTCTTCTGATGACAACTTGGCTAGTGAGCAACCATTTTGAAAATGGTGGCCTTTCTGGTGTGTTGTTTTATGATATTTGCTATTCGTTTGTAAAAATGCCAGCCATTTCTGTTCGATGGGATTCGCTACGCTTTGGCGTTGCCGTTGTTCTGGTTATTTTATACAAACTAATCTAGTAATAATGGCGTTCAGCCTGGAAAAGTTAACCAGTGGTCAAGCACAGTGACAATAAATAAAGAACAAGAAGTTACAACATGTGATTGGAAGTTTAGGTCAAAATATTCAAGTGTAGAAATTATAAGAAAAATAGAAGAGTGTTCAATAATATATCTCACTGTGCTGATTTATTTATTTAACTCACCCAGTGTATGGCGTCTGAGTTTGAAGCCATGTGACTGATACCCTGCTGACTGTATTACAGTGCGAATGTCGAAATAGTAAAATATCCGAAGTTGCAAAAATATCCAAATTCCAAGATGTGTTAATTGATTTCAAGCTATGTTATGTAATATCCCTCTGAAAACCGGCGAAGTGCTGAGTGTTGGTGCTGCTGAGAGTCAAGAGCGAAAACTGAGGGCCCAAGGGGTGGAATTCCTTTATATACCCCCACTGACCATCAGTGCCAGCTTTGGGTATAGGGTCTCAGAACAAGCTCATTGGACAATCCAACAAAACCATAAATCACTGGCACACTTCTTGAGTCAAAGGGTGGGATATGAAACATTACATAAATTTGATTGGACAATAAGGTAAGCAGAGTACCAGGCTTACAGTCTGCTATAGCAGACAAAGACACTACCAAAGATGCACCATCAGTCAAGAATGTGTAGATTGATGTTGTAAATTAGCCATGACAAATTGTGCAACTGTGATAGGTCAAAAATAAAGAAATAATGCAGTTTGTACAGAGGGCTGTCCCAATACAGCATTACTGTTTAACTTACTAAATCTCAAATGATACAGGCTGAGGGTAAGGTAAATATGATTGGTCCAGAGCAGGGGCGGATCTGGGAACCAACAAGGGGGAGCCCAAAATTCAGGCCAGAGAAAAAAAAGTCCGCGCTTGCACGGAAAAAAATTTTGGGGCCCTGAAACCCAAAAGTGGGCCCAAAATTTGAAATTTTGAGGCCCATTTTCTTCAAAATTTGGCCTGAAATTAAAAAATAAGGCTTTAAAAGGCCCAGTTTTGACCAAAAAGGCCCACTTTTTGGGGCCCTAAGGCCCCCCCCTAATCCGCCAGTGCAGAGACATAATAGAGTAGTGACCAATATGAAGACTGTCAGCCATAATGCAAATGAGAACTACAGTATACTGAAGTAATATAATAAAAGTAATAGGGAAAACAAGGTGTGATGTACAAAGTGTTTTAGAATACTGTATGAAATATAAAAATACAAACAAAAGGACCAAAGGTCCTTACACTATTTTCACTCAGTTTGATAATGAAAATATGGCATAATTTAGAGAGTCATATGAGAAAAACTTTCTTGTACTCGTACCGGTGCAATATCGTCCATTCTTGACTCGCTTTGATAATATTTCTTTATCTCGTCTTCGACTCGATAAAGAAGATTTATCAAAGCTCTTCAATAGGACGATCTTGCACAGGTGCTCATACAAGAACCTCTATATCCCATGGTTGCAAGGATATAGATCGAATATCACACGAAGATATATTTGATATGTGGATCAAGATATCATATTTTAGCAAAAAATTCACAAATCATCGAATATCACTTTTAAACTATTGAATATCATGTCTTAAAAAGTGATAATCGATGGTTTAAAAAGTGATATTTGATGGTTTGAAAAGTGATATTCAATGGTTTCTAATTTTTTCAAAAAAAAAATTATTTTTTCATTTTTCAATTATTTTCAAAAAATATTTTAAAAAAAATTCAAAATTTCAAAAAAAAATTTCATTATTTTTTCACAATTTTTTTCAACTTTTTTCGCTGATGATTTCCCATGGGATAACGGACAATCTTATGGTTTTTCAAAAATATCAATTATATCCACTCATGGATACAAATATCTTCACTCATTCGCTGCGCTCACTCATGAAGATATCAATATCCACTCATGGATATAAATGATATTTTTTCAAAACCATAGGATATTACTATAATATTAAAAAAATCCAGTATCAGATTCCATATCAGAATTATCAGAAAATTTCATGAGATTTAATATTGTGTTATAATAATATATGGCATATTATGATCCATTTTAGTATTGTAAATTATTTCTATTATAAAACTCGTTAATAAAAGTTGAATATGTCTTTCGATAAATTAAATTGTATCATTTAATCATTAAGAGACGACATACAAAACAAGTTTCAGAAAAATATTATGGAATAAATAAGTTATTGATGGTCATGACACTTGGTCTGTCGCCCTTGGTCAAAATGATATTTTCCTTGGTCAATATCATATTTTTCCTCGAAATAAGATTCATATTCCATCCCTCCCATTAAATAACCTCTATATATAAAGCCTGTGTAGGTAATTCGGATGCTTTTTCACAGATGCATTTATACATGATCTTCTGTAATACATTATTACATGTACATATATATGAACTTTATGCATAGTGATACAAGTCTGTTTCTTTGTGTATGTTCCAGAACATAAGTCTATCTGCAAGACAAAGACTGAGTGCTGTGGTGTACTCCCAGTGTTTCTCCCCTTGTGGCAAATTCCTAGCTACAGGCAACAACTATGGACATATTTCAATATATAGGTAGGTTAAATTAAGGATACAATCAATGCATATTCAGAATGGTCATTTTTCAATTTGAAATGTTTTATGATCGTAAACAGGCATAAAGCAAAGACTTGTATCAAGGAAGTTCATCCGTTTTGTAAAATTGACATTCTGTTAAAGTAACTTTGTGGAAAAGTGTTATATACAAGGCCCATACATGCTAAAATCCATTTTGGACATAAACATATAATATTGACCCCCAGTAATATGGCTATTCGGAACATTTTGAGTGGTCACACAACCTTCAGTTGTTGAGATACAAAATTGGCATATTGGCATTGTCTGCAATTTCGAATAATTAACATTTTGAATGTCTCCCATCTGGATATATGTTCAGGATAGTATTTTCTCAAGATGTACCAAGTTTCATTCTTTCTTACCAAACCAAGTTTTCAAATCACTTAAAGCTCCCCCGCTAATAAGGAAACAGAAAACATGACAATAATTGCAAATTGTTGGTTCATAACATTGATTTCAACAGTAGTATACATTTATGATTAGAACATGTTTTTCAGCCTACCAGCAGCCCTGTCTCCTAGTGCTAGTGAAGCAACATGGAAGGCCATCCTAACATTTAAAGGTAACTAGATGATGTCATTCTTTTGTTATGTTAATCACTGGTGATCACCCGTTCCATTTACATAATGAGAGTGAGGTATTAAACGAACCGTTTTGGTAACCAACGTAATCAAGCGGATTACCAGTGGCAGTGTTAGTGTCATATTTTGTAATGTGTAAGAAAAATTAAGTTGTCATTTATAAAAAATTCTTTAAGAAATCAATTCAATTTGTATGTGTTATTTATACTTTCAGCTCATCCAGTAGAAATTTTTGCCTTGGTTTCAACAGAGCAATTCATTATAAGGTGGGTGAAATACAATAGTATTTAATCAAATATTTAAGTTTGATGTATCAAAAATTCACTTTTCTCAAATAATATTTAAAATGATTTTATAGGTGTTGTACCATTTGGTGGAGTTATAAGCAAGCTCACACCATAACGCATTGTTCTGTGTGTGTTTCAGTGCTGGGAGTGGCGCAATAAAGGCATGGAAATGGTCAGATATCCATAGCAAGGTGAGTTGCGGTATATAGTGAATAATTAATGATTTTTATAGGATATGCTTTTTATCCTTGTAGGATATGGGACAATGATGAAGAACTCAATTAGTAATACCAATGTAAAATGTGACAAAATGGCCTAATGCCTAATGCGCTGAGAAAATTATTGTTTCCAGTGACTGAGGCTTTCAAGATTAAAACAGACCAGAGCTTCTTTTTATACCACCGTCATAAAATATTTACATATCCTTACAGCCACCATTTCTTGTGACAGGCATTTGTCGTTTCGTGTCTTTGTCTATAACAATTTGTTACGAGATTTTGAAATAACCAGGTGCTGACATTTTGTTATGTTAATGCCTTATTCAAATTCAAAAGCTTTTTCAACATACTACAAGTACTTTCATTGTTTGCCACCAGAAATAGTTTTCTGCTTGGTTATAATACATGTAAGTGAATGAATATTTTTATTATGTTTCAGACACTCAGAGTTGTCTGGAGTTTGGAAATTCCTCAAAGTGTGACGGACAATCCTGAAACTAATGCTTTAGTGGTAGATGAACAGGTATGTATTAATGAGGCATTAAGTCAGCTTTTGAAAATATGAGAAACAAAATTCAAAATAATTTTTCTCAATAATGTTGGTTATGATGAGGCAATTACTTCACCTGTTCGCCTGCCTATTTATCCTAATATAGAAAAATGCTTCTTAGTCAATAATTTAATTGGCAAAATTACATTTAATGGTAATTAATCATATTGAAAGGAATGTTTAAACTAGACATACACACTCTTATGGATATTCTGTAAATCTCTCAAATATGCAGATATCTCAAGAATGCAGAATTGGGATAAACATGTACCATACATGGAATCACTGGTTTCTTCTTTCACAAATAGAGTTGATATAATGGAAGTTTTTCAAAAGTAATCAGTAAACAAGAGACACTCTAAATTGTACAGAAATATCATAAAAAAAACATTTCTGTTAAATTCATCTCCAGGTTGTTAATTGATGATAATGAGAGATTTTTTCATTCTTTTAAGGTGGTGACATTTTGTCATGTATAATGCCTAATTTGTGACATTTTGTCATGTATAATGCCTCATTTGTGACATTTGTCATGTACCAGTATATTGTCTCATTTGTGACATTTTGTCATGTATATTGTCTCATTTGTGACATTTTGTCATGTCTATTGCCTCTTTTGTGACATTTTGTCATGTATAATGCGTCATTTGTGACATTTTGTCATGTATATTGTCTCTTTTGTTTGCACAGGAGGGAAGCAGTAGCTTGTATGCTGGATGTGGGGACAACAATCTCTATCAATGGGACATGAACACTGGGGACTTACTGGTAAGTTAGAATGTGAGGAAAAATATCACGTTTCATGTTTTAAAATTAGAATAAAGCAAGAAAAAGATGAATAAACAAGAAAAAATGTGAAAAGGTATGTGGTTATTAAATGAACAATATGTACATGTACTCTAATGAAAGTGTCAGGAAATTGGAGTCTGATTAGATTGCTGACTAACTCAGTATAGGTCATCCATGATCTCAAGACATTGATCTCAAACATTGAAAACATGAATGCTAACATTGGCCTTTGGGCCCCTTCAAATAATATACCTTGAGGTCCTCAGGACTATTAACCCTGTTTTCATTTCAGAGGACATTCCAGGGTCATCAGGACTATGTACACTGTTTAGCCAAGAGGAATGATTCCGAAATAATCTCAGGATCTGAAGATGGCACAGTTAGAATATGGGGTAAGATGTATTAGCTTTTGATATGGAGACCATTCAAACAACCAGTCATTTCCTAATAAGCTAGAAATGAGAAACTAACTGAATCAATTTTGTACATGTTTATTTATGTTTTTGCCTCTATGGAATTTCACATACAGTTAAACCTGTGTAAGAGAACACCTTTGGTATGTCAGAACTGTGTTCCACTTGGGAGGCACTCCATTCAATGTTCAATCATGCAATGTTTGAAACTCACAGCTGCATCTGGGAATGGCAACCAGTTTTCACTCTTGATCAATGGACCAGTTGCCTATTTGGCAATGGACTGAATGCCAATATTGTAAACTGAGTTTATCAAATTTTCAACCTTAGTCATAAACTTTGATTCCACTTACAGAGGTTCATTTTCGTTTAGTTTAGGTTTGGGTAACAGAAAACATGTTTCTCAAAAGGTGTTTTCACTCTTGGCAATGGACGTAAAACGAGTTGCCTATTGGGCAATGGACTGAATGTCAATATTGTAAACTGAGTTTATCAAATTTTCAACCTTAGTCATAAACTTTGATTCCACTTACAGAGGTTCATTTTCGTTTAGTTTAGGTTTGGGTAACAGAAAACTTGTTTCTCAAAAGGTGTTTTCACTCTTGGCAATGGACGTAAAACGAGTTGCCTATTGGGCAATGGACTGAATGCCAATATTGTAAACTGAGTTTATCAAATTTTCAACCTTAGTCATAAAGGTGTTCCACTTACAGAGGTTCATTTTCGTTTAGTTTAGGTTTGGGTAACAGAAAACATGTTTCTCAAAAGGTGTTTTCACTCTTGGCAATGGACTTGGTAAAACGAGTTGCCTATTGGGCAATGGACTGAATGCCAATATTGTAAACTGAGTTTATCAAATTTTCAACCTTAGTCATAAAGGTGTTCCACTTACAGAGGTTCATTTTCGTTTTTTTAGGTTTGGGTAACAGAAAATATGTTTCTCAAAAGGTGTTTTCACTCTTGGCAATGGACGTAAAACGAGTTGCCTATTGGGCAATGGACTGAATGCCAATATTGTCAAGAATCCTGATTTCTCTTTCAGAGGTTCATTTTAGTTTAGTGTTCCTTTACACAGGTGTTCCACTTACACAGGTGTTACCCTTTGTAGATTTTACTGTATTGTTGTTTTCTATTTCTGTAAGACATAATGAAATAAGCAAATTCGAAAAAAGAATATGATGTGCCATGGCAATCAATTTTGTCTGATGACTTTTATTTCGAAATTCAAAAAAATATTGTTGCCATATTATTTTTCTTATTCTATTGTAGATACAAGAACAGAAGAATGTGTTCATCGGCTAGAACCACATAAAATTGAGGTATGGATACCAAATATAGCTGTAAGGATATGACATTAAGTAAAGTGTATTATGAAGATGTATTTGATGTGCAGATCAAAATATATGTATACAGCAAAGAATCCCAAAACCATTGATTATCATGCTACAATCGATCTTGAAGATGCCTACCCGTGGATATAAATGAGTTTTTAAAGCATTGGATATTTCTTTAGTGTTTATTGTTTTGAAACTAGAATAGGGAATAACTAGAATAGGGAATAACTAGAATAGGGAATAACTAGAATAGGGAATAATGATTGGATTTTCAAAAAGCGTTACTGAAATCGAAAACTCTGTTTGATTTCAGCAATGCAGCAGATTACAATTTGGCAAGTGGATTAGTTGTGTGGCTGTGGATGACAACAGTGACTGGATGGTAACTAGGATATTTTATAAGTATTGCTTTCTTGAATTCAACCGCTAGCTGATGGATTAACCACTATTTTGGGGCAAACTTATTTAAATATGAATAGTAGCAGTACTCTTCATGAGTTGGCCTGGCCATGAAAAAAGTGGTTAATCCGGCAGCTGCCAGTTGAATTTTGTGAATGCCACCCGAGGCTTTTATTGTTTGCAGGAGTTCCTATAAATTTATTTATGTTGAGGCCTTAGACTGAGAGTGAGTGTAAGGTCAACTTCTTTTTCTGACTAAAACATTCACAGTCAGCTGTAATTTTGAAAAAATATTGATAATACTTATTATCTGCTCAGTACTGATTGTGTTGTGTCTATGTTGTAGGTATGTGGAGGAGGTCCTGCATTGAGTTTGTGGCATTTAAGATCACTCTCAAGTTCAACTACCTTCCATGCTCCAAAAGTCTGCTCCCAGTTTGCTATGTTCTATGAAGATACTGTAAGTATGAGATGATCTAAATCTAAAGTAATTAGGTACCTTGTGTAAAACATGGTGGGTAAAGTTAGCAATCATACAATGAGGCAATATTTCACACAAACAAATGTTATGGATGTCAAAATAATCCATTAGAGAAAATGAGTAAACTGCCCTCTGTATGAGTCCTGGCTCCCATTACACAGCCAATATAATTTGGCGCTGTTTCGGCATCGAAAAAAATCGGCGCTGTTCCGGCACCGTTTCGACACCGTTCCGGCACCGAAACGGCATCAAAATCAGATTGCATTTTGGGGGTGTAACATATCATGATACAATGAGGCTATCAAATAGTATTTTGCATTAAAGCATGACCTCATGATGTTTGCAGGTGATCTCAGGTGGTAATGAACCGTATGTGAGTCACTGGATGATCAGTGGAGAACAGAAGCAACATGTCCCATGTAGTCCCACTAGTGTGTATAATGTGGCCATCAATGAGAAATCAAACAATTATAAGGTATGTTTGCTATTATGTTTAGAGGGTATTGTGGGACTGTACCATTGTGAAAGCATTCATGCGCTCAGCATCTTGTAGTCCTAATATGGAATTGTATGTACCTAACTAGACCAATATGCATAATAGATGTCACACCTGAATTAGTTTATTTTTATCATTCCAATAATGGATAATATAAAGGTATTATGGATATTGATGCTAACATTCTTTAGCACTCAATTTATGCTTATGCATTACTATGTGAGACTGAAAGTGCGATTGGTAACTCTGGGGAATATACCAAAATCACAAGAAAAACGTGTAATTGATATAACATTATTTACCTCCAGGTATTGGCTGTAGCAGGTAGCAGTCAAAAAGTGGACATTTGTACAAACTTTAACTATAAAGCCCTATCATTGACATGCTGATACCATTGGAAAGCCCTATCATTGACATGCTGATATCATTGGAAAGCCCTATCATTGACATGCTGATACCATTGGAAAGCCCTATCATTGACATGCTGATATCATTGGAAAGCCCTATCATTGACATGCTGATATCATTGGAAAGCCCTATCATTGACATGCTGATACCATTGGAAAGGAACATTGTTTCTTTCTTATTGCCAGTGATGTACAAAATCATCTCTCAAGTGGATTAGAATGGAACTTTTTCATATTTTTTAAAGTGAGGAAAATGGCTACCCAGAGGAGAGTCATAGAACCAAACTATTGAAAAGTGTTGCAAATAGCCAAAATTGGAGATTTTCTAGTTTGTTTAAAGATGTTCAACAGTTTGAAAAAAAGGCAGTCTACATGCTAAAACAACAAGTCTTCTTTCCTTTGGCATAATATATTATTATAACATGGAGGCAAGATTACAGTTTAGTATCACACAACATGTCCTTTTCCATACTTCAGATGACATCTGATTATTTACATGTTTATATTCTTCAATAGGCACATGTTTTATATAAGACAGTAATAAATATTTTGTTTTATTTATATATATTATTTACAGTGTGTAGTTGTGATTTAACAAGTTCATGAGAAATCTATTGTAAACACTATTATAGTGTATCCCCTAAACAAAGATCAATACAATTACAAAATGTTTGAATCTGGGCTCTTAAAAAGAAAAATTCAGAATTTAAAAGTCTGTTTTTCTGTCACAAGGATATTATCAAATCCAATCATTGATTTAGCATATATATTTAGCAGATTAGATATTGGGGAACCAAATCATTCCAAAAACAAATTGTGGTTCTGAATATTAAAATATAATTTTTTGAGTAAAAATATATATAAGTGCCCATTAGTTTTTGCACTCTGAAACAAGGTTGGCCAGTATCATCAAATTCGCCCAACAGAAAATTTTAGCCTGACGTTTTGGAAAGAACTGGACTAATGAATGGTCAAAGATAAAAAGGTTTGCTCTTAAGATCCAAAACTCTATCCCTTTTAACATTTACAATGATCTATTCTACAGGTTGGCAATGCTTGTCAGGTATATATTTACATATTTACAGTGGAAATGATTTGAACACATACTGGTGTATATGCTTGATTAAGTATCCAGTGTAAATACATGTAATTGATGAATAGATGTGATAAATTAGGTTCTTAAAAGAAAAAAAAACTATTTTCTTGTGTCCATTTTGGACATGTTTTCTCAGATACACAGTATTCTACATTCACACAGCTGTACAAAAATTTGCACTATTCTTGACATGCATTGTACACGTGTCACAACTGAATTAAAAATATGTTGTCTTTGCTTTAGGGTCTAAGTGTAATTTGATTAAGTTTGTTGTATATGATTCAGGTATATAGCCCTGTTGACCATTACCATTCTCAACTAAAACCCAATGTGGGTCATCATTCTCTAGAAGTTTCACAACTTCTTTCTTTCTTACTGTTAAGTCATTTTCCTGCTTGGCTTCAAAATCAAACAGAACCATTAGCTTTTCTGTAGTATCAGTTTGTTCATTTGGATGTGTTTTTGGTTCAGTTGAAACTTTCATTGCATTGCTCAATTGAATATATTGATCATCATTCCTGTTTCTATCCATTATGTTGGCCAACTTTAATTCAGATTTTGACCTTGACCTTTCTAATTCAGAATGAGGCTGCTTTGATATTTTGGGGCACTTTGATTTGTTGTATATGACTGTTTCCATGGTGTTTGTGCTACTTGCATACCCTCTGATTGCATCTGACATTGTTTTCTGAGGTGGGTTCCCTTTAGAATTTTTTAAAGAATATTCTTCATAAATTGGTTCCTCTTCTTCGTTGAAGAGTATGTCTCTGTACTTTGTATTTTGGTATAATGTTCCACCATCAGATGACCTCGTCTCAAGGGTCCTTGTATCAAAAGTTCTTATCTCAGGTCGGGCTACTATAGGGGATAGATCATCCACCAAACCAAAGGGATCTTTAGTTTTTGGTTTCTTAGGCCTTTTGATTGTTTTAAGGTGTATACTGGGAGCAGATGTCCTCCTTTGATTGTGGTCATGTGACTTTGAGTATAGTTCATCAAGCCATGATTTACACCTCTCAAGTGAATCCTGGGATTTCATCCGCGACCTTGAACTTTGTGGCTCCATTCCTTGTGCCATACCTTCATCAATATAAGATGACAATGTGCCATGCCCACTTGATGCCTGTTGAGAAATTTCCATATCTTCACTGAACAGTTCTGGTGATAGCAGATTCCTTGATGGACCCAAGGTAGTCTTTTCACTTTGAATGGAGTGTTCTATAAATGTACAGTCTCCTCCGACCAGCATCTCTCCCGTGAACTCCTTAGAATCTGTGGAGCCTTGGTCAAATTCGACTGGTAAACTTCTAGGATCAACTGATGTCTTTTTGTGAAGTTGATTCTGTAAATGGTTCTCTAGCATATCAATTGACTCCTGAACTAGGTCATCTGCAATATCATTAGCATTCATTCCTGCAAGTTGGGATTTCAGATTGCGAAGTCTTTCAAGATTAGCAGATGACTTTTGATTGGTGTTTTTCACAGTGTTAATGTCTTCTTTCATTTGTTCAGCATTAATTTTAGCATTGGTAGTGTTAAACACTTCAGAGTCATCTGAGTCATGGAGGTAGATTTGAGCAGCAGCTATTGGAGACAGTAGGGAATCTTCTGAACATCTGCGTTGATGGATCGCTCGTGTCATATCTTGCTGATTATGTTTATTTGAACTACTTTTTCCTGTAGCACTATTATTTTCAAGTGGATCGATGCTCTGTGCACTACTATCTGTATACAGCTTCCTATCACAGCTTGGCCTCTTTGAAGAATTTTTACTTCTAGATCGCACTCGCAAGATTTTATTGATTTCACACTTTTTATCAATTCTCTTAAGGACTGTTTCACTTACACCATTTGGGTCATGCTGAGTCCTAATGTTGCTAGCTTTGCAGTTATGATGGTCTGTACATCCACACGGCTTCATACTTGAAAGTGGTTTAGTCCTGGGAGACAATGTTGGACTACTCAATGTCTCTGGTAATGACCTTGACCTTGCATGTGAGGTAGTGATCGGAGAGTTCATTTCAACATAAATGTCTTCTTCCAATTCAGTTGAAGTATTTTGATGGTTAATGGTCTGTGTGATTTGTGTCCCTTGTACAGCAGGTATAGTATCATTTTGATGTTTCCCATATGGGAGAAATGCACTGTCATCTTCAGTTGTTTCAATTACACTCTCCAGTCCATCAGCTGGGAATTGTTGGCAAAAGTCTGTCACTTTGATTGGTTTATAGTTTACAGGTTCAAGGTTTTTATATGGGACAAATCCACCTCTTTCATCTTCTGTCCTAACAAATGCCCATTCACCTTGTTTGTATAGAGCGTTAACTATTGTTTCAGATTCCACTTTGATTTCATCTTTAGCCGTCCAATCATCATCTGGAGTATATTCAGCCCTGACATGCATTTTGATATAAACAGGTTTGAGGCTATTTGCATTCTGTAAGCACTCAATGATGTCACAAAGTGTCATCGAAGTTGTGTCTTTAACATATGCTCTGGGTGACACAATAATTGACGATGGTACTGGTGTAGAACTTGTTGCGCCTAATGACCAAGTTAAATTCCTTGATAATTTGTTCTCATGATCAGATGGATCTTTTTGGCTGATATTTTTTCGCAGTTTAATATTGACTTTTGGCTGTTTTGAATTTTCTTTTGGCTTTTTTGACTTCTGTTCATCCAACCATTTCTCCAGATTTGCATCACAACATGAATTGAAATGTTTTGTAGAATCCAATTTCATGTTAGATTTGTCAGAAGTGTCTTTTTGTTCCTTTGTTGTATCAGTTGAAGGACTCTTTTGTTGATTCAGCCAGTTGTCTATAGTTTCATAATTACCTGGACTGTCAGGTGTGTCTATAATCTCCTCAATTGCACTAGGCATGGAAGATTCAATAGATTGTTCAAGCCTCTTATCAGACTTCTCCTGAGGTATTTGTGTTTTTCTTCTCTGCGTGTTGTCTTTGATTGAAGAGTTGTTGATCCTTGGAGGCAATGGTGGTTTTTGTCCCTTTTGTTCAGCAAGCCATCTGTCCAGCTCTGCATCGATTGAGGAATTCACACTGATATCTTCTGAGTTGTTACTCCTGTCTTGAGGACTATCATTCCCACTGTCATTAGTGTCAGTTGCAGTGTCTATCTCAGGTTTCTTAGTATTGCCCGACTGTTTTGTACTATGTTGTTTTTGGCCTACCTGATTTGGAATAGTTGCTGATTTTGATTTGTCATGACAAGCTTCATTATTGTCTATTTCACTAGATGATGTGGCATCTGTTGCTTGGACATAGATGATTTTTGGGGGTAGGGGTGGTGGAGTGTCATAATCTGATGTGTCATCTGAGAGCTTATGTGTATCTTCCATAGAGAGTTTATGTGTCTTTTCCAGTGGTAATTTACGTGTTTTGGCAAATCGTTCCTTGGGGTCATTCTCATAATCCTTAATTATATCCAAAACACCATTGTAATTAAATCTTTGAAGCTCACTAGTGTTCAGCTGCTCAACACAGGCATTCCTTTGTATATGCTCTCTTGCAATATCTCTGATGCTTCTATCAGGGACTTTGATGACCCCAGGGGGTCCCCTTCCTGGCCAGGGGGCACTTTCATCCTCAGAAGAATCTTCAGAAGATGTTGTAAGATATTGCAGCCTGCTACTGGCAGTGTCAGATGAATCTGTTGTGTCATGTATATGGATCATTGTTGCTTTGAATAGCCCTGGTGGGTGTACTTCTACAAACGGTGGGTGGGCCCTGAAGCCTAGATGCTTTCTTTCCTTGGGGGTACCCTGCAAATATGATTCATAAAAGCTCTTAGTATAATCTTCATGAACATAGAAATGTGATATGTTCTGTTGAACTCATAAATTTTTCAAAAAATATTTGTAAACATGAGAGTTTTCAATCTCAAAAGAAAATCAAGAATATTTTGTTTTTATACAAATAAATCTTATGTTATGCGCTGTATAATAATATTTATTATTGATATTGCAATGTATGAATTCTATTGCTGGAATCTATTCAACTCTTATAAAAAACATGGCATGGAAATCATGCTTTTTAGCAAATGGATGGAATAATGAGAAATTAGCAAGGAGTAAAGAAAACTTAAGTATCATATTCTTAATTATGTAGACATACTGGAAAATCATCCATGTTTTGAAATATTTTCAAGAAAAATTTAGATAAGTCTGTTTAAAATATTTCGAAGGGAGAGGTGTAAATTAAATATCAGAGCTTTAAGGGCTCTTGAGAAATATGAAGAATGTTTATAATAACTCTTTTATGTTTTTTTCACTCCATTTCTCTTTGAAATTTGAATGAGGTGTCTTATTTTCTTGCATTTCTATACAATTTAGAATGATGACTATATGCCCATTTATTTATTCCTTGCTTATTTCACTCATTTCCTCTTTATTTTGCATTTATAATGTTATCACCAGATCTTTACAAGATTATTTAGATAACCAATATTAAGTTATCAATTGGGTTTCATCAAATATGCATTATTCATTTTTGGTGCTTTTTCATGTCAAATTCAATTGAAAACATATTGGTATTAACACAATATTATGTTTGTTATTTGATTTGGGTTCTTAATTCTTTTTTATAAAGTATTATAAGGCAATTTTCTCATACAGATAAAAACTTTTATGAGATATGAATCACATGATCCTTATTTATTTGGGTTTATATTAGTTACTGAAAATATGCATTATCCGATTAATGGTGAGATAAGGTGAGATGATCATACTTAAATCATCTTAGCCATGCAATGTTGAGTAATAATGCATAGTAAACATGGGATCTTATATTAGAGCCCCATGTCAATACAAGCTTTTATGAAGTCGGTCTTATATGTAACAAGTTGTTTCTATACACTTTCTGTCAAATTTGTCTGCTCAAGTGTTTAAACATGGAACACTTTAACATAACCAAGGAGTGATAATTTTCCACTCTAGAGCTTAGATATTTTTCATATCCGCAAAGTACAAGCACTTCTCCTAAAAGTAATCGTATTAATTGAATTCATAAACATTTAAAAACTTGTTCAAAGCCATATGTGAATATAATACTGTATGAGCTCTCATCACCCTTCTTTGGAAAGAAATACCTTAGAAAAGTGAATATCCCTAATATAATGTGTGAGGTCTTTTTTACTAAAGTACATTTTTATAAATTTTATTCTTCTTTTGGTATGTAAGTTTTAAAGTGGTATTGGCTTATTGTTTGACTGAAAATATTCCTAAGCAAGATGATAATAGGATGATATAACACACAATCAGGGAGTGGACCTGATAAATGTCAGGATAATTTTATGAAAATCCCCAAATCAGGCCCCTCTTTCAAATTAAGTTTTTTTTAAATGACCATTTTTCCCTAGCCTAAGGGCCCGTTTTTTCAAAAGGGCCCATTTTTCATTCTCTCAACCTTTGTGTCGGCCAGTGAGAGAAAGAAGTATGTTATAATATACGAGGTGTAAACTGAGATGAACAGGTATTATTTTTTGAATAAGATTAAAAAGTCTTTCAGGGATGATGTGGATAAGAATACACGACAGGACATTGAGTACTATATACAGGGGGTTACAGTATCTCTTTTTACTGCTTTTGAAATGTCTTAGAGAAAAATTGCTACAATAACCCTAATGGCCAGAAAAATGCTATTGATATTCTTCTTTAAGACACACATTCAAGCTGATAAATGTATCTCTAATTGCACCACACAAACAACACTCTGTTTACTGCTAGGAAATTATTCAAAACATGTTTTTAACTTTTTAAATCTCAAAGCAAAATCTTAATGATAATTTACTGAATATAAAATATTTTGTAGTCTATAGAAATCTAACCAAGCATCCTAACGAGTCAATAGTTTTCCAGTTTTACACTATAACAAAATTGTCAATTAATTTTACAGTGATAGTTCACAAGGAAGACAAATGAGAATTTAGGGAGGATACAGTCGCAAAGGACAGAGCATAGTCAATAAATACACTCCCCTCCATAAGTTTGCTAACCCTTACTCCCCATTGAATACACTTTAAAATCCTATTTATGCATTTTTTCTTTGGTTACATTATGTTCAATTTATGATAATTATTTTCGAAACTCTCAATGTAACATTAGGTCAGAAAATGACATTCTAGATGAGTTTTTAAATCACCTTACAGAAAATGTGGCAATGGGGGAGTTGGCGTTGCTTAACTTTTAAGGGGAGAGTAAATCCCTTGGACTGAATATGGACTGAGTAAAATACTACATCTAACAAGTTGGACATGCAGAACACCATAATTAAGAAGACATAAATAAATGGCACCATTTACTTAGTCTATAGACATGCTCACTTTAGAATCTCGCTCCATTTAAATTGTAATGAGCTTTGGGATAAAAAATCACTTTGTGAAAAGGTTATCAATCTTTCTTCTTATCCACAGACTGTAAATTGTTAAATTACTTTGGCCTGGGAAAGTTATTTGGATATTTTAGTGAAGTATTTTAAAGATTTTATCTTGTCATCAATGATTACAAAAGAGGCTATGATTAGTTTAATGGAACATGCAATTCATTTTATGAGCTTTCAAAGTACAGTCAACAATATAAAAATGTGAAAATGCTGGATGAAACATAGACAGAAATGAGTGACTGAAGTCTTACAAGTTCTTGTGTTCCCCTACTTATCAATCCCCCTTTCTGGGTATGGGAATGTTTAGCTTTTGGAGGGTGGGTATGGATGCGAAACTAGGGTATGTTGGTATTACCTTAACTGTTTCTTCAGGTAGGGCTTTGTCTGTAGGGTCCTTGGTAGATGTTTGTTCAACTTCACTCCCAACTTGAACCACTCCATTCATATACTCCACATCATTCTTATTGCCAATATTATCATATATGGGACAATGTTTAGATTCCTTAGATCCCTCTAATGTTTCAGTATCATCCTCAACAGTTTTAAGATCTCCATTTGCAATGTCTGGTGTAACTTTAATGGCTTTGATTTCCTTGTATGCATCAAAGGCTTTTAGGTGTTCATTGTTGGATGCCTTATTGTTACTTTGTGTGTCTTTTTGGTTCAGTTTGTTATTATGGGATGTCCCTGGAGTGAGTTGAAGCCGCAAATATCTGTGTTTTGCTGATTTAGGATTATATGTGACAAAACCATAAGTATCATCCTTTCCACCACGATGTGTAATAAAGCCATATACTTCATCCGGGGTCTTCTTTTTGATATTACCTGTAACAAAAAGTAGGTGATTGTTCTGAGAAATTGTTGCGATCTCCAGAAACTAAAACATGGACATTGTCCTCAAACTGAAAACAAGGTAAAATTTTACAATTTACAACTGCTTGGTGTATGAGGAATGTATGTCCCGTGATAAATGTCCTCTTCCCCATTGTTTTACCTTACATGAAGTCTCTCTTTATTAGTTGTATTTTATGAGTTACCAATTTGGAAATGATCGTTCCCAGAGTATGTAATACTGCAATTGCATTGGAGAGAGTGAGAGGCAAATGTGTTGATAAATATTGGAGAGTAAATGTGAACGTATTTACTCGTACTTTGATATTTGCTTCATGTTAACACAGTCCAACCCAAGAGCCAAGGTTATATCAGTTCGTGTAATAACTCCACTTCTGTTCAAACCAAGTACTACAAATACTATAATAGTATTGGATTTGTCAAACAATTGTGGATACGATTAAAATGACTAGAATATTCTAAGATATACAGATTTGCATTGAGGCAAACGAGTCTATAAGTGATGAGTTCAATACCTTTGATTTTTGAAATTTTAAGGATCCTCGATATTTGAGTGTTTCCATTGGCTTTCAAGAGTTTTAAAGCCCAAGTTGTTTCATAAAGTTGCAAGATTTCGTTTTTGGGGTATGGGGGACAGAACACATTATACATTGCTTCCGACCACATCTTGTTTAAAACTGCAACCAGCAAACCAATATAATAGTAACAGTTTGTTATAATCGACAGTAAGATAATAACATAGTATTATAATGCTTTAATTATTTAACACATTAAAGCAATTAAAACAATTATGAATTCGGATAATAAGTATAAATCACGACAGGAACAGTTGTCAAACACAAATCTGCTCCAGAATAAAACTAATTGTATACATTGATAAAACTATGCTTTCTGGAGATAGAAAGGATAGAAGAGTTCAGAGTAAAAATGTCACAATTGTCACAATATTCATGTCATGCATATATCCTAAAAAGTCCATCAGTTGTGACTTTATTTCAGGATATTCCATTGTGAAATTGGTGCAACAACTACACTTTTCATACACAGTTAATGTGACTGACCTAGAACGTTAACTTGAACCATGGACTTCTATTCTCTAATTGAGAATGATTGATTTCTTTAATCCTTAGACCCGAAGAGATGTTTTAAGTATTCAATCAACGTGAGTTTCCACATTCAAACAGCCTTTAATTTAAAACGCAATTTGTACTTACCTTTTTTGTAATATCCTAAACGATTTTACAACTCAACATATTTAGTTGTAGTTAAGAGCTATATAGGACTAGCAAGGCCTTGTCACTTGTGGTATACTAGTTTAGGTCTCGGCAACAATTACTCAATGCAATTTAATAAAATAAACCAATTTGGATAACCTTTTGTCAATATTATGTGATTTAAGGTAGATCGATAATTCTATTACATTAAGGTTCACTCTCAATTCACCCCTCATGGAAACCAATTTAAACAACAGGAATACTTGTGACGGGGTCATATTTTCAAATTGCAAAAAGAGAAGAAATAGCGAAATAAACAAGATTTGTAGTATACTGGCTTAAAATGTTGTCACTAAATTGCAAGAAAATGGAAAAAGATTCAACATTTTATATATATTTTTTGAGGAAATCGCATAGACTTGAAATGGCAACCCTGTACTTTAAACATGGGTAAAGAATAAAAAACTGGGAAAGGTTTAAGATTACTTCCCAGGGTGCTAAAATGAAGGTCGTTAAATAGGTAAATTATTCTATAATCTTGCATAAATCGTTACAGGGTCAATTTATTTGTTACTGTTTGCATCTTTTTGTTTCTGAATGTCGCCCATTGTTCATCCCGATGGTTTTCACTGACGTCATTGAATGAATAATTGTGTGTAACATTAGGGAAGAAAAGCGTTCAAATTCACAATATTAGTGTCCCCGTAATTCATATACTAAAAGGATAAACGCAATCAAATGAGAATAATCTTATACTTGAAAAATATCCTTTCAGAATTGGTGCCAATGAGTTACGTAATACAGAAAGGGTGCAAAATGGTCCATTATTAGTAAATTGGGCAAAATCTGAATTCTTCCCGAGTTCTCACCATGCCGTAATAGAAATATGACATAAATAACTTGACACTTGTCTGTCAAAAATATGACATAATTTAACTTCAACATGAGTGAAGGGCAGCAATTGAAGACAGAGAGAAAGGAACCAGCTCAAATATACATAACAACATTTCAATAACGATTCCAAAGCAAGTTTCAGTAACTAAGAATAGTAGGCCTATATTAAAATTCCAAAACATTCCAAATATTGATATCATAAAAACAAATATTTAACTTTGCTTTGTTTTTTCTTACCTTTTGGGATTTTCTTAGAGCGTAATGGAACGCATAGGTTGGCCATCTTAAGTTTGGAACTTTCCCTTCAAGTTCACCAGCGTATGGCTGGGAGGCCTCTTAATCGTTTATACTATTTTCTAAAGCAGGAGATCATCGTATGGCCGTATTACTACGTGTTCTTCTTCCTGAAACGTATGTCATATTTTGTTAATATTTTTGTTAATATGACGTTTTGTTGTGTAATTTACTTATCAACAGATCAGTACTTTTATTTATCCTTTTATATCTTGTTTGGTTAGTTCTTTTCCTGTTTTGCTCAAGTCCGACATGTATCATTCGGGTTCAGTTCGAATTGAAATACTGAATGTTCTTGAATTTTACACGCATCCAGGCGCACGTACCGACGGCATATGACCAAAATACCGTCTCATTGGATCTACGTATGTTCACTTCAATTTATTAATTTTTTGTTTTAATAGTAATAGTTGTTTTGCTCCAATAGAATTTATCCTATTTTTCCGCAAGTGTTTTTGTTATTAAAAACTGTGTATGGAGAGACTCGGTCTTTTCCTACATTTGCTGGTATAATCAAAACAGATCTGGACCTGGGTCTTGCACAAGTTAACGTTTCAGGTTTGTGCCCAATAACCCGAGAATTTCATCCCCATGTCTGATCACATTAAATCACCAGTCAAATGAATACAAGAACCAGCACAAAATGTTATTCAATTACGAGGACCCTTGGGTGAGCCATTCTATAAAAACTACCACACACGTTACCTCTTTCAGAGCCAAATATACGCGATAAACAAAGAATTGTGAAACGATACATTTCAAATATCAAGTTAATATAGTAAACATAGCTGAAGTTCAGAATAATTAATGTTTTATTCAGCATTTTGAAAAATGGATAAAATAACGTAAGATTGAAGTGGGAATTCATGTACAGGAAGTGTTCTCGAGAGGAATTGATACAGAAGCTTTATTCTCGTAATTCTGGCCCCGTTTACCTGGCTTATTGTTAACTAAGTATCCATTGGATAAATATTGAAATAAATTATAACATTTTTTCTTGATGGAAACGAAATATTCATTTGGTTGTTCTATTGAATAATGTGAAACCTTTGATGGGGAAAGGAAGAATTAAAATTTACTTTACAGAGAATAAGGTTCAGCTAAGCTGTATCAATAAAGAGAGGAAATTTATAAATAGCATAAATTAATATTTAGAGGATATTATAATCGTTTGCTCATACAATTGGCAAAGGTTATGAGAGTGGAAAGTGTTTAGGTATAATAACATTTCTATTGATCAGACTGTTTTGTGTTACTAAAATTGAACGGAAGTGGTACTTCACATTGCTGATTGTGTTAAGGCCTCTAAGTGTAGTTCAGATACTTAAAGGGTCATATTTTGAATACATGGGGTGGGGCATGGTTTTATGATTGATTGTATCTTTTACATATCCAATCGATAATTAGCCCAGCTACACAGCGGGTAAGATATGCCCATGACGTTTCAACAAAGCATATGATATAGCCTACCCTATTAGTGACGTTCACTTTGATGTAAGTCGATTTCAAAAATGATACCATTATTAAAATATTTTCCATAAAGTTCAATTCAATTCTAGTTGAAAGCCCATGCTATTACCCATTTGTCAAATCATGACTTTACATTTACCAAATATGGTAAAAGATATGATCCTTCAAAAAAGATGAAGTTTCTTCAGTTACAGTTCACAGTATCCTAATTTGTCCCAGGATTCCAGGAATATTTAATATACTAACTGGAGGATGTTCATTAGAGGTATTTACCCAAACCAATGTCATAAGGGAAGATAGGAAATGTACCCTTTGTAATGCTGGAGTTGGTGACTTAATACATTTTGTACAACAGTGCAATGTTTTTACTAGATTCAGATGTTTGTTTAGAAATACAATGAAGGCAAAACTTGTTAAACTAGATTATGATAACTTTTACATGAGATCAGAAACTGAAAGGTTTTATATCATGATGGGATTACAAGAAATACCAGGTATAAATGATGAAATGGATTTTACTATTAAGTTCCATAGCTGCAAAATGATATGCAATATGTATAACTATAGAAATGTGAAATTGAAGGAACTAAATTAATTTAAGTCAAGAACGAAATGTAGCATTGTGTAAATAATACTTTTTATTACTCTTTCCTTTGTAATGTAAATATGTTGTAAAAAAGAAAGTATTGTCACCAAATTGGTGGTTGAATAAATATACAAATACAAATACAATATACATTTGTGCATACATGTAGACGAGTCAATAATGCATCTTCAAATATGGAAGGCTCAATAATATTTACAGATTTATTATTCAAATCATTGCTTACCGAGTTAAGATTGTTTCTCTGCCAAGAGACGTCTTATAATATCTTTAATATTTCGTTTTGAATATCACTTTCATACCATTAATCCAATCGCGTTCAGTTTTCTTTCTCAATTTATATTATATTTTGTTCTCATATATTTTTTCGAATTCCAATATGGCTCATTGAATGCGCATGATTGAAATATACTGTCCCTTATTAAGCGTCCAGCAGTGTGAACTCCTGAATTAAATAGCACCAACTAATGGACGTGTTATTATTGGACATCCACTTTAAAGCAGTCTCTCCATTCAAAATCACCATACCCTTAAACAGTGAAAGTGCATACTGGTATATTTACACACATAATGATTCTTTATAAAAAAATACTTGGATGCGATTCCGGGATAGTCAGCCTGATTCCGTATTTTAATTTAATGCTCCACGCGCAGAGTTCCTTTATAAACGAGACGAAGCTCTTTTTTAAGAAGCGAAGTCGAATAAATAAGATCTGATTATTAGTCCCGGCCCCGACAAATGTTTTTCACAGATCGGAATATAATGAATCACATATACACTGTCACGTAATTTTATAGGGCTCGCGGGATAGTCGCGATCACAAACATGTTAAGGATATACCAGTGTAACCTTTACGACAATGGTGATATATTTTTAAATTACAGAAATAGAAAATTAACACCTCTATGAAAAGCTCGTTTGTTAACTTCACGTTTGACAAGTGTTCTGTATTAAATATCAAGGACGCAGAATGACGATATATGACGATTTACGACATAGTAATCCATAGCAACTAAGAGATTCTCATTTCCAATGTTGTTTTATCATGACGTCATATAACACTTTTGTTAATGGGTTCTCGGAATATGATACCATTATCTGTGACGTCAGTGACATATTGCCCCATCAACAAATAAACAAGCAAATGAACTATAGGTCATCAATTCTTCCAAATAATTCAGTAATTTTTTGTATATTCTTGTTTCATTCCAGTTTCGTGTCCGTTTCTCTCGTTTATCCCAGCAGTATATGCGTATGTGCCCGTGTATTACAAACACGACAAATCTAATTTGTAACTTGCTTCTTATTTCGCTACAGTCTGTATGAGTTTTCATTAAGTTATAGTCTATAGCCTATGTATTGACCAGGGGTATTTAATATCAAAAGGCAATTGTAAAATACAGTATTCTATTTTGGAATTTCTATAATTCATGTATACACTTATTACATGAACCATGGACACTTAAAGTCCGTGCATGAACATTCATTTATATGTATTTCTATTGAAATCATTACCTTGTTTCGTTTTTCCTTTCTGTCAAAACAAATACCATCAAACATGTGAAACAAGTCTCAAACCTTTGTTAAAGTTATGTTATTATTCTATATTTTCCATAATTATAGTTACCAGTGAGTATTAACGACCATGGTCGGACATGCCGGATACAATGCGAAAAACGTCCATAGCCGTTCACAAAAACACATTATTCGTGTGCTACATTCAGTAGACGTATCTTGCTCAAATCCTACAGCTTTACATAAGTGGGGACCTCGGGGTGAGGAATGCACAGGGAATGTACAACCCCACCCGAAAATCATCAAAAAGCACGCATGCTATATATCACGAGCGAAATCATTCATACCTGATCTGTGAGGTTATACTTGTGAAGGCAGTTCATTAAGACAGGACATGTTGAGTTTTCACAATTGTTAACCTCAAATGTAACGTTATCCTTTCCCGAAAAATGAACAGAAATATTAGCATATTAGAATAGGAGTCAAATATGGCTATTATTAGCCATTTTAAATCATCGTTTATTGAATGAATGTCTTACTGGGGCATCTAGCCCTCAATTTATTCACAATTTATAATATTTTGGAATGATGTTTATCATGTGGACTTAGCTAGTTTATCTTTTTGTGAGTAGTCGATTTTGTTAATTCTTGAGAAAGACGTCATATATTTAGTTAAATTATGACGCGAATTGACCAGTGGCTTTTGTATCATTGTTAAAGCACACCAATCTCCAACGGCATTTTCAAGCGTAAAACAGACCGTTGACCCTATGTTTTTTTTATATCAAAATAAACACGAGAACACCTTTTTTAGAATGAGCAAATAAAAAAAATACCACAATCCATTGGAAATTTGCGTAATTTTCCATTCAAAACGTGTCAAAATGCGAAAATAAAAAAGATATGTTTTTAATGGAAAAACGTTACAAAAATTCACAAATATTGTTGGGGTAGGGGTACCGCTTTAAGTGAAAAAAGTAAGAAAAAATGTCCTGAGTGTACCAATATTCGAACCAATGTAATTATGTATAAAGGAAGTTTACGTAGGCTCGAAAAAAATCGTCAATACTCCCTAAATCATCATTTTATCGACAAAATATAGGAAAATATGTTTTTTTTGCTTTGGAATCAATGGCGCCTCAAATGTTCAAATGATGATAACGTCACACCTATTTTCAGAAGCTTCTCATGAAAAAACTAATCCGTTGACCTACCCTTTTTATTACATTTTTCGAATCGCTACATCTAGGTCTATAATAAAAACCTAGTTTCGTTGAGATTGAAAATGGTCGATTTTTTCGGAGGTTACACTGGTATATCCTTAATCCCGTATGAGCACTTTGTAGAACTTGAGCCGCGGGACAGTCAGGTTTTGAAACACACTGTCCCGTAATTTTTTTTCCGAAAACGCTGGGATATAATTATTTGAGACCTGACATATCCCAGCGCTTGGTAAAAAAAATTACTGCTGCTGAATAAATACAAAGGGTAGCATTTTAACTGGCGAATTATATTTAAGT